CAGATCTATGTCTCACTGACTGCAGGAGAACATGGACCACTGGATTTGCTCCTTCACTGTATCCAACAGATCAGTGACTGGATGCAAAATAATTTCCTCCAGCTAAATGCAGACAAAACCGAAATCATTGTCTTTGGTCCCCAGAAACAAAGAGAGGGCGTCATTTGTCTTCAGTCTCTCTCCCTACTTCCTTCAGACAAGGTCAGAAATTTGGGGGTAATACTGGACTCAGACCTAAATTTCAATAGCCACATAAAATCAATAACATCAACAGCTTTTTAACATCTGAAGAACATTGCCAAAGTTAGAAATATAGTGTCCAGGGCAGACTTGGAGATTCTTGTCCATGCATTTGTCTCCAGCAGGCTAGACTACTGCAATGGCCTGCTTACAGGTCTGTCCAAACAGACCTGTAAGCAGCTGCAGTACATCCAAAATGCAGCAGCTAGAGTCCTGACAGGAACCAGGAAGTATGACCATATTAGTCCGGTCCTCAGGTCTCTGCACTGGCTTCCTGTGGCTCAAAGAATAGATTTTAAAACGGCTCTGCTTGTGTACAAGTCTCTCCATGGCCTTGCACCAGAATACATTAGTGACATGTTGGTGTCATATGAACCGGCCCGGACTCTGAGGAGCACAGGGACTGGCCTCCTGCTGGTGCCCAGAGTGAGAACCAAACATGGGGAGGCTGCGTTTCAGATCCATGCAGCTAAGATCTGGAACAATCTCCCTGAAAATGTGAGGGAGGCGTCTACTCTGTCAATGTTCAAATCCAGGTTAAAGACTGTTCTGTTTGCCTGTGCATATAACTGAAGGATTTTATCTCCATTTTTAATGCACTGCTGTCATTTATTTATTTTTTTTAAATTTCTTGTGTAATTTTGAAAGTTTTAATGGTTTTATTCTTTTGTGTGATTTTACTGTTTTAATTGTGTTTTAATCTTTTGTGTGATTTTAATGTTTTAATTGTGATTCTGGTGTTTGTTTTATGTGATGATTTGTGATGTGGACTGTGAAGCGCTTTGTGTTGCCCTGTGTATGAAAGGCGCTCTACAAATAAACTTTGATTGATTGATTGAAATACTTACTTACTAGTAGAGCTATTCTACCCTCAATAAGAAACTCCAACCATTGAGGGTTGTGTTTATGTTTCAGTGCACCTGTCACCTACAAGGACCTTAAATATCTCTGATTACAGTCTTCATTATAGTTCCACCTACCTTCTGCCTTCACCTCCAATCGGATCAGCGCAGCCTCACAAAAGACTATTTTAGGTCGGACTCCCCATTCAAACGCCTCCTTTCCCCATGATCTATTCTGGGAAACAGTGACTCACTAATTATACTGTAATTATATCATTGGTATGCCACTTTTTCTAGATCCTTCAGTTTTCTAATTTGGTGGTTTTATGAGAGAGAAGCAGCAGTCAAACAGGAGGAGATCAATCAAAAGACGAGGCGCTGTAATCACTATGTTCCCATTCACACACACGAAAGACCGAGGACATGCTGGAGGGATGGCCTGGGAACGCTTTTGGGTCTCCCTGGATGAGATGGAGGAGGTGTGTGTGGATAGGGAAGTCTGGGGGTCTCTGCTTAGGCCCTGTTTAGATGGAGATGCTGAAAAGCAATTAGAAAAAACGACCAGTTTACACAACAACAAAAAACTATGTCGTTCTAGCGCCCGACCTGTAGGGGCAGTGGAACTTTACAATACAACACGACACGCGCGACCCCCTTCAGTATAATCACTTCCTGAACTACATACTCCTCAGGCCACGGTCTTAATGCAAACGAAAGGTCAATCCATTACCCAACTCGTGAAAACAGTAAGTAAGTAAGTAAACTTTATTCATAATGCACATTTCTACAGACTTCCAACGAGCTTTACAATGTACAGAACAGCACTATTGACTGCTGCCCCCACGACCCGGCAACGGATGAAGCGAAGGAAAATGGATGGATGGCATACGCTTTCCATCCCTTCGTATTTATCCAGGAAAAATACTGACAAAAACTGCAGCCACAACTTTCTCTGTGTGTGTGTGTGTGTCTGTGTGTAGTTTGGAGACTTATGCAAATCCAACAGGTGCGAGGAGTGGCAGCAGAACGATACAGTGAAAAGGAAACCTCACAGGAAAAGTCACACATTATCTGGGAATAGACAGTGTCAACAGGAAAGTGTTTTTATGATGGAAACGTGAGGGAACCAACTGTGGGGGATTTCCGTTTGGTGCAGGCGCTGGAGGTGAATAAGACACAACATATATTTATACATTCATATAGACAAGGACTGACAAATATTACCAAAGTTACCACGAATGGATCTGCAAAATTTATGAGGAAAGGTCAGCGTTGCATCAACCGGAGTGAACAGTAGGAAACACACAAACAAGATAAAACAAGATCACATTTAAAGGGACAATGTACACATGTATACATCAAGGCAAGCAGCAAACACCACTTCCGCGCACCTTATTGGCAAAGTGGGTTAAGTGTCTTGCCCAAAGACACAACAACAGCAGACACCAGTCGGAGTCGGTGGAGAAGGTCTCATGGTGGTTTCGAACCCACAACCTTCAGGCTCAAAGGCCAATGCTCTACCAACTGAGCCACTGTTGCCCAGTCAGATATATCTCCAAATGTGTATTTCATATTTCTACTTATTCTTTATACCTGGTTTTATATAAATAGGTGTGGTGCTAGTTTTTGTTTGTGATTTAAATAAAAAAATAAAAAAATAATAATCCAGCAAAAGTTCACCTAACAAACTGGAAACCCAAAAAAGAGCCTCTGCTGTCGGATTGGATAATCTGATTGAAATGTTAACATGATTATCATGGGCATCATGTGTATTGTATTTGTAATGAAGAATAACTCCACTTTAAACTGTTTCTCAGAAAAGGCCATATGACCAGTTGTCTGGGGACACATACAAGATCATATGAATTATTACAGACTGTCCCTTTAAGAAATATTCTCAAGATCGTCAGTTCATTTAGGAGCTGTATTAACTCACCGTTATCTCACGCAATACATTTCTGTAAATGTTTTTGAGCCGCTATATGCTTTATGTATGAATGTGGTTATATAAGTGCACTTATATCACAGTGCACAGCAGGAGCATTTTGCAACTGTTGTGCTACATAGACAGAGCGCATGTTCGAGGGTCCTGCATCTGCACTAAACAGCAGCGAAGACATAAATGACGTCTGAGGCAACGTGGGGGCGAATCAACAGCACTTTGGACTGCAATTATGAACCCCTCACGCTCATCATCTACGTAACAAGACGATGTCGTGAAGCCACTCTGCAGGTCGGCAGGATGTCTGAATGAGAAAATAGTTAATTCAAGCATGTTATGTATTCAGAGGGAAACAGCTCTTTGGAAACAAATGAAATGCCCAATTAACTCACAATCACATGGGGTGGAAACTCTCCTCTCCAACAAGAAACAAAGAAGAATCACTGTTAACAATAGTTTTTAATAACTGGTACAAAATTACAAAAGCCTATTTGAATCTTAATAAAGAATTCATTATTTCTGTCTCGTCTGGCTGTAGATAAATTTCAACTTTTACAAAAGGATTTAATCATGCATTATTCAGTAGAAGATTATTCATCAAGCTGTCTGCGGTTGAATTTGCTCTGATTTCAGTGCAAAAAAGGAGATTGAGGGTTGTATTTTTGTGATTGTAGAGTAGAGACACAACGGTTAGACTATCCTTGTGAGTGGGTCCTGTGAGAGGCAGCTGTGATCGGGTTCAGGTTGGGTCCAGTGAGTTGCGGAGAGGGAAACATCTGCTGTATTCTCTTCTTTGATGCCTGCCGCTTTCATGTGAAGCTTTACTGATGTGGAAAACCTCTCGTAAGGGAAGACAGAGGCGTGAGTAGGAAGGAAGTGCTGCCATGGCAGGACAATCCGTGCACAAAAGATACCCCCTCGGAGCTGTCAGTTTGAAGCATATCAGCTGCCCAGGAACCGATAACAGCGTTTGTGGAAAGTCTCTCTCAGCAAATATTGTCAATTAAAGTGCGATATGTCACACTTCTGGCATCTTCCCACAGAATTGATAGTACTTTGTCTTCATAGCTCAACAGTGTGATTATTAACTAACCTAGCCTTCAATCTTTAGATTTTTGTCAATCCAAACATGCCTTGTTCATTGATGCATTGAAGGGATTGGCCTAAAGGTCCCACATTACGCTTTTCTTTGGTTTAAACATCATTACAGTGCTATTTGGCCTTCACACACTCGCCCAGGGTAGTGTTTTCATTGAACCCCTCAAGCTTCAGAGAGCAAACTTTCTCTTTCATTCTCCGGAGGAAGCAAAACAGCCTGATTCACTGTGTTACGTAGCACGCTTTCACACGCTGCTCGAGCTCCAGAAGCCCCGCCTCCAGGAGGTGATTGACAGGAGAGAGTGACAGCGAATACAAAAACAGAGAGGCCGTTTAGACACCTCAATGCAAGAAATGGCTATAGTTTCAAAGTTTTGAGAGTTGTGTATCACTTAAATTATGATCACACATGTGCAAAGAATGGACATGATATGGGACCTTTAATAAAAGATTTTTGCTTCATCCAATCCCATTTCAAACAATGTACAGGTGTTTTTTTGTTTGTATTATTTTCTTCTTTTCCTATGAATATTTGTTTGTGTATATTGTGCATTTTTGAAATAGATAAAGAAATGAATGCCTCTGAACCTGCTGAATACTTAGCAATTTTGTGGAATATCTAGACAAAAACTAAACATATCCGTACAGGGAGATGAGCTCAATTCTCCAACAGCAAAGTTACAAAACTTTTTGATAACACACTGTAATTCTGTGAGCAATGGACCGATGTCTTGCAGTATGGTTTGCTATTTGCTATTTTTTGAAAAAGTTTATTTAAATGCCATGAATACTGAAATTCTCCACATCTGGGGGGATTTAACTAGGACCAGGTAAACGACAAACTTGCCAAATCAAGTTGTAAAATAAACATGAAAACATTAAAAGTCTTTGTCCCATCCTGAAAACTCCTCCTCGGCTTTTGTTTGGTCTTGAGCAAAACGATCGAAGTTGATGTAGGCGGGGCCCTAAAGCAGGAGAAAGCAGAGTGAAAAATCAATATGAATTAGTAGTATTTGTTTGAACAATGCTTCAGGGACTAATTTCCAGGAAGTGTCTGACTTGCCTTCCGTACGAGTCGGACCGTGGGCGCCTCGAGCTGTCCCACCCGCAGTTTGTGCCAGTTCATACTGCTGAACCATCTGAGGGAAGCAGAGGTGGGAGCTAATTGATACACACACAAGATACACACACATACACACACACACGCGCACATAAAAATACACACACAGACACAATACATGCACAAACACAAGCACCATCTGAAAGGAGTAGAGGTGTGAGCGAATACACATACATACACATGCACACACAGACACACACACACCATCTGAAAGAAGCAGAAGTATCAGCTTATACGCACACACGCGCACAGACACGAGACACACACATGCACACACAGACACGACACATACACACCATCTGAAAGAAGAAGAGGTGTTGTCTTAAACATACACATACGCATAGACACACACAGACACATACACACACACATACATGCTTAATAAAACACACATGCATGCACACAATCACCAACACAATACACACACACATGCACACACATACACACAATACAACAAACTCACACATGCACGTTACAAACACCCACACAATACACGCACATGATAGAAACACACATGCACAAATGATGCTAACACGCACACGCACACACATATACTTTCACACAATACATATACTTTCACACACATGCGTAAGACAAACACTATGAGACACACTCATAGACACAAGCGCACAAATGCACAGGCAAACACACAAACACACTCACAATACAAACACGCATGATACACACACACAGGCCCAGACAACCACACATAATATATATACAAAATACTGTACACACACACACACACTCACACTCAGTCATTCATGTGTCCTGTTGCTGCGGTTACCTGTGATTTCGGATGTCTTTGATTCCGTTCTTGGTGTTTCCTAGTCTCTGACCTGGTCTTGGCCTACGACACATGTTTGTTATGAACAGTGGATCTCAAACCATAGTAGAATAGTTTTTCCTGAAATCTATTAAAGTGATTTATCAGACACAGTTACTGATCAGATCTGTGGAGCTGAGTGTAGCACAATATTTATATTTATTACAGTTTATCTCTGCGGTGATGTATCGCCCACAAAAGTTAACAATATCTCGACAAGCCTTACACAGGCTGCAAAAACATGTCGGTGCTTGCAGCCGGTTATTTTCAAACTGGGGGGGGGACAAAAAAAACAACAATGTCACATCTCCCTCTGGTGCTAGCATGGGAGTTACAGGCGGAAGGCACGTTTTACCCTTTACAATTTAAATATTTTTTTATGATCTTGTTTCCGCACATACAGATTTTGAGGACAGTAAATTAAACAAAAGTCTGAATGTCACTACCATTGGTCTCCTATCCTGACTTCTAATCTGTTTTGTCAGACACATTATTTCTAAAGAAGATCCCCCCACTCCTGCCGAGAGCCAAAACGGAAAACAAGACCAAAAATATATATATATCAAAAGGAAGTAATATAGAAGGGAGAGAGTTTATCATATATTTTCCCATTCCCCATTCTAAAACATGAAATGATAAAGTAATATTGTGTTTTTATCATTAATAATGGCCAAAAACAATGGATAATATGTCTTCTTTAATGAACTACTGAGAGATAGTATAACTGCTCTTTATGGACACAAACTTACAGTCTGCATTTACTTTCATTTGGCACAGATCCTCCAGAGCCTTTGGACAAACACATCATTCTTACAGCATCAGTGTTAGTGTTCGTGTTCCCACCTGCACAGTTTACTGATGATGGACTTGGCAGCTTCACCTAAGTACGGAGGATACTTCAGAACCCCGTCTAAGATCTTGGCATAAATCTTCTGTGGCTCTGAGCTTGAAAAGGGAGGACTGCAGGAAAACACAAAAAGAAAGGGTTAACGCTATGTATACTGTATGTGTCTGATATGAACCCGGACCACAGCTACACGTACCACACGTCACTGCTGCCACCTACTGGTTACAACTACTTATACATTTGTATGCTTTTACTGTATTATTCAGTAATCGGGCTTCACATTAATTGCAATCAAATCGAAATCACAAAAAATGCAATTATTTAAGTCCCTTGTGAATAAAAACACACAAAAAATGGGGACTTAAACTTGAAATTGGTGAAATTCCTCTTGGGGTAAGATTTTTTGAAGTTTTGTTAAAGGATATTTAAGCATTATTTTCTCATTCCAATTGAGATCTCCCACCCCTTTTTTATAATCTTAACAAAACAACAACTCAGGTCTGACTATAAGACGCACAAACACACACACACAAAAGGAAAAGATCAATTCAAGCATTTAAAAAGTTCACAATTTGGCAGTGAATCATTGATTTCTACAAGAAGAATTTTTTGTACAGTAGGTTCTTCAAGCCTATTCTGAAATGTGGGTAAATTTTCATTCTATTAAGTTTGACGTTTAGTATGTCAAAAATTGCATCGCGATCGCAATGTTGCTCAGAAATAGTCAATAGAAAAACAGCCAAAATCATGCAACGACCTCGTGCAAGAAAACAAACCGCTTACCTTCCTGCTAGAAGCTCAAAAATCAAAATCCCCAGGGACCAAAAATCTACAGCAAAGTCGTGTCCCTGGTTTTTAATAATTTCTGGTGCCATGTATTCAGGAGTGCCTACAAAGGAATAAGTCTTGTCCCCTCGATTCAACTCCTTTGCAAACCCAAAGTCTACCTGAAACACAAAGAATTAGGGAAAGATTAGGATTAAGATTAATAGATCCTTTATTTGTCCCACAGTTGGAATATGTCAGTGTTGCATCACCAAACTGTAATAAGTGAACCAGACCAAATTTTGATGTAAAATATTTTAGGTCATTACAATATACTTAATTTTCCACTCTTTTATATTTTTGGTTGACAAATAAGTACTGTATAATATTATCATAGAACAGTAGGAATACGGAGCACACAAGATAAATGAACAATAACTCTATACTGAACAGAATACATCTCTAACTTTAGCGTTAAAAATAATCAAGTATAAAATATCTAACTTTAGCATCATAGGGAAGCAATCTAAAAAATTCCCACTTTAGCATAATGAAGAAGTAAGTGTAAATACTGTATATCTATTGTTGTATGTATGTATATGTTAAGCATGAGGGTATGGGGTAAGGAGGACAGATATGAAAGATGAATCATACAGAAGTAACCATAGTCATTTAAGAAATGTCCTGACTGACCAGTTTGGCGTATCCTTTCATGTCCAGCATCAGGTTTTCAGGTTTTAGGTCTCTGTACATGATGTTTTTCTTATGGAGGTAGACGTAGGCCTCCACCACACACGCAGTGCAGAATACAGCGATGGGCTCGTCAAACCGGCCCCTGATCAAAGGCACATGACACCATCGTGAACTCACTCTTATTAGCTCTCAAATGCCATCGCACTAATGGCTTTCACTCTGTAGTGTAATGAGCAGCATGTCAACAGAGATGCCCTTTTCCTCCTACACCTGTGCCTTTTCATTTCAAAGCAGTGGAACCAAACATATGTCTCCTGCCCTGTATTCACCCCAAAAAGACAGACTGTGGTGAACGAATCATATCTCTACATGCTGTCTTCATAATTATAGATGTTGTCTTAACGCTTAAGGATGAGAGGTGATTGGCTGAGTGAGGGTGGGGATGATCCAGGAAACTCAACTCAACTTTCAACAACATTTATGGACATTTATCATCATTTATGGGCATTTATGGCAAATTCAACAGTCCTCCGGGATAAGGGCCCCTTCGAAAAAGAGTTGATGCATCTCAATGGGGCTATCCTTGAATTCATAAATAAATAAATTACTACTGTTGTGATTTAGAGCTGTTCAAAAATAAATGTCACTTTTTTTTGTCTGAAAAAGCTAAGACTAGTGATGGAGTCAAGCTGTTTTGATAGCGTGGAGCTTTTTACATGGTTTGTGCTACATTTTCAGTTCCATTATTTTCTTTTATTTTCTGACTTAAAGTTAAGGCTCATTTCCACCAGCCCTGCATGGCCTTTCTCCACTCTACTCTACTCTACCCAGCTCTACTACACCTGGTTGCATTTCCATTATGCTTAGAATCTGGTACCATATCTTCGCAACATACCCACAACGATCCAGTATTCAGGAAGATATCTGGTCAACATGTCTTCCAGCAGCACTCTGGAAGTCATTTTAGCACCAGCTCGGCCTGGATAGAACCAGGGCCTAGCAGGTACCAAAAAATACCTGGTACCGTTTAAATAGGGCTGGTGGAAACGCTTCCAATAATCACGGTAGAGTAGATAAGAGTAGAGTAGGGCAAAGTAGGGCTGGTGGAAACAGCGTCTTAAATGCCTCAGCTTTAACGTCAGAGATGGGTGTTTGAGGTGAGAATAGTTTTGCAAAATCATGTTTTGAATGCTGGACTTCACGATTGGCATTTCACTCTTGTGTCAGACTTACTCCTCTATCTATTAACACAGCATGCATTTTAGGAGGAAACTGAGATCAAGAGAAGCCGGACGAGAACAACACCAAACCAAGACAATACAATGAAGACTGAGCTCAAGCCAAAACCAAAACAGGTCAAATGTGAATTCAAAAATATTAAGTTGATCTTTCCGACTATAGACAAATTACATGTCATAGAATTACAAAATAACTTACACTTCTTTCAGTTTGGTCCACACTTCCCCTCCACCACAAAACTCCATCACCATATAAATATATCGAGTGTCTTTGAAGGTAGCATGAAGTCTGAAAACAAATCATATTTTCTAAGTTCACGTCTGAAATGGTTAATTTTAAACAATAGTTGTGTGTGTTTTTTGATGAACTTGTATGTACCTGACAATGAAGTCACACTGAATGGCCTTGAGGATCTTTTTCTCAAACAGCATGTGCTCCTCCTGTCTCTTCACAACGATCTGCTTCTTACTGACCTGTTTCATGGCATAATATTTCCCATAATTCAGTGTTGTCATCTGAAATAAAGAAGGAGAATAAATAGTGTGCAAACGTTGAAATTCCATTAGCAAAACATCTCTAACATCTCAGACATTAGGTCTAGGGTCACAAGCTGGAGAAGACTGTCCATGCTAGTGTTTCCATGAATTCTGCTGCTTTTTTTTGACCCGGACCCAAATAGGAGCCCATATTACTCCAATCTTCCACTTCTTACACTAGCTACCTGTCTCACATAGAATCAATTTTAAGATTCTGGTGCTGACATTCAGGGCTCTTCATGGTCAGGCGCCTGAATCACCAGAATGATTCACAATTGGAAGGACTAATCTTGATGATCCACCTGGAAGTAGATAATCCTCCTATATACCTTTAAGACCCATTGGTTTAGGCTGTTCTTTTTTAGCTTGTTTCTTGTATAAGTAAGTAAGTAATCTTTATTTATATAGCGCCTTTCACAAACCAGAGTCACAAAGAACTTCACAATTGTAATGGCATTTTTTAGGCATTTTGTCTCTTACTCTACACAGATATGGGAACGAAGTCGCCATAGTTAGAAACTGCTTTTATCATCTCAGAAACATATCCAAAATTCGAAACATATTTTCACAGAAGGATTTGGAGATGATCATTCATGCCTTTGTTTCCACACGTCCTGACTACTGCAACTCATTGTTTACACGTCTTAATAAGAGTGCTCTTAACAGACAATTTGTGCAAAACTCTGCTGCCAGACTTTTAACAGGAACCTCTCAGTGGTCTCACATCACCCCGGTCCTGTCCTCACTTCATTGGCTCCTAATTAATTTACATATTGATTTCAACATTTTAGTTTTAACTTTCAGAACCTAAATGGTCTGGCTCCATCTTACATCTCGGACCTCTTGACCCAGACAGACATTTTTAGTTTAGTTTATTCACAATTCACACAGTCCCTAAAAGTACATGTGCTACATTGTGAAAATGGAACTCCCAGAAGCAGAAGCTTATACCCCATACTGTTCTGGCCGCTCTCTTAGGTCCACAGGACAGAATTTACTTGCGGTCCCAAAGACCCGCTATAAGACCCGGGGGGACCCGTTCTTCCAATCCGTGGCCCCCAGACTGTGGAACGCTTTGCCTCTGTCCCTCCGTGTGGCCAACTCTGCCAATGCTTTTAAAAAGGGACTAAAGACCCTTCTTTTTAGGGCAAATTTTATTTAATTTCTTGTTTTTATATTGTTATTTTCTATTTTTTCTTATTTCTATTGTATATACATATCTGCTTTTACCTTGTACAGCACTTTGTGATTTTTATCTGTGAAAGGTGCTCTATAAATAAAATGTACTTACTTACTTACAAATACAGGAGGCGCTTGCTAGATATGTTCTATATCTCGTACCCACTGGGGACTTTTGCACATGTATTCCAATGTGGTTTTACTGCTAATGGTAAATAAAACGAATCTGAATCTGAATCATAGGCCTGATGCTTTTCAGAATTGACTTTTTTGTGTATTGACTGCCTTTGTGTGCTTTTAGTTGTGAAGCGCTTGGTGATCCTGGTCTGTGAAAGGCGCACTACGAATATACTTGACTTATTTGCTTACTTAACCACATGAGTAAAAGTCAAATACACAAGTGGTAGATTTCAAGCCTTGAAAATCCCACTCACAAGCTGAACACGTCCAAATCCTCCCACCCCCAGAGTCACCGGGTCGCCCTGGTAGCGCCCCTCCTGGTACATCACCGGAACGAGGTCCTTGAATCTCAATGTGGAGCTGGGGCTGAAACATGAATTATGAAATAGTCATCTCTAGTGTTTTTCAATGCCACAGCTGTAGGCCTTATTGGTGCTCTGCATAAATATAAATTTAATCATCTATACCTGGATTTCTCTGGAACTTCTGCGTCTTGTTGCATGACTTTGGAGCTATAGAACAAACAAGAAGTCAATGCAGTAAATACATATAAATATCTATGACTTCCAGCTTAAATTTTTCAAATGATTCACAAAAACAAAGTAAAATTGATTGAATATTAGTCACAAAAGCATCCTCCGTAAACTCGTGGATACTTATACGCACTCGTCAAAAAGCTCCAGTTGTTCAATTGGAATGGTCTCTTCAAAAACTCTGCACAAATAAACAGGACATGGAACGATTAAAACTCCCACGTAATTATGGAGTGAATGGACAAGAGAAACTCGGCCTGACTCACTCCTTATCGATGGAGAAGCAGGTGACAGGGCCGTCAGCGGTGCAGGTGGCGGTCCTCAACATCTCACTGCAAAAGAAAAGAAAAACAATCCATTTTAAACTTGGTTTTTTCAGTCAAATCCAAAGTTTTCTGAGGGAGTCCACTACATGCACTTGTTGCCATGGATATGTTTTTGTTTGCTTTGAATGTACCTAAATATAATAATATTAATAATAATAATAATAATAATAATAATAATAATAATAATAATACCTTATTGATGATGCACTTTATATTTCCATTAAACCTCAAATTGAAGTCAATATGATATAAAACATGTGCAATATTTATTTTACGTATTTTCAATCTGAATTATTACATTGGGTTAATTGTCCTCTCCACTGAAATGGCTTGGAAATTTCTTTCTTGTTTCTAGTTTGTTTGTTTTCAATGTAAAAGCAGCTTTGAAGGTGGTGTACCAATTTTTTTTAACAGGGTTCTAACAAGATAAAGACATCCTGCTCCCATCTCTGGAGGGACGGACTAATGTCTTGTGACTCTGGTCTGTGAAAGGTGCTGTATAAATAAAAATTAAAAAAAGTTAGAAATCCCAACTTGGAAAGAATACTTTGAAAAAGTATTTAGTTCCAAGAAATTATTACCTGCTTTAAAAAGCATTGTGTAACATTCCGCTTCATTTATTTATTTATTGTTTATTTGGCTGGGACAGCACATGTTAATGAACACATCACTCCGGATTGTAGCCATGGGCTAATTTCCATTCGTTGTCCCAGAGTCACTCTCTCAAACACACACTCATTCACCCTGAATGAGTGTGTGTTTTTAGTGGTAGGGAAAATTGGAGTACCCGGAGGAAACCTACGCAGACATGGGGAGAACATGCAAACTCTATCCAGAAAGGCCCTGTTCCCACCGGGATTCAAAACCCAGAACCTTCTTCTATTCACTCAGCCGCCCAATAATCCAATCAGAGTACTGTGACTTTTGGAACACGCTTATCTACATATGATTATGGTGTTGGATTCAGCAACGGATAGTGTTAGTTAGAAAAGATAAAACAAACTTACTTTGATATCAATGTCTTCCAATACTCAAAAATAGTAGTCTGAATTATTTTATATCTATACATAACGTTGTTTACTCCCAAAAACTGAATTAGCCACACTTAATTGATCATTTACAAAGATCTTTTCTTAACTAATGGTTTCCACAGGACAGCAGAGAGCTTGTCATCAGCGAATGGGAAGCACACACACAGTTTCCATTATTCAGCCACACACCCCTGATGTCATGTCCGGAGGCAAAACTGCTGCTGTTGCCTGGTTACCGTATAAGGGCCTGCTCCCCGAAATGCTCCCCTTTTCCCATGCGGCGGATCTGCTTCTGATGCCCGCTCACGTTCTTCGTCACCAACACCTGAGGGGAGAGCGAGGAAGAGAGGGGAGAGAAGGGGGAGAGAGAGGGGAGAGAGAGGGGAGAGAGAGGGAGAGAGAGGGGAGAGAAGGGGGAGAGAGAGGGGAGAGAGAGGGGAGAGAGAGGGGGAGAGAGAGGAGAGAGCTAGCATTAGTGTGTGGGGCATTCACTGGCAGCATGGCCTGAGTTCAAAAGGAGTACCTCGCCTTTGAGAATGATGTAGAAAGCATTTCCCTCTGTGCCCTCTCGCACTATCACGGCTTTGTCCTGGTATTTCACCTGAGAGGGAGATTCCAGAGCATTTGACAGGTTGTATTTTTAAAGCAAATGAAAACTTAATTGTTGTGACAAAACCCCTGCACTGGTTCTACAATTCAGACCAGTCCACATGAAACCAGTACAGAGTCAATACTATGAACAGCAAGTTTAAGCCTGAGGAACTGTTGTAAATATTGTATGTTTGTGTATTTTTTTGTCTGTATTTTTGTCGTCTGTTTATGTTTTATATGGACTCTTTATGCGTCTGAATTTATAGATTAAATAGTGTAATTCAACTTGGTTACTTACTCGCAAAAGCAATTATCTGACTGTTGAAAAATTCCTTCATGGTAAAGTTTTTGTGTCATACCAATCCTGAACTTGTGTAACTTGATAATTAAATTGGATTGGATTATTAGATTATATTGGTAAAAGTACTATGTGTAATGTGAAAGCATACTTGAAAATTAGAATATCTTTCAAAAGTGAATTTATTTCTTTAATTCAACTTCAAATGTTGAACCAAAATATGGTTTTTACTTACTACATGCAACATGCCATATGTCGAGCTTTTGTCTTTTTTGCCTCTGATAATAATCGTCATCAAAATAATTGTTTACATTAGAAAAAGTCACTATATGAAATGTTTTATTTGGGGTTTTTACAAGCTCTGAGCCATAATTATCAACATTATAACAAATAAAAGCTTGCTATGTCTCACTTTCCATGTAATAAGTATATCATTTTAGTTTCACATTGTAAGTACAGTAAGTAAGTAATCTTTATACATAATTGTTAATTAGTATTTGGCGTCTCACTCCACATATGAGAGCGGGTCACCCTACAGGAAGCACATGCCAGACTTATTGTAAATAACGTTTGAATTTGCCAACACATATCAGAGAATCAGACAGTTAAAATTGACTTACCTCCTCCATTGAATCAATAATTTTTGACAATTGGACATCATTCAGATCCTTCAAAGTGCGAGCCCTATGAGACAGGACAAAGAAAACATGTGAATTATGTGTGGATGATAGTAAAGGTTGTGAGGACTTTTGAGGCTCTCTCACGTCTTCAGGAAGCCCAAGATCTGCTCCCGTTTTTTCTTGGACTTGTTGGTGATGATGGTCCTGTAGGTCTGCCGCTCCATGCACCACAAACGCACTGATGATTTTGCTGCGTTTGGGGACAAAAAGAAAATAAGACAGTATTTTAACCTTGGGCCCTTACTGAGGTCCATTTCTGTATCCATCCATCCATTTTTGTCGGGACAGCAGTCTTTCTCAAAGGGAACGACCAGCCACTCTGAAGAGAAAGCTAATTTCGACCGCTTGTAACCACAATCTTGTTTTGTGGGTCATTACCCAAAGCTCATGACCAGAGGTGAAGGTGCAGGGAACGTAGAGTGACCGGTATATCGAGTGCTTTTCCTTTCAACTCTGCGCCCTCTTCATCACAACAGTTCGATACAGCTCTGACTACAGACGCTGCTCCCTCATCACCACAACAGTCCGCCACAGCGATGGCATCACTGCCGACGCTGCACCGACCAATCTCATTCAAATCACTGCTAAAGACACATTTCTTTGCTCTGGCTTTTAGCTCAAGCTAAAATTAAGCTCTTCTACAGACTTCGCAGACCACTATTTTATTTTATGCTGTATTTATGTGTGTCATCTATATTTTGGTAATGTCTGAAAAGCACTTTCTGGCAGTTTTTGAAATGTGCTATATAGATAAACTTGACCGTGTCCTTAATTTTGATCATATTTCTCTCACTCAAGAACAAGACCCGAGAGATACTCAAACTCCTCCACTTCAGCAAAGACCTCTCCACCTCAGAGACTAGACTAAATCATCTCTTGAAATGATATTTTTCTTTACCTTTGACTGTGGCTGTCCTTTTGCAGTTGTACAGAATGGCTAACTCCCCAAAAACATCTCCAGTGGTCAGAGTGCGAAGGTCCTGCCCCGCCTGAGTCACTTGTAACTCACCAGCTGCAAACACAGTGATTTTAAATGTAATTTCTTGATTTTCTCATATTTTGCAAACAAACATTGAGATAATTGTACCTGCCACTATGTACATGCTGTCCCCTTCGGAGCCCTCTTTGATGACTTCCTCTCCGGGTTTGAACTTGAAGAGCACCAGCAGCTCCACCATCATGGTCGTCTGCTCGTCATCCAGCCGCTTCAGGAAGTCGTTCTTCTGGATGGCTTTGACGATCAGACTAGTCTCCCTGAGGGTTACAGACAGAGAGAGATCCAATTTCTAAAAAGACCAATTGTATACTATACATCCATCCATTCATCCATTTTCTACCCCTTAATCCATTTCTGGGTCGGGGGGTGGAGATGCCACCCAGTTCACATAGCACCAGCACCACTATACTATACTCTACTATACGCAGTGATTTGAAAAAGTATTCATATACTGTAAACATTACAATCTTTTTCTCATTGTCTCGTTGATGTGAAAGACCAACAAAATGTGACAAACAATTGTAACGAATAAAAAAATACTAATGTTCTGGTTTTAAGTTGTGTTCTATATATGCTTGAAATGGTCTCTTAGGGGAAATTTTACAGACGTAGGTGAGAAACAATGAATTTCTAAGTCAACTGTTATCATAAAAGAGGGGCTGGTTTTTATTTATTTGTTGGGAAAGGGGATTCAGTGATTAACGCAGATTCATAGACGTAAATAGAGTAGACATCTGTTCCGGACTATCTCTGTTCAGTATCGCTCGACCTCCCCCCAGTGAGGTTACATTCCACGTCCCAAGCGCCAGATGTTGTGTGTGCGGACTGGGTCGTCGAGGTCTCCACCTTCAACTGCCGCCCAGTCCTCCCTGCCCCTTTGCCCCATGGCTCCCTCTGTGTGTGGTGGGTGGCGACGTCATAGATTTCATTAGCGTGTGTTTCATGGTTGATTTTTGACTGCGCTTCGCCTGACTCGTCACCCAAGACTTGTTTGCCATGGGAGGCTCTACCAGGGGCATCAACAAATGGAGATGGGTCCCTGGGTGCTGTACTAAGGTCAGGACAGACCTAGTGATATCAGGATGGGTCAAATTGCTCTAAATAAATGAAGTGCACCTTTACCTTTACTTTACGTTTATGACCAGAGGCGAGGGAGGGATGTTTCCTCCGTGAGCTCATGTTACCTCCTCTCAAGCTCAGGCCTCTGCATTGAACCAGTTTACTCACGTTGCATTTTTCTTGACTCGAGTGCTGGAGATCTCCAGGGTCTCAGCGATGGGTTCAGGAGCGATGACCGCAGCTCGACTCTTTCTAAACTCCTGCACCTCATTACCGCTGTGTCCAGGGAACTCTAAACACCAAACATGTGAATATTACATGTGTTTTGTGGACTGGACTCGTGACAAAGCGCTCACCTGAGTCCTGGCTTTGCAGCTGTTGCAGTAGTCTCTCCTTTTCTTGAAGACGGATTTCTAAAGATGAACACCCATAATTTATCTTATACATTCATTCATCATCTCTTATCGCTCATCTCTATGGCTATATAGGGCAGTTATAGTTACAGGCACAAAACAAGAATTATTTTGACATATTCATGAAGATTATGTTCAAACAACATGCGAATACACCTATATGTTTAATTGCATGTCTTCTTCAACCAGTCCACCCCAGGGCAGGCACTTCTTCATTAGTAACTATAGCAGATATTAGGTCCGAGGTCCTCAGAGCCTCATTATAGGACTGCAAAGATACTCCACGTTCACCAGAGACAACATGCTGACGGCACATTGTTCTTCCATCTACTGGAAAATATTGATGTCAATCCATGCTCCATTACTCTGGTGTACTTACCCAAGTCTTTATTTTGTCTTTGTAGCTCTTTGTTGATAAAACATTGCTTTTCTAGTTGCTGCTTCAGATCCTCAAGTTGTTTCTCCATATCTGTACATGAAATATAGACTCTGCATTATTAAGCTTTTACATTTAACATTGCACTGGAAAATAATTAAATAATACATTCTATTGATAATCCACTTTTCATTTACACAAAACTTCAAAGTGCTGTAGATTGAAATACAGTTTATCAATTTCAATTCAGATTAATTAAAACAAAAATGCGGGCACTTGGGTAAAAAAGGTCAAAACAAGGTCCGAAAAAGGAACACAAATACAACAAACATCCAAATAAAAATATCAAAACAGACATGAAATAGTCCGAATAACAGTGACAACAGTTGTTTCTGTAACACCACAACAACCTTTACGCAGCGGCAGCACAGGGGGCAGCATCATGAGGCCCCCCACCTGCTGAATAATGCAGCATGATGAGGGCAGACGGTGGGACGTCCTCTGAACGCTGCTGCGCCCCACCGACTGCTTCAAAGATCTGTGTGGGGTCTTTAGTTTAGTCCGCTAATGGGGCTTATTATTAGAACGTGCTAATATAATATAATATTATGCATTTTGTTCTCAATTGTTGCTTCTTCATTATGCTAAAGTTGGACAGTTTAGATTTGCTTTCTTATTTTACAAAAGCTAGAGATTTTATACTTGATTCTTTTTATGCTAAAGTTAAAATTTGTTTTATATTTGAGTTATTGTTCATTTATCTTGTGTTGTTTGGTCCTCATTCCTACTGTTCTGTAACCGGTGATGCAACACTGACATTTCCCCACTTTGGGACAAAAAAGGATCTCTTAATCTTAATCAATAATTTAGATAATCCATGTTTACATAGCGAGTTAGTTGGTGCTGACGCCGAGACAGCCAGGTATTTTCATGAAGATGGATGTGTTTCTTTGTGGACAGAACAAGGATACACATTAGCTCACTTAAATCCCAGTGGGAATATAACAGACCAATCACAATTTAGTAATGGGATCACATGACCCTAGCTGTGAACGTTGGACATTCAGAGATTAGACAAAGTGCAAATCATAAAGTTATTGCAAATGAACCCTGGTTAGTTATTTTCCTCTTGTTCGGGCCGAATTAAAACTACAAAACAACCAAATCAAATATAAAAACTAATTACAATCTCGAAGCAATAACATTTTACAACACAGCAGTTGCAGGTAATAGCTTCAACTCAAGTCAAATATGTTCCTGGCTTTTGATTAACTTTTGAGAAACACACACGGGTTGGAGAAGTGCTCAATTATTGTATGTGCTTTCTAGGAAATGAAGAGAGCTTATGTGTTAACCTGCGTTTGTTTGTTTATGAGTATTGAATTGAGCTCTGCGTGGCTACTTCGTTTGACTTCCCCCGATGGGCCCAAGGACTAATTTAGTTTAGTTTAGTTTATTAATTTATTTCAACAGGGACAATGTGCAAATACATTAATTAAAGATGCTTTGCACCAGATTTAGCTTGAGCTAGTTTCCATCTGCAGTCCCTGAGCAGGTGAGTCACAACATGTACAATATAAAATATATTTAACCACTCAAATACAAATATTCATTCATACATTCACCCGTTACATCCATCAGTCCACATAAATTCATGCTAAAATTACTACATAAAACATCACTAACGGTCATATTTACATTTACAATTATCAGTGCTGACATGACTGGTTCACCAACAGCACTTTTTTTGTATTACGAGAGAAATCTTTCAGGTCTAAGGAAAGTTTCAGACTCTGTGGGAGTTTGTTCCATTCTTTGATGCCTTTGAATGAGAAGGATGTCTGCGCAAAGGCTGAGCTACGTTTAGGCAGTCTACAGTCATTACGACTTGTAGACCTAGAGCTCCTAGTCATCTGCTCAGAACAGAGCTGGACAAATGTTTTCAACGGTGGAGGTGCAGTATTATTCAAAATTTTAAAAACTAATTGTACATTTGCGTACACAATTAAATTATCAAAGTTAAACATGCTGTATTTTCTGAGGATCAGACAGTGATGGTATCTCAATAGTTAATAATCTTATTCTGAAATACTTTTCCAGATTATAAAATGACAGCTACAACCAATGTGTGAACAAGTACTGAACTAAATTAGCAATGCTGTTGTTGTTAAATTCAAATGACTTTCAGGACAAGTCTAGATCCAGAATTGAGGAATCATTGTAGCAATAGTGTTTCTTTATCATAATAATAAAGCTTTCTTGCCTTATTTTATTCTGCATTTATTATCCCCACCGCTGTCAGACTGTAAAATAAGTCACTTTAATGACGTGCACTCGGACTGTAAACTTGCACTGCTATAGTCACTTTGAAGTTCACTGTACGTAATATATCTTTTCACTTTTTAACATATTGCACATCTCCTGTTTGCATTATTCCTGTCTTTTGCACACCCTGAGAGATATGCCAAATGTGACATTTTAGTTTCTCCTTTTGTGAGATCAATAAAGTCTATCTTAGTTTATGTTATATAATTTGCATGGGCCGAAAAAGCTCAACAAAATTTCATATTTAACAAGCATGTTCATTTAGTGTGGTATAAAGGCAAAATGAACTTGCTTATTACAGTAATAGAACATGGAATAATAAAGACAAGAAGAAGGACCTCACCTGTACACTTCATGCAAGGCAGGTGGAAGAAGAAACAATTTTAAAAAATAAAAAAATCCCTCTCTGATTGATCTTGTTGGAGTTATGCAACCTGACTGAGCTGAACAAAAGCCCGGGGAGCAGAGAGCACTCAGCCCTGTCCACACACTGTTTAACAATGCTTCCCTCTGCCCGCGCTGCACCTCTCAAACTGACATGTCGCTCCATCCACTAGTTACTATTTTTACTTCTCTCTCACACTCTCTCCTCTTCCCCTATCTGTCAATCTCTGCAGCTCAAGTGTTGAATAATTAACCGCAGCTCGAGGCCCCTCCCATGTCACATCAGGACCAGGTAACAACGTGGCATGATAACTGTGGGTAAAGTGAGATAAACTAGCGTCTCTCAAGTGTGTGGTCATTTCAGAGGGTTTTGTGAGTGCTTAATGGGGACCTGAGCGTTGCCAGCAGATGTGTTTGTTATGGAAGAAAAGCATTGTGACAGAGGGTGTGGACCTTTATTGTTCAGTTAATTATTGATACACTAGTTAATCAGCTACATTATAGGTCCTGGCGTTCAGATAAAAGGATCCAGCATGCACCTCCTGTCCCATGTGTGTAATTGTTTTACCTGCAAATGTGACATATATATACATTCATTCATTTTCAACCCCTTTAAAAGTCCATTTCTGGGTCCGGGAGGTGGTAATGAGAGCTGCCACCCAAAGCTCATAGAAACAGTCCCTCGCTGATCCTCTGCAGGTGGTGGGTCCACAGGAAGATGGCTGCGCCGTCAGTGGTGAAACTGCCTTGGTCTTTCAGCGGGGGCTTCAAGCAACTTGGGGTTAAGTGTCTTGCCCAAGGACACAACAAAAGTAGACAATAGTAGGAGCAGGTCCCATGGTGGGCTTGAACCCACCACATTCTGGCCAATGCTCTACCAACTGAGCTACTGTCACCCCACTGTGTACAAACACATATACATATAAACATACGCACAGTCTGCATACACATACACTATACATAATACATACAGATATACATATACAAATACACATACATACATTACGTACTGTTTGAACTTGGACTGGTTAACTTTAAAAGAGACGTTTTATGCAAACTTTTTGGAGATTTTAACCATGTTATGTCATTGTTCCTCATAAAAAATAGATTTGGAGTTTAAATCCACCCAGCATGATATCAGGACCTTCTGGCACAAACATGTAACTCTGCCTCTTCTGTCAAAAAGCTCAGTCCTGTACAAGTATGATGTCATTGTATCACTATGACATCACACTCAGAACCATTTTCTGACTTTTAAAACAAAAAAAATGTCGTCCCTAAATCAAATCCAAAAGAGATTGGCGTTCTTTATAATCACTGTGGGTGCAGCTGGTAATTTTCAAATTTGGAAAAAACAAAAACTCAACTCCTTCCTCTGGTGGTAGCAATAGGAGTTGAAGCCTCTGTTTTATGTTGAAGTGTTTTTTTTTTTTTTTTACATTCTAAAAGTAAAGAGCTAAAGCCCTTCATCAAACAAGGCAGATTTTTGTGCTTTTGAGGTTTTGTTTGTTGCATATCTGCTTCAAAGAAAATAATTAGTTTTTGTAAGTTTTTATCTATATAAATATATAATGATCAAAAATAGTCACATGTTGTCAAAGTAATCTTTATTTATGTTATTTATTTTCACAGACCAGTCACAAAGTGCGTTACAATTGTGGTTTAAACACAAATGTATAATAATTTATTCATAATAGAGGAAAAATATGCTGTTTTGTGACTTTGGATTTTGAACCTTTATGACCTAATTATGGCTTTTTGAATATGAAAAATATGAATGAGAGGCTTTGAAAAATATGAATCCTAAGAAGACTATATTTTCATTTTTAACCTTTAACATGTTGCACACTCCTGTCTTTTGCACAATCTGAGTGATTCTATCTGTGCCAAATGTGACATGTACATTTCTCCAGTGTGAGATCAATAAAGTCTATCTTATCTTATCTTTCTATGTACTATATATATAGTTAGAAAATGGAGTGATAGAAGGTTAACTGGAGCAAGTCTGGTTACTATAAACTAGAAGATCATGAATCTTCACCTATTTGGTGGTTTTATGTCCACAAATAAAGCTTTTCTTTCCTCAGATGAACCAGAAAAGTTCCAGTTAAAGTGGTCCAGACCAACAAGCGTGAGCGCGCCGTGAATGAGATGTATCGTTTATTACTTCCTGAAATTACTTTGTGAAGCCTAAAAGAATAAGTCTCATGTTTTCAAATACAAGTACCGCTTTATTATAGCTCAGATCAGATACAGCTGGAAATGTTAGTTTTACAATTCATAGTGGCTCATGTTCAATGCCCTTGGAAAGGTTTCAAGTCGAGTTCATGAATCTAATGTGAGGTGATATAATAATGCAACAGGTGCAAAACAAATACAAACTATTCTCTATGAATTAAAGTAGCACCAAGTAACCACAGATCTTTGCTAAAGAGAGTGCAAATATACTAACAGTATAAACTTCATCTTCATCAGAGGAATGTGCATAAAATAAACAGGTGCCGAGATTCACATTTGGGACCTGAAAAATTAAAACATACATAACAAACTAAATAAGTCATAATGAACAAACTAATATAGAAGACAGAGAAGGAATGATTCAAATAAAACAGGAAATGCCAACGACTATATCCAAGTTAAAACATTCTATGATCTCAGCAGTGTGATAAGGGATGCACCGCTCCAGCTTCTTCACGTCTGATACTCAACTCCAAACTTTCAATATCTGCTGATACTCGACATGAACGTTCAATTTACTTACACTGTGTCAAATCTAACTATTAGTTAGTAATTACTATTACTAAGTATTACATCTATCAATATTGTGGCATAAATAGAAATTGTTTAGGTAAAAATAATGGGTTGTTATTTATGTTAAAATTCTAACATCCGCCAGTAGAGATAACATCAACTAAAAGGCCTAATCATGGTGCCTGCTAAAGCGACATACTCAAACCTACATAATCCCCAATATCAGCCTCATTATGCGATACCAGTATCGTATCGGTGCATCCCCAAGTGTAACAGTAGACATTCAGTACATTTCGTTGAGGTCAACCCCAGAGGTGGCAATTTGTGGATGTGACCTGAGTTGAGGTAGGTAAGAATGTGAGATGATACGGAGTGTGTAATAATGAGGGTAGACCAACTGCTTGTGTAATGTGACGACGATGTCAATGACCGATGACAGAACGTGCGCTCGCACAGCAGCTTCACATCATAACAATAAAATCAGCTCATGAGGATGTCGCTGATGCCGCATGCTTCCTTCAGGTCCTCGGGATGTTCAAACACGGCCTGTGCAAACTGTCCAAACAGATGCTCCATCAGGCCCTCACTGCGCGGGAACAGGCCCTGCATGAAGGCGATGTGTCCGCCGTGAGCAGTGACCATCAGAGCCACGTTCGGGAGCTGCTTAACCGTGGCCAGGGGAAAGCCTGAGGACACACGGAAACTCTGTTTAGACCCACATATTCAATAAGCTAATGAGTCAATATCTCTAACAAACTGCTACAGCTAGTAGCCTTTACAAAAGAATACATTATATACTGTATTTACTTACTCTTTCTATATTTACTTACTTATATATTTACTTACTTATATATTTACTTACTTATATATTTACTTATGATCTCTTGAGATGACTCTCTGAGTGTCATCATGTTTCTTATTCAGTTTGTTGGCTAGAACGTCACATTTATAAAATGCGACACTCACCATTTTGTGGTGAGAACGGGTCGTCCGCAGCATTGAGACACAGGATGGGAACAGTTGTATTGTGAAGTTTAAAGGCCGGACTAGCATCTTGAAAATACTCTGCACAGGATTTGTATCCAAAGATGCGTGTGGTGAACCGCTCATCAAACTCTCGGAGGTTGCGTGCCTAATGGCAGGGAATTCAGAGAAAGAAATGTAATTCAAACAAACTTTAAAACGTTATGAATATTTGATTGAGTCAATGAGTAAAGTACCTTTACGACATAGTCGACATCCACCACTTTTTGCAAAACATTTCTGTGTCTGTGAGAATTTAAAAAGGAAGTCAGTGAAGTTGATGAACAATCTGAAAATATGAAAATCCCAACACTGTAACAATGTTTACTTGATGACAGTCTCACAAAGTCCTCGCGCCAGGCGTCTGTTGAAAAGCAGCAGGTTGAGGGGTTTCTCCATTGAGTCACAGGACTTCTGTACATCCCATGCAACAGAAATGGTGAAACCAGCCACCAATCCGGACTCAGCTCCTTTGTTTGCAAGGTAGTTTAGCAGCATTATGCTTCCAAAGACACAACACAAAAAAAACATTAAAATGTCAAATGCTCAACTTTAAAATGGGCTGTAAACATGCAGTCGACCTAATTAAACCAAACTAATGCAACTAAAGCAATTAGTGAGCACGCTAGATTTCTTACATAAAAAATGAGAAAAACATTCGTAGAGATTACCCCCTGGTGGTAACATAGGGAGTTACAGCACTTTTTACCCTTCATACTTTTTTCAAACCTATTTTCCACTTAAGATATTATTTCACATTCTAAAACATGAAATGACAAAAATAACAGTCTCATTATATTTGTATGGCCAAACAGTATGCTTTATAACATAAGGGTATGTCATTTTAACACAGAACATTAAACAACATTTGTGGTAAACTCACCCTCCCATAGAAACACCTGCACCAAGCAGCGGAGAGTCTGGGAAAAGTGCTTTGACATGCTGCACCGCACACTCAAAATCCGAGGTACTGGCCCCGCAGTAAGTCACAGGCGTCTAAGGCAAACACAATGGCACAATGGCTCTGACTGTGAAGCACCATGAGTGTGTGATAAAACTAATTAAAAGACATGTGAGTGACTTACGAGTAACTCCTCCCCTCCAAAACCTCGATAGTGGAAGACCACGCACCTAAAATGAAAATGCAAGACTATTAAGAGTCGCATCCATTATACATTTCCTTTTACTTGTCAAACCTGTAGCCTCGGAAGATAGCCTGGCGAATAGCATGGATTACATAGGGCTCCCTGCTGTTTCCGGTCAGGCCTGGTAAAAACAGCACCGTGGGCCGAGTGGAGGACTCAGGATAGGCTGTACTAGTGTGATTGTCCACCCAGTCGAGGGAAATCTGACCTCCGTCGTCAGTGCGGATCAACTCACTGACACAAAACAGAGAAATTAAGAAAAAGATTATCCTTTCCACATGTCGTGCGTCTGTGCAGTAATGTGCAATAATTTCAGAATGTACAATATGGAACCACATGTGTCCATTGTTACTTTACTTAGTCACGTTTAACCCAGAGCCTCAGGATTCTAACATGTACAGTAGTATCACATGCTGCTAACATGTACAGTAGCATCACATGCTGCTAACATGTACAGTAGTGTCACATGCTGCTAACATGTACAGTAGTGTCACATGCTGCTAACATGTACAGTAGTGTCACATGCTGCTAACATGTACAGTAGCATCACATGCTGCTAACATGTACAGTAGTATCACATGCTGCTAACATGTACAGTAGTGTCACATGCTGCTAACATGTACAGTAGTGTCACATGCTGCTAACATGTACAGTAGTATCACATGCTGCTAACATGTACAGTAGTGTCACATGCTGCTAACATGTACAGTAGTGTCACATGCTGCTAACATGTACAGTAGTGTCACATGCTGCTAACATGTACAGTAGTGTCACATGCTGCTAACATGTACAGTAGTGTCACATGCTGCTAACATGTACAGTAGTATCACATGCTGCTAACATGTACAGTAGTATCACATGCTGCTAACATGTACAGTAGTGTCACATGCTGCTAACATGTACAGTAGTGTCACATGCTGCTAACATGTACAGTAGTATCACATGCTGCTAAACATGTACAGTAGTGTCACATGCTGCTAACATGTACAGTAGTATCACATGCTGCTAACATGTACAGTAGTATCACATGCTGCTAACATGTACAGTAGTATCACATGCTGCTAACATGTACAGTAGTATCACATGCTGCTAACATGTACAGTAGTATCACATGTGCTAACATGTACAGTAGTATCACATGCTGCTAACATGTACAGTAGTGTCACATGCTGCTAACATGTACAGTAGTGTCACATGCTGCTAACATGTACAGTAGTATCACATGCTGCTAACATGTACAGTAGTATCACATGCTGCTAACATGTACAGTAGTATCACATGATACTAACATGTGTCATAAGACGTTAATGTGTAGTATCATTTAGTTTCATCATCACTGTGAATATTTGTATTTACTTCATTCTTGCACTAGATTGTATCACAGGTTTATCTACAAATGTAAACATAAATATTTCTTGCACAAGAGTCAAGAGTTTGTGTCTTTAATACTTAATTGAGATAAAGATAAAGTTAGAGTACAGAGTAGTGCTTTAATTAACATAAACTCATCTTATGTTGTGTGCTCCCCTTTCATACTGCTCTGTAACTTGTGATGCAACACTGAAAATCCCCCCACTGTGGGACAAATAAAGGATCTCTTCTTCTTCTTCTTCTGAACCCAAAGGCATGCTGTGTTCACTTACTTGCGATAATTGATGGGGGGTCTGCTCTTGAGGAAGGCATTTGCTATAGTTTGGAATCTGCCCTCCCAGCACCAGGGAGTGGGTCTGAAGTGTTCAGTCACCACCGGACAATGCTTATGAAGAAAGGCACGAAAAGCCTCGCTGCAAACTAAAGCTGGCCTCTGCAATGTACAAGGCGGGTTAATGAGCTTTTCTACTTATCAGCAACTAGACACACAACACCAGACACTGCACACGTCGACACAATAAGCAACAACAATACAATACATCAACTACTCTCCCGTGTAATGTCTATGCTATTACAACTAAACCAGGGCTACAATGTGAGCTATAAAAACAAACAAAATATGTGAGTTATTTCTATATATATATATATATATATGTGTGTGCAGCTGATCTGGCTTGATAACTGACCTGGCACTTGCAACCCCACAATAACAGTGAGGCCGTGACGGAGCAGAAGAGCACCGTGTATGGACGGCTGACACACTCCCAGCATAGTCTCCAGAACTCCCAGTGACAGAGAAACATGACACCATGCATCTACAGGGCCTGAGCTCAGGTAAGGCTAGATCAGCGGCTGGGACGGACTGCAGAGGATGAGGATTTGCGGTGTTTACTGGTGGAGGACCTGCCTTCATCATAACCTCCTCCGCCTAATCTTCTGCTGGCACTCCTCTCTGCGCGGGGCCATTGGGGCTGATAACATCCTTTGATCTTCCCCTGGCGTCAGTACGTTCACATTTCCCGGCTGTGAATGAACCGGATCGTCCCCACAGAGTCCAGCGCTGTTAAGGAGGAAAGAGACGCAGAGACGCGCAACTCGAGCCTTCGGAGACAAGCGTTGCATCCCCCCCCTCGCCTTCTGCGCATGCGTGCGTTATCTTTGAGTTTCCGACACATAATAGCGGCATCTAGCGAACTGGAGCGTTAAATGTCGCGTTTTTCTTGTACATTCTGCACAACCAGGGCCGTGTGTGCAGGATTTTTAACACTGAGGTGATAAATGGACAGTTATCAACACTTTATGGACCAATACCAGTGTGTTTTCTGTTTTTTTTCTTGTGTTTGAGCTGTTTCAATGGTTTGTGTAAAGTCCTACGAGACAACTACTGTTGTGATTTAGGGGCCGGGCTATATAAGAATGAATCGAATTAAATTGAATTGAACTGAGGTCCAGTTAATTCGGTAGTAGTATTCATTCATTTCAGGCAATGGCACAGATAAGTACAAGGTGGTAGACATATAGAGACAGGTCATATAGTGCAAAAAGATTTTAAAAAAAGAAGGACAAAAAGTGAATGTACAGTGTATACAGCATATAGGCATGTACAAAATAATTTTCGAAAGGGATCGGGATGACAACTTAGATTGTAGTCTTATTTAGTCCCACCCCAATTCCACAACCAATGTATTGAAGTATAAAGTATGTAGATTTACATATTGAGAATACATCTGTGTTATTGTAACGGTAAAGGCTTTAATGATGCTGTATGAGACTTTTGACTCCTTTATTATCAACAGAAAATGTCACTACAAATATAGAATTATTTGAATGTTAAAGTAAATTTTACTTTTCTTGTTCTGTAAAGCACTTTGAGTTGTCCTGTGTATCAACTGTATTATACAAAATAAACATCCCTCGCCATGCTTTGCCAGTTGTGTGTTATCATGGATGTTTTGAATACCAAATTCAAAGTTGACTTGCACTTTCTGCTGTAAAATGATAAGCCACATTATTATGAACGGTCACCAGAGAATGGAAAATTTGACAAACGTTATCCGCAAACATTTTTGTAGAATAGATACTGTATAGAGAATCCTAAACCAAGACAAATTCCTACTTAGTGACTCACAATGGCATTAGAAGTCATTCGTGTAAGTATGAAGTGTTCTCAAATCTTTTTATTGAGATGCAATCATAATAATACATGATAATAGTTGTATGAGCTTTTAGCTGTTACTTGCTAAGGGTATTTGTTCACTCATACCAGGGGATGGTCTTTGTCATAATTTGAGTTAAAGGATGCATATTGGCTTGTTTTAAGGCAGTAAAAAAAAACAATTATAAAACTTTTTTTCTTTTAAATAATACATGCATAGATAATGTTAATATCTAATATCAGACAGTCCGAGAAAATGTGCATACACATTTAGTATTTCTTACATACTCACTCTCTCATTTAAGTTCCTGACAGAGCATAACGAATCCCTTCTAGGATTCTAGTGCCATAGTTTTACTCACTCCCTAAAACTATTTTTTTTTAGTTTTTCAAACCCATTAACCAAACCATAAACAAACCCAAGAACACAATTCATTAATTAGAATTAAATATAAAAATAAACAATTTGACTGCACAAACTATTCTAGAATATTTAATTACCAATAACAATAACATTCTAAATACACACTTGTTATTTGTGTTTGCATTGATTTTTATTGAAAAATATTTATTGAAAATTGTGATCATGGAATTGTCTCTCTTCACACCTGCTTCTCCTCACTATTACCTACGCCTGAGATATTGTAAACACATAAGAGATTTTCTTTCTACTTTGGCAGGCCTGCAACCATCTCAGACTCAATTCCACATTCATCATTTCCACGTTTGATCTTGAAGTAACCTGAAAGAAGACATTGTAGATTCACAGTCAAATATGTTGATTCATATTGCTTTATACTGACTCTAAATACCTTTATCACCCCAATCCCCATTCCAGGAGTTGGCCACCAGCCAGTATGGTGTGCCTTCTTCCACTCCCCAGCCCAGCACTTTGACAGCGTGACCACCGAGCATGTCTCCTGTTACGTGCTGGTACACACCTGACACAAAACCACACCGCTGATGAGGAGGCCAACACTATACACAGTTACTTGCCTGATAACTCATGACAGATGGCAATGGCAATTCAAAACAAAATTGACTACTAAAAAAAATTATCTGAATCCAACAAAAATCATACAGGCATCAATCAATATAAAAAAAAAAGAAAAACAAAAGGGATGGACAAACAAGAATATCCAACAGACAAGACACAGACAGATTCTCGCTCCCCTTCTCTTTCATCACGCTCCTGGTGCTTCACTCCTCCTCCAGAAGTCCAAATTTCTACTTTTTGGGTGTTGGGTTAATGGCTTCATGAATGATTCCCCTTAAACATAATCAAATTGTATTAGGTTCTTTTTTTAAATAATAATAATAATAATAATGCATCGGTTTTATTTAGCGCTTTTTTGGACACACAAAGACACATGTCATTATTCTTTCTCTCCATACACGGTGGTGATAAACTTATACTGTAGCCACGGCTGCCCTGAGGCACACTGACAGAAGCGGGGCAACCAGTATGTTCCATCGGCCCCTCCGACCACCACCAGCCATTCATACACACACTAAAGCACGGCCAGCTTTTTCTGCTGACAGAGTTCTTTCAAAGCTTAAATAATAACTTGTCCTGGAATGTCTCTGCTAGTCCAGCTCTGCAGAATGATTGGACGCTATACAAAATTACAACGGTGTCACATTGGACTCACCAGACTTGTACTGGAGAAAGTCAGCGTAGACATAAAAGGCGGCCTCCACTGGTCCGTTCTTGAACACTTCAGTTTTGATTTGGTCCTCGCTGCTGGGGACGCTGTATGTGTGTCCACCTGACAGACAGTTATACATATTTTTTTGAATCCTCTATGACTATATAATAGAATATGCAGAAAGCCTTATAGTGTGTTTTTTTTACCAAAGTATTTGTCCTTGGGATAGGAGGGTGAGTATCCATCAATGCACTGGGCCGTACACTTGGGGGTCTTTGTCTCACCTTGGCATGGAGGCCGAGTGCCGTTTACATGATGCTCACATGGGGCAATAGTGTACGGGCGACAACCTTTCAACAGCTTTGTTAGTTAAGCCCAATGTAATCAGTCAAATGATTGGAATACTATGTGTACCGACCCACTTTGGAGTTATATAAGCCCCCAGTGACCAGTCCTTGCCGTGCCCAGAATTCCCAAGCAGTGGAGGGATAGCCACCAAAACAGCTTAAATTGAATTGACAATCATTACACTTTGGAGAGGGAAATGACATGAATATGTTTAAGGCGGTGAGACTAACCCCATCCCACACTCGGCACAGCAAGTCAGGAGATCCTCTGCTGAAATCTGCACCGTCACCTTCCCGCCACTGGTGATGCAGATACGATCAGATATGGCTTCCACTGCCCCAAAGGCCTATGAGACGTAAGCGTGATATCACACAATTACAAATCAAGTCTCCTTATATACCTATCTAGTTTTTTATTTGGTTGTTTTCAGAAAGTTCCCATAAAGCAAGCATGTCCAAAGTCCGGTCAAAGGTCCAGTCCCGCCCTCAGGGACCTTTGTTGTTATATATTTTGTGGGTTTCCTGGTGATCCAACAGTTAGAGCTTGTGCTTCTCAGCAATATGTTCAATTTGCATGTTCTCCCTGTGTCTGTGAAGGTGTACTCCAGTTTCCCCATCTCTAAAAACAAGTGCAATTGGTCTGGCACTTTGTGACTATTCACTGGATTATTCACTGGTTATATTTTGACATTTCAGTTCTCTTGTAGTTTTTCAGTTTTACTTCTTGTTCTGTTCGCTGTCTTCTATTTTGAACTCTGTGTTGCCTCTCTGTGTCTATGCTGTACCTATTCTCTTCCCTATTTGTTGCTGGTCTATAGTCCCCGCCTCTGTTTTTTTGCCTCGGTTCCTGTAGTTCACTTTCACTTTGGACTTTCATTTCCTAATTAAACCATTTTATATAATATTATTATTGATATATTGATTGTTGACTTTTTCTATACTGGCTTTTCTATTTGTGACTGTGCCACAAAATATTTGGCTCAATTGTAGCCAGTGAGAAAGTAAAAGACATTTAATTCAGCCAAATTCAGCAATCACATGTGAATCAATATGGACATGTCATATCTCATTTTAAAGTTTTACAATCCGGATTATCTGCCTCCTGGACAAGTGTGTCGAACCAAACTCTTACTAAATGTTTAGACTCCCCTGCTATAGCTTGTATGGATCCACAAAGAAAATAACTTGACACAGTAGTTCACAGAATAACACAAGAAGAGGACACCTGAATGAACCAGTGACTGACAAATGTGCAACTGTCTACTTAAAAAGGTTATTTAATTAAAATGTTATATGAATTGCATTTCTTTAATAATAAATCGTAAATATTTATGTATGATTTACTGCCCTCCTGAGGCTCAAACTCACCCAGCAGGACCCACAGTTGCCTTGGTCTCGAATCTGTCCGATGGTGGGACAGTTTGGCCACTGCTCACGAGCGTCAAAAGTGTCTGGGAGTCTTATATTCTCTGTTTTGTGAAATCTATGAATAATTCAGTTTGATTTAGTGATCACCAGGGCTCACGTACTGACAATTTGCAAACTTACACCAGTGGCAACTTTGGTCCGTTCATCACAGTCCCACATAAAGCCTTAATATAAGAAGCATCTGCATTTTGAAAGTTATGTCCAGCCTGTAAAAGAAATGCATTGTTTGAGAATTGTTTCTTAATTGTTTTAAGTATGTATCTATTTTTATGTAGCCTTACTCTCCATGTAGTGTTGGCTTTGTTCACAAAATCTACAATCTCTACCGGGGAGACTGGATGAGCACGAGTCCAGGTCAGACAAAGAGCCACTAACAGCAGAGACAGAGCACGATTCATCCTGAAGAATATTTGGAAAAACACACGACTTATTCTAGACTATGTTGTAATTGTAAAAATAAAAAGTAGTCTGGTTTACATCTAAGCAATGAAGTAAGAGAGTTGAATGCAGTCCTACCTGTCTGAGTGTGAGACTCTGGAATGATTGAGATGTGACTGTGTGTCCTATTTACGCACAATAAAACAGCTGCCCTTGTCATTTTTCAGGTTTTTATTGCTCAATAGGTAGGAGATCACATGCCTGTGGTCACACTTGCACCGCCTATCTTGTGACTTCCAAATGTTCACAGGTGTCTTAAAGTGACAACAAAATAAATTACTCTGAATAGAATGCTATATTTCTTGGTACGTTCCAAACCGCCACAATAGACAGACAAACATCTCTACAGCCACTTATATATTTACATATAATAAAAACACATTACATAGCAATGTTTGTAGCTCTTTGGTTCTGTACAAGGTTCATCCACCCTTTCTTTTCACCAAAGTTGTAAGGACACTTGGCTTGCAAATGTATTGCAAATGTTCCATTATATTCAAAATATTTAACCAGAAACACATTGTTATAGATAAAAAGCACAAATTGCAGACGTACTCAATTTTACAAACTGTTGAAAGATTCAACAATGCTGTTGCTTACAACAAGCAAAACCGGGCAGTAAACATACTGAAAACAGAGGATTTCATTGCTGTTTCCCTTATAAAACAAAACTATATATACTGGGATTGAGAAAGAAGACAGACTTCAATAAAAAAAAGAAAGAAAAATGTAAATAATATTAAGCAATGTTCAAAAGCCCTGATCCTTAATGTCAACAGTGAATTTACATTCACTGTTGACATTTCAAACAGTTTCCAGTTTCTAACAACACTACTTTAAACCAGATTTAATGCCAGTCTGTGTTCCTGGAGAAGTCTTTGAATGATGCAACAATGGACGTCATGGCTCAAATTAAAAAATCCAAAGATTTTCCTTGCGTAGTGGTCAGCCTGTGTAGGTGTTGAAGTGGCTCCTAATGTCCCAACATGTCTCCTGGTGGCTCCTTTTGTCCCTGCTTGTCTCCTGGTGTCTCCTATTGTCCCTGCACGTCTCCTGTGCCTTGGGCCTGAGCTGCTGTAGTACTGAGGTACTGCCAGCTGAGGGCAGCAAGGAGCATAGCAGCAGACAGGTACATGGGGGATAGATGGTTCCTGGAGACGTAGCTGAACTGGGAGCGTTCTCTGATGGCAGCGAGGGCCTGCAGAGTCTTGACCCGGGATGGATCTGTGAGCGACACTTTCTGCAAAATCTACAAATCATATACAAAGTAAAAGTTACTTTCACATGACTTTGTTTGAAAAGATAAAGGTGTAGTTCCAGATGGATGACCTCTTGGCTGTACTGGGTGATGATGAGCTGCACCGCTCTCATGTTGGTGGCTTCCATCATTAGAGTCACTGCTTGTCCTTTTCTTATTTTTACAACTCCTTGGAACACCATGGGGTTGTTGTAGCATGCTGATAATGTTGCGATTGCCATCACCTGATCAACAACAGAAGACATCTCACATCTTCATCTAATGATAGCAAAATAATTAGACATAATACACATAAGTTTTAATTTATATGCTTCTTTGTTTTAGGTCACTTAATAATTGCTTTCTATAAAGTCAGAAGTTGGGTTTTTTTACACAGTGTATGTATAATTCCGGTTTATGCTCTGTGAGAAATATAGAGGTGTGAATGAAGGGCTGTACCTGTGGAATTGCACAGAAGTTAAATACACTTTGGTTGCGTAGACGGGACAAGTATTTGAGGACGTCTGGGACGTGACGAAGAGCATCTGTCACTAAAAAGTTGAGACAGTACAGAGCAGACTCCAGCTTCTCTGGTTGTGAAAAGTCCTCAAGATGCTCTGCAAACTGGCTCCATGCCTGCACAGGGGTCAGAAATACAATCAATGTAAATGTACAGAAATCAGTCTATAAAAGCATAGAATAATAGAACAATAAATTCTCACCTCTTTGGGCCAGAAAGCACGTCCATCTCGAGTGTCCTCCAGATAATCCCGAATGATATTGGTTTTTTGTAGAAACAGCCCCATAGAATTGGCCAGATCAGTGTCTTGTCCCACTTCAAGGTCCTCAAGCTGAGAGGCCGAGAACAGCTGCGACAGGCCGATGCCCACCAACCCGGCCACATAGTGACAGTACTGCAGTAAAAACATTTTTCTTCAATACGTTTTTCTTGTATACGTATAAACTTCTTGACTTGAAAAATAAACTTTGAAATGAGCATAATTATTTTACCTGGTCCCACTCTTTCATGGATCCAACTTTCTTCTCCAAAAACTCAGCCATTCCCACTCCCATTCTCTGGCAGATATCAGAGATGACCTCTCGGTACTCCTGAGCGAGGTTTCTGAACTCCAGTGATATCTGAAAACATGTTTGTACAAACCGTTTACTTAAATGTAGGATTCAGAAGAACAACAGTCGCACTATGTTACTGACAGTGGGGAAATCCTCCAGGACCTGTCGGTCCTTCTCCTGGCTCTCAGTGAAGCACCACTCATCTTGGTACAGGTACGTGTGGAAGTTATTCAACATGGGGACCTTCTTCTCCAGAGAGATGGTCATGTCGTCCTCCACTGTGTCCAGGGCTCGCAGCACCAGGTAGAAGATGCACACCGCATGTCTGATCGAAGACAATACAAATGGTGATCAGGACGAGGATGCATTCATTCTATAGAGTTCATACCAAAGATTAGGATTAAGAGATCTTTTACCTGTCCCAGAGTGGGGAAATTTCAGTTTTGCATCACAACTTACAGACAGTAGGAATGAGGAGCACACAGAACAAGATAAATGAATAATAACTAATTAAATTATATTAAATCTCCAATTCTAGCTAGATCCCTCTTCTCAATTCTGCAAACTTTTCAGATGTCGTTCAGCTGAAAGGTTCCTCTTTGTTCCACTTCTCACCCAAACTTAAATCATATTCAGTGTTCCGTAAATGTATTTATTTGTACTTTGAAATATATTCCGTTGCATGATCCAATCAGAGTACTGTGTGCTGAATACTGGGAATACATATGTGATTCATTCTATATTTATAGTAATAGCATTATAGTGTAATATGTATTTATGTTTTATGGATACAACCGCGGCATTGAACAGACCAGATGCACTGCCTTAAGTGTTATAACAAGATATGCAGTATTTTTTGCACAATATATCTGTTGTGTTTTCCTTTGTGTACATTTAAAAAGGGTAGAAAACCCAATGTGCAACGCTCAAAGTAAACCCTTTATGTGGCATGTGGTTTTTTCAGGGTGGGTTTAGAACACCCTTTGACCTGGGATCTATAGAGAGAAGGATATTTGAGCTTCTGACCTGGCCTTGCATCTCCTACAAACACTGCATGTGTTTCTGCCAACAGTGCATGGCAGGAGTTGTGGTTTGAGAACTATAGTTTACCTGAGAATGTGTCCCTGAGTTGGAAGTGGCATGGTGTTTTGTGCAAGCAACGCTTTCACTGCACGTTGCGTCACAGCAGCCGATTGTTGACCAAGCTTTTGTTCATGCAGAGATATGAAGTTCATACATTACTGATAGTCTGGCTTTGCACACATAGGTGCACACACGAACCCTTATTTATCAGGCTGCACTGCTGCTTGAGACGCATGTTTGGACACACCTCTCTTGTGCATGTAGTGTATTGGTACTTTCACCCACCTCAGCTCTCCGTCCAAAGCCTGGATGACAGCAGCAAAACTCCGACTGGTTTGGTTCAGGTACACGTAGCAGGTCCGCAGACTGTCACTCATAGACTCCTGGCAGGGCAGACAGAGGAAGGTCGTGTGTCGGAAAAAGCTTGTGTGTCTCAGGGCGCAGGAGGGTCGGGCGGCCTCCTGCAGGCCCCGCTCTCCAAACCTCCACCCGGGGAAGAGGAAGGAGCGAGGGGGGGCTGAGCCCCGTGGAGCCACCGATAAAGAGCGCTTAAACACTGACAGAGACAAGGGACACTTGCAGCAAGCTCCGGCCATGCGAGAACTCAGGCGCACGAACAGAACAATCCACAGCGAGCCATTGGCGCGCCTCAAGGGGCAGAGGGGACGGCGGACACATGCAGAGGACAACACAACAGGGTGGTATGAGGTAACGCGATTTGGGAGGACCCAGACCAGCTGCAGATCTATAAACGGCCTGCGCCACTGCGCATAAGGCTGTCGTAGCTGCGCAATCGCCTCATCGAGAGAGGATCCACGCGTTAGTAGATCTCTTGTTATGATTTTTTTTTACCACGACTCCACCCACTGCCCCAATGTGTCATTACAAGCCTTTTGGTAGTATTGGTGAGACACTCACCCACTGGTACTAAACAAACCTTTAGGCTTACTACTCAGCAACAGACCGGTCCTAACCTACAGTAAACATACAATAGGTCTGCACACAACAATAGTGTAAGAGCATATTACTTGTTTGTGTTCATTTGAACACAATGCTCTTTATTAAGAACCTGAAGAAGGTGAAAGGAAAATTAACACGTAACGAAAAAATATTGTCTGCATAATTAAACAAATGTCTATGTTACAACTTTGAATCTTAAGTTGTAAAAACTAATTGGGGGACAATGACATCTATTGGCTGACAAAGGAATTTCATTGCATGGAAACCTGTTGTCTGATACAGCCTGGTTGCTGTCTTTGGGGTTTACGCGTGTACCTCGTTAAGCACTGATTTTATGCCTCACTTTTTCAGTGGAATAACTATGGACAGTAACGGTCTTTTGACACGGTTTCCCAGGGTCAAGTTGCATTAAATACAGATGGATTAACCGTGGAACATGCGCAAAGCATCTGCGGAACGGAGACCTTCAAGCTCATTATACAACGCAAATCCTGTGTCTACTCTGGTCTGTGCAGTCTATGTGTGCACCAGACAAGCACAACAGGAAGAGGTGATCTCATTTAACTCAGTCCAATTAACGGCATCAGCTTATGTCCGCAGCACAGCACTGGAACTGTCAAAGCAGTCAGTGTAGAATACAACTAAAGGCTGCTGCGTATTGCTAAAACATTCTCTGAGTTTCTGCTGTTTGCAATGCAACCTGTGAAAATACAACTTACATAATCCAACTTCGGCATAACAGCGCTGCAGCCGCCCATCTTGAATTTGAACAAGTTGAGCAGCTCCTCCGGGTGCCCCAGAGACTTCAGCACGTCCATGTTGCTTTACACCTGGTCTTCTATGAGCTAAACGAGCAGAGAGGAGCCGGTCTCCATCCGAGCGGAGAGAGCAGGATGCAGCAGCAGCAGACCCACCATCATCCACACACACGGGATTTCAATGCGCCTCTCGTCACATCGAATGACCGCGCGGATTGGCTGAGGCGTCATGAGCATACAGGTGATGAGCCAATGAGCTTTCAGAGCGCCTGGCGTGATGCCCCGCCCACAAGTCCTGTCAGAGTTCGTTTACTATAGAATACGATTCAATATTGTCTACTATACAATAGTTCTTTGCTTCTACTTATGGGTCATGTTTAATATTGACCTGGGGCTTCCACAAATCACACGTATGAATACAGCGCAAACGTGTGGGGTGATAACGTGTGGGGTGATAGCCGGTGGGGAAGTGTGAAATCGTTTTATTTTTGATATAAGGATTTCTATGAACTCTTTCACGTTTTGACCAGTTATGTATCGTATACCACTGAAGAATATTAAGAATATTACATAGGCACTATTTTTGAGAGCACTCATGTTTCGAAACACATATTATTGTATTATCACTACATAAATGACATCAGATAAATGATTGGGTCACGGGTGGTTTGTTAAAATATGTCTCCACACCCCTCCCCTCTCAAAATATTTTAGACATCACCATTATGGGTTTATCTTTTTTCTAAGTACTTTATTGTGTAAAAAGCGTACGTTAGATATATTTAAACAACTGTCCGCTGACGCCTAACATGTAAAGACTGTGAGTAAATGTATGCTTTTCAAGAGTTGTGTATAACACCAACACATGATAACACCATATGGCAAATACTGTTGTTTATAAATTTACATGTGGATGTATGTACCGTAAGCGCAGCAGGTAACATATAAATGTAAAAAAAAAAAAAAAAAAAAACTAAGGAATGTAAATGTTATAAATACTTATAATTGGGTGCATAATTTCTGCTTGAATAAATATAATCAATAAATCAACCTCCTGTTGTATTAAAATTTTGCCATCCACATTACTAAGAATATGTTAGTGGTAGGTAACCGTGCATACTCGCCGGAATCCTTTCTAGACTCCGCACCATAGAGTGTAAATATTAACTCTGCACAGACTCAGGGCCCTCAGTGGACCTCTTGTTAATTACAGCTTGAGGGTGACCACCAGAGGGAGCCAGTATTTTCTGTGGTCACATAGAGGCAGTTCTTATTTCGCCCGCTAAAAGGCGCCATTATGTTGGATACTAATCTAAGGGCGTTTTTGGGAGTGGGACTTTGCCATGGATGTATTGGACTTTGTTTATACAATATTTTCAGACATTTTCGTTCAGACAATATCTTTTTTGTATTGAATAGTTTTAAATTAATGCAGTTTTTTGAATTAACATATTTTTGATACTTTGTTCTTGTTATTTTAGAACCACTTTTACACTCAGACCAGTTATGCACCAAAACATCTAACCATCAATATGACCCATAGAAATACAAATATAATCAGGAATAATCATAATTTGTACATTTGTTTAATTCTTCACTGTCGTTTAGTTCTTTAAGTGAAACTTCCATTCTCTGCCAACGCTCTGTTCAGAAGAGTATCATACTGTATGCTCCAACAGGCCCTTTGGGGAACTTTGTCTAAACATGTTTTGTGTTTGTCTTAGTAACCACTGGTGATCACAAAATAGAATATAAGACATAAAGGTTCACTATCAATATGTATGTGTCCTGTGTGTATATTATTATTGCGGTTCTGTGTTCTAACTGTTTGGTTCTCTGATCTGTTGTTGGCGAATCGACAAGTTTGTAAAGTCCCCCCAGACAACTGCTGCTGTATTTTAGGACTATTCACAAATACATTGAATTGAATCATTTATAAACTATTCCTAATAATGCCATTTTGTTCTGTTTATTTGCTTTGCATTTAGGACAATGCAAAAAATAATCTTCAATGTGTTTATTGTCCATAATTACATCTTGCACAGACTATATTTTAACCTTTTTAACATGTTGCACACGTCTGTCTTTTGCACAATCTGAGTGATTCTATCCATGCCAAATGTGACATGTAAATTTCTCCAGTGTGAGATCAATATAATCTATCTCATCTTATTTTCTTCAAGAGCTCAGACTTTGATGTGTGTCATATTGATTCCAATCCAAACCCACCATTCCCCTGAAGTCATGTGAGGACACTTGTGAATGTTGCACAAACACAGGTTAGGTGAGTTCTGTGAATGTTGCTTCCGGCTCTGACAACACGAGCAGTTACTGTAGCCAAAAGTTTCAAAGTCACCGGGACAGTTTGGGTGCGCCTTTGTCTTTGTCTGCTCTGTGACCTTCTCGTGGAGATCAGAGGACAATCCAGTTGACTTTGTGGAGGCTTAGCACTGGATTCACTGCAAATGTAAGTATATCATACATTGACAAAACCATGTTTATAAACCAGAAGATGCAAATGTGTCGTGTTTCTGTCTCAGGTTGCCGTGTAAAAGGTTTAAATGTGATAATCAAGAGGATGAGCCACGGTCAAAAACAACGTGTTTGTCAAGCACTGTTTCAACACAAAGGTAATGGAATTTTATCGGACTTATCTTTGCATATTTCTACTTTTTACAACAATAAGAAAGGCTTCGTAGGTGGACATGACTTTTGTTTCCATTTCATTGATTCAGAAAGTTAAGAGAGCTAAATGTTTCCAGGATACAGCGCCGCTCCCTGACAAACTATATAGTGTCGCTCATAAAAAAATATATAGGTCAGGCTCTAAGATTATGAAATAGGTTGTGTTCATTTGACATCACAACATTCCAAAGAGTTGATAGTTTAAAATTGTGATGGAGGGAAATTGAAAAATCTTGGTAAATATGGTTACTGTGAAAAGTCAGAGTTCTAGTCTTAGTTTGTAATTTATTTTTAATTACTGGGCCCATCCACATGATACAAAAACACACACTTTCTTCTTTCACATCAGCTTTGTCAGTACATATCAAATATGATCTCATTATAAGTGTCAGGAAGTGCTGACAATATCCAAACAACATGCCTGATTTTGGCTCTAGAAAAGACTTCAGGCCAACATGAGAATAGTGTGGCAGGTTTGTGAATCTAATCACTGTCAAATAGTGATCTGGGGAAACATTTGTACAATCTCTTTAAAAATGTGCCTTCTAACTAATATAGAATTCTAGAACACAGCCTTCTGTATCCTGAAACAGTGATGGAAACAAAACACTGTCATTCAAACATGGTCTGTATATTAGAATTAGTGTTTTGAGCTAAAACTAACTCAGACTAACTGTGTGTTACGTGGTCAATTTGAAAACATATAAACAAATGTATTCTTTTTCATTTCAGGAACTAGTTATATATTATATATTCAAATTTTAAAGTACATTTTGGGGCCAGCTGCATGTGAAATCCAGATCCCATCAGACCTCTGAAGCTAAATAGTGCCAACCCTGGTTAGTTCTGTGATGGGAGACCTCTGGGAACACCAGCTGCCACGGTGGGGCGGCTGTATAGTGCCAAACAGTTCTTGTGTTCCTCGGCAAGACACTTCACCCAGTGTGTAGATTAAGTCTGGTGTGTGCATGAATCAATGGCGATGGTCGGAGGGGCTGATGGCTCATACTGGTTTCCTTGCTTCCAGGGCAGGTGTGGCTACAGTAGTTGTTTATCACCAATGTGTTGAAGTGGAAGAACAGTAAAATACAATACAATACAATTTATTCTTGTATAGCCCTAGGTCACAACAGAAGTCATCTCAGAGGACTTAACAAAACCATTGAAATCACCAACACAGGTCAGAGAATCAACAGTTAAAACACATGAAAAATATAAAGCACACACAGAAGAAAATGTCCATACATGTTGTAGAATGCTAAAGTGTCCTGATCATCACCAATCCTTTCTGTTGGACACTAACTGTCCAACAAGACCTTCCTGCATCGGCAAGGAAAAACTCTTAAAAAACCCAGTGGGAAAAAGTGAGAAACCTTGGGGAGAACTAGGGAAACCCACAGGGAGGGAGACCCATTTGAGAAAGGGATCCGCTCCTCCGGACGGACAGGCTAATGATCCAGGACCTAAGCTAGCTACAGGACGTGGACCAGTGGCCGCTGAACGTGGACAGGTCCGGTGCAGGACCGAAGCACTCCCAGGCGGGTCGGGCGGGGCAGTCCGCAGGTGTAGATGGAGGAGGCCAGGCTCAGAGGTCCCGTCATCGTACCATGAAACAGACAATGGGACAACGGATGAATACCAATGAACAAACTACAGTCAAAATCCTAATAATGCTAAACAAATAAAGTAGGAAGGAGGAGAGGATAGTGTTAGAAGTTACCATACTTCTCCCAGCAAACTGACTCCCTATGCAGCTTGACTGACACTCTGAGGAGTTTAGCCTTCCCTGAGTCTTACCTTCCTAGCCATATGCTAAACTAAAGAGGACTGTTTTAAACCTAGCCTTGAATAAAGAGAGCGTATCTGAAAGGAGGTGAGACAGCAGCAGCCACGGCTAGGCTAGCCTAGGCTACAGCACCAAGATTCATGGATTGCACACCCAGTGTGCAAACCGATCCAGGCAAACAGCCTAATTATATGCTAAATTAAAGTAGAGTGCTTTAAGCCTGGCCTTGAATGTGGAGACCGTATCTGCTTCCTTAACGTGCATGGGGAGCTGATTCCACAGTAAAGGAGCTTGGTAGCTACAGTAAATGCTCTGCCGCCAATAGTGATTTTTGAGACCTTAGGAACCACCAGACGTCTGGCGTTTTGTGAGCGCAACGTTCACTTCACAATGACATGTGAAGTATCTTTGAGTGTCCAAAAAGCTCTACATAAAACCAAGGCATTATTGTTATTATTAACACTGTATATCCAAATGGTATTTAGCTGATACACAGCAATATTTCAGTGTTAAAACAAAATGTTAGGGACAGTGTTGAATAAAGAGTGTGTTACTTTAACACACACAGTTGTAAAACAGCTCTGCTAGTGTTGCCTGTGAATTTTATTTTTATTTGCATTGTCAAATCAGTGTGTTAAGCTTGTTCATACAGTCAATGGTGTTGATGCAGATTCAAGCCATGCCTGTTATTATTATAGATCCATGGCCGTGCCCTTATGCAGGTGGTTTAGATTTGCATCAAGAACTTTCTTTTCTTTCTCGGCAAAATGACGGTAGATTACAGATTGGCCCTGTTCAACGTGTCTCTACAAGCACCTGGAGGGCAGTGCGGTCTTGAGGTCTTGTCAATGTCAATGTGTCTAGGCTCTCCGCTATTTCCTAGGTGAAAGTTTATGGGACAGAGAACTAGATTGGAACGTTTGTTTGAACAAGTGTTGAAAATGAAATCCCTATGTTTAATAAGATCGTCCACATCATGATCAAAAAGAGGTGAAGAGTTTCCTTTGGTGACAAAAGATATTACCATGCATCTCCTGAAGGCAGTCAGTATTGATGACGTTGTCCTCCGTGTAATTTGTGTGGCTAATCTGATGTAATACACAGCTGAAAATGATTAAAGAATGTATATTGTGCCCTACTGCAGTATTGTCAATACATGCATTGAATTGTCAAATGATTTATTACAAAGATATTTTTCTCTACAATTTCTGACAGTTGACTTTTATTACAGTTAGAGGGGTATTGGGAAATCTGACATCCACTAGTCGTAGCAGTTTTGTTGTCTTCACACTACACTGATGTCGATGTTGAAGAAAGCCGTTTTCTTTGTCTACATGTTATCTTAACACTAACACCAGTGTAGTGCGAATACAACACCATAAAGTGTTTAGTATTGGTGCAGTGTTGAGTTTTAACACTATAACGGGTAGATCTAAAAATGGGTGTTATCTAACTACTAAGTGCTAATTTAACACTGTCAATTATTATTTCCCTACATGTACCTTAGAAAGAAATGAAATTAGTTCTATGAATTGGTTAGACCAGGCTACCACAGTTCTATTGTAGTCATCATATGTTTTTCATATGTTGCAGTCTGGCTGATGGCACTCCCACAGACTGTACGACAATAATCTCGGAGAACATTGGGGATCTGACTCAGTTCATTTCCATCTGGTCTGACACACAGAGCACCGGGAAGCGAGTCCTTCTACATCTCCAATCGACAGAAACTATTCGGGACAACTTGCTCCGTGATAACGTCAACAAGAAGTTTCTGCAGTTTCACCATGATATCACAGAAGAATGTGGGACTGAAGATAAGCAGCATTCATGGGCTGTTATTGAGAAAAAGCAAGAGGTCGTTTTGTATGGACCGTATTATCCCAATTATAACAGTGGGAAGCACAGCGAGGATATTATCATTAGACAAACTGAAGAACTTCTCAAATCTACTGATGCTGGAGAAGACTGGATGGTTTATGTATTTACAATGAACAGCCCGTGTCTGTCCAGAAACAAACAAACTCCATGTATGCTGAAATTGGTAGAAAAGGCAAAAGAGTGGTGGTCGAGGTTTAGACTGAAGACGAACATTGGTTATAATAAATGCTGGGGTTTTAAAGGGACCAAAGAAACTATGTTCAGAGCTGTGAACTTTAGTCAATTAGAGGCAGTGCATCAAAGTGAAAACTATGAGCAATATGTATCTCAAAAACTCACTGGAGAAGATTTATTATGTAAAAATGTGTACACGCTACTAGATAATCTGCTGAAACGTGGGCCATTCCCTTTTCATTTGTCACAAGTCGGCGAGGAGTGGAGGAGTTACTTCAAAGGAATGCAAACAATAGCAGAAAGTGCGCAACCGGACGAGAAGGAAGTAGTGAAACATGAAATAACACGGATGACTGAAGAGGTGAAGTCTCTCCTGACCAAAGCATGTATGAATGTGACAGATCATATGGAGAGAGGGCACGCACTCGCTCTGGATTTGACTTTTGATTCAAGAGTGAGTAAAGGCACAACAGAAGAACTTAAACGAGCATTGGAAACGTGTTGGAAGGACATGGTGCAGGATAAATATGCAGAGACGTTAAGGGACATTCTGACAGAGGATTTCAATAAATGTACTAATCTGCTTTTCATCAACGACTTTGTCACAGTCACTTCTTCGTTTCTGCACATTGGAAGGATTCATTGCGAAAATGAGAAGCAGGAGAACTGAATGTATTCATATAATTTCTATTTAACTGTATTGACTTGAGTTGTATTGAGTTTTTACAAATATTTTCTACATATATGTATTTTATTCACCAAGGCGCTTACTGCTGTTGCACTGACTCTGTGTTCAAAACTTTACTGTATTTAGTGAATGCTTGAAACCTATAATTTTGGGACTGAAGCTTCTTAGGTTCTATAAATCAAGATTAACATTGTAATAAAGCATATGTCCAAACGCACACATTATTCACTTATAATACAGATATAATCACAACAAATCCAATTCAAATATGTTTGATTTTCGGCTGTGCTTTTAATAAATACTGAGAACATGGTCATCAGTAAGCTCTACATTGTGTCAACATCAGGAGCCCCCGGGCACATAAAGAACCGTTGTGAATGCACTGTTGATCAACAGGGGGCGCCAGATTCACACAGTACAATGTGCACACGCTGCATAGGTAGTTTATTGTGTCAAAATAATACAACTATACAATTACTGTTTAAAAAACAGTGGCACTTGGATGTACTTGTATTCAAGAGAAGGGAATGGATTTGTACATTTTTAAACCTGTAGAAAATATATTCAGGATTAAGTGTCATTTCTGCCTAATTATTCTACCATATACTCCAATAACAGTGATGTACAGAATGTCTCATAGACCTAACCATGTAGTACGTTAAATTGATATGTTCTTTCCCTCTTTCGAATATAGATTTTGGAGCACACGTTTATAATAAAAATAAAACAAAGGCATTTGTGTAAAGTGTCTGTCAGTCCTTCATTCTCAGGTCGCCAGAAGTGGAGCATAGTTCATCCTAGTTTAGCCCCTCGTTCCTCTGCATCCAAGACCCGCTTCCTTCAAACCACGGCTTATAAACGTAAACGCAGCTTTGTGCATTTTGTGTCATCGCTGCTCCAGTTTATGAAGGCACAAGGAGAGAGCAAGAGGCCGCTCGGTGTCAGTCTGTTGAAGATAAAGAGTAACTTTTGTGATACCCGCTGTTCTAGGCCAGGATTAGATTATTCCAGGGCTCGTTCTTGGAGCTGGTCCCACTGTGGCCCCCAGGAGACATCTTCAGAGTCATGGCACCTCCTTGTGTGGACATATATGCCGGCAGAGCGGAAATCTGGACACACAAGTACATTAAAAAAAATCAGTACTTTTTTTGTTTCGGTGTCCAAGGGCTGCATGATTTTGGTAAAATATGTAATTGCGATAATCATAACCAACATTGCGATGAATCTCTTGTATGTTTAAAAAGTCTAATTTTGAGATTGTTCCATTTGAAAAAGCAAATTATCTACAGTACACAATTCCCGCACATTTCAAAAAATGTATACAGTTCCATTCTATTGTAAATTTCCTGGTAGAAATAAAATATTCACTACAAATATGTATTAAATGAGCAGTCGTTTTATTTCTTTTCTTACGACTTGTCTCTACAGACTTATTTTCAGACCTGAGTTATGAAACAGATTTTGACAGTTAATAATATGAAATAGAAGCTTCTGCCTGACAACAAGAGTTCCATTGACAAATCTTACAAATATCAAGACATTTTCCCTGATCTTAATGTGCATTATTATACTTTTTAAGTGGGAAAAAAAAAGTTTAGTTTTGGCCTATTTGACTTTGTAGTGACAGTAGTTTGATCAATGTTGTGTCTGAATTTATCCAGGATCAATTGTATTGTAAGTTTTCTGATGAGAGGGTCACACAGCAGAGAAAACCTTCGAAACAATTGTTCCTATAGCATCCAGACCACAGTGATAGAAAGAATCATGTTGATCAATCATACAGCTGGCTCACCACACGGTCAGATACACAAAAATATCCCCCACATGAATAGTTGCATAATGCCCCTTTAGGTTATATACATATTTTTAGTTTGCAAACAACTAAAATAAATGCATGCTTTGCGATTCACTATACAACCACAAACTTTTCTACTTGATTGTGATTAATGGTGCAGCCCTATGTCTGCAGAGATGGTACCTGTGAGCTGTGGTGAGAGTAGAGGTGGCTATCGGGTTCTGTCTTTATGGGCCGCTCCTCAGAGGCCGGTGCGACGCGGGGAGTACTGCTCGGAGTCGCTGTGCTGCTCTCAGGGTTCCCTGTGGTCAAAACACAAGCTCATCAATGCGATAATGGTGTTACACTTTATATAAGCACTGTTCCCAATCAGCTACTGGTGTACGTACAGTAAATATACAGTAAACCAGTATACTATCTAATGCAGTGGGTCTCAAAGAAAGAGTCGCGAGATCATTTCTACTGCATTTCAGTTTTGTTACAGCTATTTACAGTTATTGTGCTAATTTTTATTCAACTATAGATTACACAAAATGAACAACATTACACTGAATATGAATTTTTTATATATATTGAGTACTACTTTAAATTGTATTCTTTAGTGAGGTTTGTGTGTAAGTTTCATGTTTTTTGGGTGTCCCGGCCTGAAAAGTACATTGTCAAACTTTTCAGCCTAAAAAAACCCCTACGATAATACTTCTGTTGATGATTACCGCCACCTGCCATGTATAAATACTGCATTTGGTATTTCAAGTATCACCATCAAAAACAGGACTTTTCTGTGTCTAACTTAAAACTAAACAATACTTTGTCAAGAAGATTCTCGACTATTTCCTTATTTGTCTAAAACATCTATTGGTGAAAATACAGACAAAGAATACAAGAGCAGCCCCACAAACAAATACAAAATAAGACAGCGAAAAAGAACAGACAACATTGTGGAGATTTACATGTGTGTGGGCGTGTGTGTGTATGTGTGTGTGTGTGTGGGTGCGAGTGTGTGTGCGTGTTTGTATGTGTGTATGTGTGTGTGTGTGTGTGTGTGTGTGTGGGTGCGAGTGATAATCTTAGCACTTTGATCCATCCACCTTCTTTACCCCTTTCTGGACTATTTCTATGGTTGTTCAAATTGAAGAAGACTAAAAGACAAAATTGTGGGAATAAAAATGCTCTATCTAAATGGACTTAACTGAACTACAGTGGAGTCCAGAAGGAGCCCAGGCACCAGTTTGAGAAACACTGATGTAACACAAAAACAAACCAATATCAGGACATTTGGCAGACTTTATACTCACCAGATTTATTCACGCTTTTGGGTTTCCGTTTGCGAGTCTGGATTCCCTCTTTCTTCATAGCCAGAGGTCGAGGAACCTTAATGTATTATCACAAAGACCATGAATAAAATGTCCAACTTTATTTCAATGTCAATCACCGCTCATACCCCATGAAGTTTCATGTAGAGGCCGCAGGCGTTGCACACAGGCTCTCCCTCTGCGTTACGGCGCCACAGTGTGGTGGTGGTGGTATGACAGTTGGTACAGCATAAGCCCACTCTTCTCGAGGCTGACTGTAAAAACATGTATTATATTTAGAGCACAGCAATAGCTTCTTCTGAATGATTTTTTCCGGCTTCTCGAGTTCTCTTGAATGGATTTATGGATGTCAAATTTCCCCCCTGAAATGTCACCACTGTGGGGCGAATAAAGAATCTCTAATCTTAATGATATAGATGGTTGCTACAAGATGGAAGCCCCCTCCCGCACTGTCTCATCGACACTGGATCATATCTTTGTGTGTTTTTTATCATGGCATTTCTTGTTTTTGAACGGATTGATTCTCTGATCTGTGTTGGCAAATTCACTGGTTTTGTGAAGTTCTCTGAGAAAGCGGCTGTTGTGATTTAGGGCTATAAAAGAATACATTTCATTGAATTTAATTGAATAAAAACTCCTGTGTTTGATTTATATATGTGCTATATGTGTTATTTTGATGTTACTTTGTGTGTGTCTCTTTCTCTGTCTTTACAATTCTGTTTTGTTCTTGAGAATCATTTTAAAATTCATAAAAAACATGCAGATTTGGCCCACTCACCAGCCGGCGCTGAGGTTTGATCAGAGGTCTGTTGATGCCGTTCATCTTGTGGTACAATCCGCAGGCGTTGCACAGATAGTGGCCCGTTCCATCGCGCCTCCACAGGGGGGTGGACATGGCCCCACAGTTCACACACTCACGGCCCTCAGCAAAGTCATCAAAGAGATCTGAGAGAACAAAACAACCAAACAATGCATTTAATCATCTGCGTAATTATTTCAGTCACTCAAGTTTACCTTATAAAAATCAACTGTTTCAAAACTGTAACTATTAATTACAACTGAACATATTTTAGCAATCAAAAAATCCCTAATACAGACTTGTTTGGGGTCAGGAAACAACTTTGGAATTGACTTTTGTACGGGTTTGCTACATTTTGTGTGAAAGAAGCATCAAACTTCAGCCGGACCATTTTAGTCTGGTAAAAAGTACATTTATAGATTTTATTGTTTGACTATATACCGAGGAAATAATACACTAAAGACAAGACAGTAAATATAGTTCATAAATGTGGGTAAATTATTTTGAGACTCAAACAGAGCAGTACATATATAAAAACGACACAGGAACAGTGTAGTTTATAATAATGAAACTGTTGTAGTATGTTATATATATATTATACTATTAGGTTTGAATGGCTTTATATAAAATGTCATAAGTGTGTACTGAACTAAATTAAAATGATAATTGCTGAATAGATTATCATGAATTATATCCTGCCCAAATAAACAGCGCCAAGCCAGAAGGATGTGCGATCCTTCATGTACAGTTTGAAATTCTTATCACATGTGATTAAGAATAAAGAATCAGCGTGGAAATGAAAACAGACGAACTGCAGGTCGTCCAAACGCAAACTGTCACATTTCTCTATTCAGTAATGGTTTTTCTGATAAATTAATATCTGGTTTGTCTAATTTGGAAAATAGTAGTTCCCAAGTAAGAGAAGTCCATCTCAAACTGTCAGAGTCAATGGCTTGTCTCTGTTATAAGTGAAATCTAATGTTTCTGCATACATAACTTTAACAGACCACAGATGTTCTCCACATGGATTTTTGTCTCTGAACAAAACTTTAAACTATTGTATTATTATTTTACTTAAAATGGCAAGATTCTACAGGGCAGGCCAACCTTGAGGCATGCTAATGTAGCCAACACAACACAAGACAATACACCAATACAGCGTTTGGAGTGTGCATTTATCAAGACATTTGAAGAAAACCTTAGAAAAATCAACAGCTGTATTTCAGTATATTGTAATAGGTATAAGTCCAGTTTATTTGTATAATAAAAAGGAATATATACAAAGAATTTAAAATGTCAGATTAAATCAATAAATGAAATATTCTAATTTTAGCAATACTAATTGTTCTAATTTTTTGGTCGGGTTTAAATGGAGTGGAAAACATATTGATCCGGACTATGAATTATCTAATTGACCGTCGATTAGATCACATACATATACTTCAATAGGGCCCTCCTGGATAAATGCAGTATACAAAAAATAAAATACAATAAAATAAAATACAATAGATAAGCCTGAAGTTATATAGACTTATTCCATTTTTTGTTTGTTTCAATCTTCACTTCATCTCCATAAACATAAACTGAATTGATATCGGCCTTGTCATGCTGTTGATAATAAAAAGGAAAAAATAAATACATGCAAATTGATAAGATTTGAGTTGTATAAATATTGATTTGAAAAATTACAGAAGAAGAAAGAACACTGAAAAGGGCCTTCATCACAGGTCACAATATCTTTGTTTTTATGAATTGGGAACAGTGTGAAACAAAACACACTATTATATATTGTCTGCTTGTAACAAAAGAAAATCTTAAGTAAAAATATCCAATGGTATGGTTGATATTTGTATTTTAGTTTAGTTATTTTGCAGTTATTTTTGTGTGTGTGTAATATTTATTTATTTATAATGAATGTAAAACGTGTACATTGAGCATTATATTAAATGTGCAATCTATCATTCGTGAGTTTTGCCTCCGCTTATTTTATTACTCGTGTGAGGTAAAACATATAGACCAAATTACGTTGAAAAAAAGTATGTAATTATTTCTTTTTTAGATTTACATGTAGCGCAGTAAATAGTAAATAGCCTAAAAATGTTTGTGATGTTAATTTATTACGTTGCAGAATTAAAGTGTTGTTTGTGGGTTCTGCTCTGGCGCTGCAGCCTTGACCTTGTTAGTTTAGTAGTTTAGGTTAAAATGACCTTAAATGTGCCAATCGCTTTTTAATAAACTGTAATCGGCTTTGTTGAGATTATCTAAATGGTAGAGGTGATAAATTACTTGTTGCTGTGGAAAAATGTTGAATTGTGTCTACTGGGCTCTAAAATGAAGCTTGAGTGTTTTTTTTTTTGTTGTTTTTTTTAAGACTAATGCAATTTATCTACAATTTATTTTTAAATTCTCTTCCACTATTTCCATTTTTCTCTCACGCAAATAAATATTTTCAGCGGCCTCGGGACGGTTATTGTGAACAATTTAACTTTGCAAACTAATGAAAGATGTTGGCTAGCAGCGTGCTCCCTCTGCGGGCTCTGCCTCTGCGGGCTCTGCGGGCTCTGCGGGCTCTGGCTCACCTATGTTCGGATGATGTCGCGCTGTCCCCGGGGTTCCTCCAGGCTGGAGGCCGTGCAGCACCGGGCTGTCGAAGGGGGAGGCAGACCACGTCGCCCCCACACTGGGGCTCACATAGGCGGGGTAAGGGCTGTGGTACGAGCCGCTGAGAGCGCGGGCTCCGTAGTGCTCTCTCCCGGTGGAGTAGGAGACAGTGTCGCGGGCAGAGGCGCAGGACATGCCCGACGGCAGAGGAGGGCTGGTGGAGAAGCTGAAGCGAGAAGACACCGGGGAGTGACTGTACGAAGACACAGACTCTGCTCCTGTCTGAGCCCAGCCGGAGTGACCCGACACCGGGCTGCTCTGCTGCGAGGCCCCGCTCTGGAGGTAAGGCAGCGCGGGCAGCATCGGGGTGACCACCCGTGTGGTTGGGACATACACCGGAGAGGTCCCCGGAGCACTGTGCAGGTACCCGGCCTCGTAGGACGGGGCTCCGTGGTTAGATGTCATTATTCCCTGGTACATGTTCCTGAGGCTTCACATCCGCGTTGATGAAGAAACAAGGCACTCACTGTTCAAATGTACATAAACTATAAAACAATACATCCATAGGCTCCTGACGAATCTGGTCCGATTTAGAGAGAGAAAAAAGAAAGTGCAAGTGAGAGCAGAGCAGAAAAGGCCCTTGAGGAGGAGAGAGCAGAGTGAAGAGTGAAGCACAGATCATGGTCCTAATGTTACAGCCCTCTCCCCTCCTCAGCAGCACTGCACATGACTGCTCTCTGTTTGTCCTACAGAGATACTTACAAGTGTGTGCATTATTATGCCGCTTTGCAAGTCCACTCAAGCACTGTATTTCCCCAAAATGTCACTATTTAGGTTTTTTGACATCTTTGACAAAGTTGTACCATTTATTGTATATGTAATACCCCCACTATTTGTATCCCACAGAAATAATTGAATAAATAAGATATTGATATAGGATCATATAAATTTTTTTCTTTGGAAAATAATCAACACACAGAGGTTTTAAATGTGGTCAAATGTATGAGGGGTGTGTCCAGACGTAAGCCGTATAATATCTGTCTGAGGCTGGAAAGTGGTTGTTGTCCACTTCAGGACAGATTCTAACACCAGCGAACATAAACACATACGGCCATTTCATTGTGTTGCTATTTCCCACTGACAGCGGTGCTTTGAAATATGTGACACAGGCAGGCTGCCAGTGTGGAAAGCAAAAAAGTTAAAACAAATTACGCCGTTATTAAAAGTCAATGATAGGATTATTTTTAATTATTGATTCTGTGACCTCCTGAAAAGTCCAGACAAATTGAGCAACAAAATGCCAAAAATGAAAATAGGGAACTGTGATCAATGTGTAACAGAGTCTGATAACAGCAGCTGAGTTTGCTGCTAATATTAGGGTGTGGACCTGTCGTGCATGGGTATAACCTACAGATGATTAAGCCATTTATGGTTTAACTCCATATAGTCATTGAGATGAGAAAATAACACAGAGAAGGAAAATACTACAAACTAAATGACCTTCACTAAATATAAACAATTAGAAACACAGTTACTGTATGTCATATGATATACTTATCATCGACCATTCCATATGGTCGTAAACAGTGAAAGATCATGTCTTTTTTGTGGTTTGACATTGCATCGTATTGTCATGTTTTGTTTTGTTTGCCAGTCTCAGTATCTCTGACAGTGACATTGGCCAGATTTGCGAGTCTGTGTGCTAAAGCAGACCAAAAAATGCAACAATGAAAGAGCAATGTAATCTGAGACATTTTTACAAAGTCTTAAAGTGTTTGAGGGGGGACAAAATTCACTGGGCGAGTTGGTCAAAATTGATCATTTTGATATTTTTTGACTAACATAACTTTTACATCTGATTTTCCATATCCTGTTTTAAAAGTCTAATCTTGTTCTGAGTAAAAATAACTTCCAAAGAGATAAAGCGTAAATATCCAGTTACACAATTCTTACACATTTGAATTTTTTTTTATAGAGGTCTAACTTGGGAAATCATTATTTCCTTACATGTACCTAAAGAAGTGAGCATGATAGGTACGGTAAGACCAGCCTAGTTCTAACCTTTAGTACCAGAGTTTTATTTCTATATTGTGTGTATACATTAATGCTTGAATTTGTTCTTATCTTCTCTCGCAAAATTCTTTCCGTCAGACCTGTGTTCTCACTTTTTCAACTTATACGAGTTATGATAAAGATAAAATGTCTCTTTTTTAAAATAATAAATATAATGCTACTTGACAAAACTTTGGAAAAAAACTTAAATCAAGAAATGTTCCATATTCAGGTGATGTTTTGCTCATCCAAGGGATTCCTTATTCCTCCCACAGTAAGGACATTTCAGTGTTGCATCACCAGTTACAGATCAATTGGAATGAGGAGCACAATAATTCCTTAACTTTAGCATAATAAAGAAGCAAAAATTTGTTAGTCTAATTTACGAACATAAATAATTACAGTCTTTGTTCATTTGTGACCATAAAAATGCTATTTTGATGGGATTGCAATCAGCGGCAGTGTGTGTTTGTCCGTGTGTTTGTGTATGTGTCCCTGTGTGTGTGTGTGTCCCTGCGTATGTGTGTGTGTATATGTGTCCCTGTGTGTGTGTATGTGTCCCTGCGTATGTGTGTGTGTGTATATGTGTCCCTGTGTGTGTGTGTGTGTCCCTGCGTATGTGTGTGTGTATATGTGTCCCTGTGTGTGTGTATGTGTCCCTGCGTATGTGTGTGTGTATATGTGTCCCTGTGTGTGTGTGTGTGTCCCTGCGTATGTGTGTGTGTATATGTGTCCCTGTGTGTGTGTGTGTGTGTGTCCCTGCGTATGTGTGTGTGTATATGTGTCCCTGTGTGTGTGTATGTGTCCCTGCGTATGTGTGTGTGTATATGTGTCCCTGTGTGTGTGTATGTGTCCCTGCGTATGTGTGTGTGTATATGTGTCCCTGTGTGTGTGTGTGTGTGTGTCCCTGCGTATGTGTGTGTGTATATGTGTCCCTGTGTGTGTGTATGTGTCCCTGCGTATGTGTGTGTGTATATGTGTCCCTGTGTGTGTGTATGTGTCCCTGCGTATGTGTGTGTGTATATGTGTCCCTGTGTGTGTGTGTGTGTGTCCCTACGTATGTGTGTGTGTGCGTGCGTCGGTCCTGTCAGAGTTGATTTAAGAGCTGCTATTGGACTGACATGACAGAGATGCTGCAGCAGGAGGTGAGCTGGATGTGTCTGCGTCAGAACTAGGCACCAGGAAAACTGTCCCCGTCTTGGCTGGGGGCAGAGACTCAATCATTCGGGGTCACTGACTTCACTTTGGCCCTTGGTCTTCCTCAGCACGCTCTAATCCAGCCCCACATCCACTGCGGGGCTGCTGGGCTCTCGTAGACGGCTGGCTCCAGGAAGAAGACTTCAAATGGTCAAAGCAGGAAAACGCTTGACTGTGGTGGACCCTCGACGTGGTCCAGACACAGTCACAGTCTCGGTATATCCTCGTCGTGCAAGTGTGTGTGCGTGTGTAGTTTTGCAAAGTAAGCAGGAATAATCTTTGAGTTGTTCTGCTGACCTCGACTATTGAGTGTTGTTTTATCAGATCAGAATAATCAGTGAAGATCTGCAAGAGCTGATCAGGCGAGTGGCGAAACAGTGATAATCAATGTGTAGTTCGACCCATGATAATGGAAGTGTTATAAGCTGCTCACGTTGGCTCTGATTTGATTTCAATAAGAAATGTGAGCTTTTCAATGTTCAGTTTACTCGGGTTGTCAAAAGTATCAATTGTTAGATCGATCTTCAGACTAGATCAGAATGTTGATCTAACAATATTCTACCAGTCATGCAGGACAAATGTCAGATAGTTTGAGCAGTCTTAAATGATTTTAAACTCTGAACTCTAAGAGATTCTTTAATTTTGGGGATATTTCAGTGTTGCATCACAGGTTACAGAACAGCAGGAATGAGAAGCACACAAACAGAAAAATACTATATAATTTAGTGCAATCAAATATATTAGACTGTATATGCAACATTATATGAAGCCTTGGGTATCATATGATATGTTGTTATCTATTTTGCAGTATTTTTCTATAATCTGATTATTTGAGACATACCTGTGTTATTTTCTATTTCTATTTTACATTCTTTACACATTGAATTAGTCAAAGACTCATCATACTTAGACTTTGTCAATAAGAAAGTTTCTCTGGTCTCTCTCTGGTCTCTCGCTCTCTGATTTCTCTGATCTCTCTCTGCTCTCTCTCTCTGGTCTTTCTTTCTGGTCTCTCTCACTGGTCTCTCTCTCAAATCCTTCTCACTGGTCTCTCTCTCAAATCCTGCTCACTGGTCTCTCTCTGGTCTCTCTCTGATCCCTCTCTCTGGTCTCTCTCTCTGGTCTCTCTCTGGTCTCTCTCGGATCTCTCTCTGGTCTCTCTCTGGTCTCTCTCGGATCTCTCTCTCTGATCTCTCTTTCTCTGGTCTCTCTCTCTGGTCTCTCTCTGGTCTCTCTCACCGATCTCTCTCTGGTATCTCCTTGGTCCCACTTTCAGATCGCTCTCTCTGATCTCTCTTTCTCTGGTCTTTCTCTGGAATCTCTCAAGTATCATCCTGACTCTGACTGATCTGGCACAGAGTTAGAATGTGGACTCACTGGCGTCGGAGCCTTTATCCAGTCTGATATCTGTGTTTTGTTTGTTTCTGTCCTACCTCTCTTAATGTCTGTGGATCCATATGTCAAAAACAAACCATAATTAAATAAATAATAATTCTACGCTAATTCATGAATGAATGATACCGTTATTAGTCCCACTGTGGGGAAGTTTATACAGTACCTTAATACAATTTGGGTTTGTGTGCTTTTTCGTTCCGCGGCCTCAAAACTGAAAATTTCTCTCACTTAACTTAAGGTGGGCTACCAAACTTTTGTGTTTGTCCCAACAGAAAAAGTAAATATACTATTTTGTGAAAAAATCAGACCACAACTCGCTGCCTTCAAATTATTAGAAAACATTCCAGAAAGGAAAGAGCCCCGTGAGTCACTATTTGCTGATATAGCTGATTCTCTGGACCTCATTTTTTCCAATTTCAAGTTTGAATTAGGTACCCCCGCTTTAAATAAATAACAAAATGTATTCACTTATCTCTTATCTGCCTTTTGGAGTGTTGTGCTAAAGATATAAAATTAGTAGTAATGTTTGTTCATAGTCTAATTAATTTTAAATATCAAATAATGAGTTATTGTGGCTGGAACATTTGTAATATACATACAGTGCATCACACGTTTGACTTTACTGGTTAGATGTGTCAAAATGTCCAGAAAGAAACCAGAAACAATACAGAAAAGTAAACAATAACGGCAGAACAAATATTAGTTTGACATTACATCAATCAAAAGGTGACGTGTGCTGATGTTAGGACTGGTTTGAGACGAGATTATCCGTAGATTGAGGTTTTATCAGCGAGTTATTCTTGAGGATTATCTCTGTTTGATCAGGTAAAGTCTGATCTTATGGCCCCTCTCATCCATGCCCTCACATCATTAACCTGAGTGTGTTTTCAAACAAATTATTAACTCTTCAATTGTGTGTCTTTTTCTAGTGATCGGTAAGTTAACTTGTGATTTAAGAGGCGCAAACAGATTATAATGCTCGCAAAAACAAAACGGCAAGAGCAAAAGTTTCTAGCAAATTGAAACATAATTTGAAGATTTGAACTAGAGACTGATTTGAGCAGGTATCAAGAATAAAATAAAAGCCTAAAATGTAACATTTCCTGCGTTAAAAATAAATAAATGTTAAACAAAATCAGAACACTTGTGTAAGACCATGTGGCCCCATATAAAGAAATATTTTTTTTATTTAAAATGTACAGTTTTTAGTCCAAAATTAGCATTTGGAGATGACTATTGTTTTTTTTATCTTATTGAAATTTAGATGTTGTCTTGTGACATCACTTCAATTGAGTCTGAATTGTCTATTTTTTCAACATAAAACAACTGCTACCAAATACACAGAAATACAGAGTTTGGAAGAAGCAGGCTAATAGTTACTAAAGTTTCTAATCAATGGGGGTTCACGGTATTTACAATTAGGGGATATTCTATATACGCTGTGTTATTCATGCAAATTATTAAAACAAAAAGTTGACAAAAATCAGATGCCCCCTCAACTTTGACACAAAAAACATAGAGGGTGCCCTATGATACCAAAAGTGTGTGCACAGTGACCTACGGCTGATATTTTTAGCAATGAAGACACAGGGATCCCAGGACCTCTCCCCGCGATAAGCCCTGGCCAAAGTCCACCAGCTAACAAATAGGAACTGGCCAACAGACAAGCAGCGTCGGCCATTAATAAATGTACGCTCGGGGCTCCTGAGGCCGGTTTGCACCTGAGGGGTAAACTCAGGGCAAGAACAGGGTTAGGTAAAGGTGAAGTGGTGACGTCATCAACAATAGGTGCTGAGTTCAGGGAGAGTTCAAGTGATGTGGTCAAAAAGTCACAGCTGATTTTATTTCAGCAAAAAAGTGCAGTGAAAAAAAAAAACATGCTGGGACACCTTAGATCCCACATAAATAACACATGTATTTGTCCCAACAGAAAAAAGACTTGTCAAAGTAAAATGTGAACAACATCATCTGTTTACTTTTTAGAAAAAAATCATATTGTTTGTGCTTTTAAGAAAGATCCTTGTGTCACTATTTGACGCTTTGGCCTGACAGCTGATTGGCCGATTGAGGGTGGTCCTTTCTTTCTCACTTTTCTGTCTGAAAAAGTCAGTCTAATGATGTCACAGAGGCCAAACAGTCATGCATGTGAAAGTTTGTGATAAATTCAACTGTTTTAAGAGCAAGGGACTAATTCTAAGAAGAAAGAACTGGCAATTTTATTTTGGTTTGAAAGTTAGGTAACTTAGCTTTAAAAACCTTGATGTCATTGTAACATTTTCCTCCTGGCACCAGTATTGTCAATCTGAACAAAATGTTGTGATTATTATGATTAATATTATTTTTATATGGATATAGAGAAAGTAAAGCATAGAAAACCTTTCTTTAAGCTACAATCTCAAATTGTCAATGCATATATTTATTATTGGTTCAAAGAATATAAGATCCGACAAAGGTAATAACGCTGAATTCTAAATTAAGTAATTGACAAATGCAATTTGAGAATACAGTGTGATGTTTGGTTGTAACTAAAAACATTCTTATTTTGATAGCAGTAGTTAGTTCCACTGTAAATCCTAACCTCAATCTTTCCTCAGATATCAAAGTTATTTTTGATAGATTTTTCCCAGTAAGTAAATATTACTTGTTTATTGTTAGTTTATTTAAAGCTTGGCCGCACTTTTGATATTTTGAACATGTATCTGTTCAAAATGTTAGGTATCTTTAGAGCAGGGGGCCTGGTGGCTGAGTGGGTAGCACCTTCGCTTCTTGGTATGAAGGTTCAGAGTTCAAATCATCGTCGGAGCAGGACATTTCTGATATATGTATAAGATGAAATCATGGTCAAACTTGATTGCAATCAACTGCTTCTTAGTAGTTTATGTATATCTTCTTTTGACAAAAATAGCGTATTGTGATGTGATTTGATTTTACTTTTCCAAGATTCCTTCTGTTGAGACAAGCAACATACATTTTATATGAAAACCTCTTTCAAATGTAAACTCATTAACAAAGTATTTACACCCACTTTACCAAATGTGTTTAAACCTATCCTTAACCAATCCTTATAGAGAATCAAACAGTCGTTATAATGGAGATAAAGGGCCTGTCATAGGTGATTGTTTTGACAGTCAGACGAGGAGCAGAGGAACAGAAGACGCAGAGGATGCAGCGGAGATGGCAGCAGACAGGAGGAGCAGTGGAAAACAAAAGAGGCTCCACACAGTGCTGCGTCTTATCTGTCTGAGGCCCTTATCCACCGGACTGTTAGTATAACCCCTCTCCCTCCTCATCCCTCCATCGCTCACCCCTCCTCTCCCTGCTCCATCCACAGGCCTCCGCGCTGCACCCACTTATCAGCTGACGTCAGGGGGCCGCTGGAGCTGGGGGGCCGGAGACGGAGGCTGATAGCGCGGCTGAGGCTGCCTCCACTCGGGCTGTGGGAACCAGGGACCCAGCCCATCTCCACTCACTGGCCCCGCACGTCCAGCACGCGCACTACACAACAAGGAACAGCGGCCGGAGGTGAGGCTGATGTAGTTATGACGAATGTAGCTTCACAGAAACTGCCCAAACTGGACACCCATTCATCCGCTGACAGAGTGGGTTTATAAGGCTCACAAATGATTCAGAACATTCTGCAGCCAGAAGTCACATTTCCTTATCTTACAAATGTCCTCTGTCATTTGTTTAAAGAAAAGAAAAGAGTACAACATAAAACAGATTCAGATTTATCTACAGTTAGGTTAAGGTTATGGTATACTTTATTGTCTGCATTTGACCCAGTGTAGCGCCTGGGGACCCATCACCAGATGTTAATGCTCGGATTCATCAGGGCTTCCAGTACAAGAGGGTTTTACCCATAGTACGTGTTTTTAGTGGTACGAGAGACCAGAGCACAGAAGAAAACTACGCAGGCACGGGGAGAACATGCAAACTCAGAAAAGGCCCTGTTCTGATCAAAATTCTTACCCAGAACCATACAAATAGTCTATTATTCAGATAAAAGTATAAATTCCATTATAGTTCAATAATATATTTTGTATACACTTTATAATAACAACAAACAAAGTAGCAATTCTGCACAAAGTGGATCTCTGGTGATTTTCAATCAATCAATCAATCAAAATTTATTTGTAGAGCGCCTTTCATACACAGGGCAACACAAAGCGCATTTTGCCTTTATTGAACCATAACTGTTCCATCAGTGCACAAACAAAACATCCAGTTAAATAACATATTTTATTCAAGAAAAATTGTTTTTGAGTATAGCATTTTATTTGTTATCAATATTATTGATGCATAAGTTCAGACCTTCTAAAATGTATCAAATTTTGTGGTCATAGTTTGTTATATATATTTTCCAAGGCTGATGCATTTCCTGATGAACTTTGATTTGGAAAAAATTCCCTCCCACAAAACACAATGGTACAGTGAGCTGGTGCGGGTCATCAGGTGCAAGGCTGACCATGGGGAGTGTGAAAGGCTGGCACTTTTCACATCATTAGTTGCAGGTGCAGCCCTCCCAAAGTGTGCAGCTACACACTCATATGCTCACACACATTCACGTACACACTCACACACATACCCACGCTCACACTTACACACATACACGTACACACACACACACACACTCGCAATCACACTCACACACACACACACGCCCACACTCACACACCTACACACACACATTACACATACACTTTTGCATACACACACACATGCACCACACACAAACGCACCCACACACAAACGCACACACACTCACCGTGGCCCATCAGCCGTGTCATCTACACCAGTTAATTACCACTACCTCTTGACACAGATGTATTGTCAAAGCCACATAGTGTACAGTCTCAGAGCTGCTTTGCCTCTCGCACTGCAATGGGAGGGAAACCATCAATCCGCCAGTTAGCCCCACATGTTTCTCTCTCGGTGCTAAGTTAGTGTCCGATGTTTTGGAAGATGGATTTGTCGGATGGGGAGTGGAGACACCCTTATCAGTGAGGCGTCCTCGATAAGGCACAGGAGATGTGTTTGTTGGAGTGTGTATATGTGTCTTTGACCTCCTCCAAAACCAAGTAGGAGGAAGAAAAGAGTGGCCTTGACTGAGCCGCCGAGGGTTGAGAGGTACAATCCAAAAAGAAAGAGGCCCTTGTTGCTGGATTCTTCACTTCCACTTTCTCCCGGCTGTGGGCTTCTCTTCGGCTGTCAAACACACTCCCCAAAACCCTCTGATTGCGACTCTGTCCTTGAGCTGAAATAACTGAATGAGCCAGATGGATTTGAATGTGAAGATAGAAGTAATTACATATCTATATCAAGATAACTCACTTGTACTCCTTTCATTATCTTACACACAGCAACTTTTTCTATGCCGTCAATTCTACATATTCATATTTATGTAATCAATAAATCGCAATTAATTGATTATTGATATAGTTGTCAACAAAATTAGTTATCGATTTATAATTTTCTAAACTTTACTTAGACTTAAACCTGCTAAGTAGAGATTTCATGTCTCGTATGATTTTATGACGACCTCAGAATGAAATAGTATTTTTAATCATACAACTCAATGTGTTACCAGTCATCTCTATATGTTCTCCAGGGACAGCTTTGTCAAATGTATTACAAAATCCCCTATTCACTAAGCTTTCAGGATCCAAGCCACTAGTTTGTGGGTTCGAGCCCAACCTCAAGGCTTTCTCCACCGACTCCCACGGATGTCTGCTGTCGTTGTGTCCTTGGCAAGACACTTAACCTCTGGGAACACCTGATGTCACAGTGGGGCAGCTGCGGCTGTGAAGTGCCAAACTGCCGTTGTGTCCTTAGGCAAGACACTTCACCCCCATTGCCTAGAATGAGTCTGGTGTGTGTGTGAATGGTTGATGGTGGTCGGAGGGGCCAATGGCACATACTGGTTGCCTCGCTTCTGTCGGTGTGCCCCAGGGCAGCTGTGGCTACAGAAGTTTATCACCACCGTGTATGGAGTGAAAGAATAATGACATATGAAGCATCTCTGAGTGTCCAAAAAAGCGCTACACATAAAACCAATGCATTGTTATTATTATTATTATAGCTTACATGAAACCAATGCAAATAAGGAAATAAACTAGTTATTAGGATATTGAATCAGCGTGAGGCTCCCTTCTCCGATCGATAAGACTGAGATGGCATAAGTATGAGAAACATACACAAACATATACAGTCTGTCTGTATCGCCTCCTGACCCTCTGACATGACGAACGGCTCCTCTCATTAGTCTCTTTAATTGGTCCAGCGTCGTCGTAATGGGCTCATCAGAAGTCTGGCTCAAAGCCCGGCTAAAATAAACCAGCAGAGCTAACACTGCACAGGCCTCCCCGTGACACTTTGTGATTAGGATTACTTAGTATTATTACTGCTATTGATCATGGGTGAGCGTGGAACTATAAACTTTGTTGACTTGATGCTTGTTTTCTTGCTCTTACTTTAAACCTCCACTTCATATTTAACAACAGTGTCGTACTTTCACATTGTGAGCTTATCAGGTTAGTCACCATTCAAAAATGTAATCTTATCTCATGCTTGACATATATATTTAATTTATTTGGTTGTTTCAAGTTATTCTCTCATGGTGTTTATGTGCACAATCTTGCATGTATAAGTTGTATGGCGTGTGCAATGTGGCGTCCATAGTTTGCAGAGAATCCATCAAAGCTTATCATTATAAGTAAACATGACAGAGTGGACAAAATGTCTTATGCGCCGCCAGGGCTGCTATCTAACCGCAGGCCCATATCTGTGATGATGGACTGATGTGGCGCTAACTTAAGCTAACGAGAGTCTGCGAGAGCTATAGAGGCGTACTACTCACTTATTTACTTTTCACACAACATATTCTTATTAAAAAATATTGTTATGTAGTTAGTACACACAATAGTTTATTGCATATCAGCTTTGTTTAAATGTGATGCCAGAAACGTGACATGTATTTCATTATTCCAAAAGAATCATTATTTTTGACGATGTGACCTGTATTAGCATGTGAATTTAGTTTTAAAGGTGATATCTGCTACTTCAATTGTATAAGAATCCACTTGTTTTACCTTATGATGCTGTGGTACCATCCATCCATCCATTTTCTTCCCCTTCATCCATTTCTGGGTCAGGGGGGTGGCAGTCAGAGCTGCACCCAGTACACATACTGTAGCAGTTGTGGTACCATTTAAATGAAAAATGAAAAATATATTTAAAACAGTCCCTCCACTTGGAATATGCATCTCTTGTAAAATTAGCTGGAGGAGAATAATTAGACCAATGAGGGGCCTCAGCTGTCTGTTAAAGGAGCTGTACCTTTTTCTGCAAGGTTTGAATGTTTAGCACCGCCCCTCAACTCCCTCACAGGCTTCTCATTTCCCCTACGCTCTCATCCCACAGAGACATCTAGTTTTATTTGCAATCTATAAGCAAACATTAGCATGATCGCAACTTCTTGTAAGATGTACAACAATCACTGATGAAATGGTACAAAAGCAACAGACTGCTAACAAAATATATAACTGAAAGATTACCGCTAGTTCCGCGTCTGAATGTAGTCCGAGCATAGAACCAATTTGAATTAGTTTCATCCAATCATCATGAAGCTGTGGGGGTGAGCGTTTGACAAGTCTCTCTTCCGTTTGACAATAGTGTTAAGTCTACAAAAAGAAAGATCCATCTTAAAAGAACTTTGAATGTATTTGAGGGAAAACAAATGCTGTTTATCTATGACACCATTTACCGTTATTTAGATTATTGTATTTGTTGCAACACTTTTTAAAGTGGACAGTTACTTTTCAAATTGTGAAAATGGAGACAGGTTTTTCATACGCCAGTTTGACATGTCCCTGATCGGACACAGAAAAATTGATATTCTTTATACTTTACACAGCTGAGGCCTCTCACCATTGGTCTAACTATTCTTCTCCAGCCAATATTATGGTAAGAGTTTTGAATACATATATATTATAAAAAATAGTTCATATAGATGATACTACAGGGTTATACAGTAAGATCTGTCTATAGGAGAAACAATTTAAGTTGTACTGCATTTTAAGTGTTTAGTAACTATAAATCTTTAGTAACTATAAATCATATATTTTGCAATTACTCTTATTTGATCACCAAAAATAAGGTTTTACACTAGGACAGTGGCTCTCAAACTTCTGACCTCAACCGCCACCAGATCTAAGTAGTTACTTTACAAGTTTCCTAAATGAGCCGTGTCTAAAAACCGTCTGTTCTGGATTCAAACATGTCTACACTGTTTTGGTGGTAGTTCTAAATGGGGATTAACCCTCAAAAGGCAGGGAATAAAATCTAAATTCAGCATATAATTGAAGATAAGATAAGAGCACCTTTAATTGTCCCACAGGGGGGAATGCCAGTGTTGTGGCACACATTACAAGGGCAGGAGGGAAAGACAAGCACTCAAAAGGAATCCCTTTGGTTCTACTTAACAAACATAATTTTGCAGAATTTGTGCCGCTATATGTTTGGCTATATCCATCTTTGATACTGTACATGTTGTAGAGAAATACTCATAAAGAAACAGCAGACTCTTCAGCATCATAAACGAGCAGACGTGGACATAATTCATAAAGGTATTTATAGCTGTTATTTATAGGCTCTGTTAGCGGCCGCTCGTAGCTGCACCTATGAGATGTACCGTGACTGTAGTTTTTCATGTCATACAGACTCTCAAATTGCAGATGTGATCAGAGGAGAGTTGAATAGCCTTTGGGGAGATTTACTGGTAACATCAGCCGACCTTTTATCACATGGACAAACATCAGAACAGCAGAATACACACTTTTAGTAAGTCTGGGGCAAATATGAGACTATAGATCCATGTGGGTTATTAGCAGGTGAGGATTTATTGTGCATTTGGGTCAGCCTATATGTGTTCCTCAACTTGTTACAACACCTGTGATAAGCCGGGTAAACAGCAGCAGTGTTTGCCCCCCGCTGCGCTCACATGACCACAAGCCACATAAAAGGCATTCGGACTGACTCCATAATAAGGCAATGTGGAGATTAAATTGAGCCTTTTTTCACGATTTATAATGATAATAACAACAACACTAATAATAATCACAACAAAAACAACATCAATAAAATAATTACAATAATAGTACTACTATTATAGATAATGATAAGTGTTGGTTTTTTAAAGCATGGCATTCTTTGTCCACTCTAGACCACAGCTGCCTGGGGAAGACTTTTTGGCCACTCAAATGCTTCCCAAAAAACAGAAAAGAAAAGATTATTTGCAAACCAAAACAGTTAAGAGATAAGATAAGAAAAGACACACTTAAATTTGGAGGAAAAATATCTTGATTTTAACTGAAAAATTGTCAATGGAACAGGCAAGGGTCTTGTTATTGGTTAAAACATTATAACCTAATTCTTGTGCTGCAGGACTGCTCCTAAAAAATACATAATTAAGCTTGTATTTATATTTAACATTTTTGCTAAGATCAGGCATTTTGCGATTAAAAAACACATACAATACACAATACAATCTCTCTTGAAGTTGTTATTTTTACACATACATTTTCAAACATTACATTTTCAACATCGCAGGTAAAGTGAAATCGCATCACAACTTTGGTCAGAAATATCACAATCACATATTTTTGCCAAGACCACGCAGCCTCCGCGTGTGCTGCTGACCATTACGTCTCAGAAGTCAGACCCGGCTCCTGATAACCTTTCGTCCACCTCGGTCCACGGGGGCAAAGGTCTGGAGCTGCCGTGGCTCAGCTGACGGGGCAGATTGACAGTGTGGCATGGGACGGGCTACAGTACGCAGTGGCTTCTTGCCCCAGCGGTCAACTAGAAAGCCTGTGTTTGTGTATGCATGCTGAGGAGGCCATTAACCCTATGCTAACCCAGTAGGTGGTCATTCATTTAGGCTGGACCACCCTTAGTGAAGCAACCATGGAACACTCACACAGGACTACATCTGATTTTACAGTTTATACGTAACTAATTATGTTTACAATTTTCTTAGATGCAACTGATAAAAAAGAAAGTAAAACACATGGGAAGTGTGTGTTGAATAATTCATATGAGTTAAAGCCCCTGTAAATATACATATACAGTTGAAGCAAAAGTTTATTTATTTCTGCATTTCAACCCAAAGCATAAAATAATATATAGACTCATTATATGCTAAGTGACATATACCAATCCTTTGTTTAGTAATTATAGACATTAAATTGTTATAATTATCAACAATTATATTTAATAAAGGCTTGATATATCTCACTTGGCATGTGATGAGTATATCATATATTGGTATCACATTTTAAGTTGAATAACAGAAATAAATTAACTTTTCCTTATTTTCTAAGACCAATAGTTTGTTTTATTCTGATTTTGATATTATTATGTGATTTAAAAGTATCAGACTATGCCCGAGCTGCAGTGGGCTTGACATATAAATAATGCCATAGGTTTTTAGAATTCACCTGAAAATGTTCACATTCGAAAAATGTTCCTTCATGTGTCCAACTGTAGATTGTTGTGATTTAATCCTGGTTTATTTGTTCTAATTCTGCAGAAACTCTTTTATTTTTTTCAGTTATTTTCAGTTGTTATATTGATATATTTGAAAAGATGATTCATTTTGTTCTTTCATTTGTTTTTAATACAGTGGCCAATCTTTGTAGAAAACAAGACTATGTGATACATGAGACCAAAACAACGACTCAAACAAGGGCAAATGTATTATTATTTGAGCAAAATGACAAAAAATTCTATTTTCTTCACTTGACTTTGGTTTGACATTTGACATTTGTGGCATTGTTTAGGTTTAGCGACGTTTTGCTTTCACTGTGAACTTGCCGTTATCTGCAGAAGTAGTCTAAGCTTCCAGTGTTTGGCGTCTGACAAAAATGATTTAAAATCTGCTCAAGGCCTTCTGCAGGTCAGACCTCTGTGACTTTATATCAGGGCTCATTATTATTATTTTTATTATTACACCAATGGGCGATTATCACACACATGTTTTATCTGATCACAATTCTCAAAAGTGCAGAAATATAACTCAATGTATGTATATCAAAACATGCTTTCAAATATAATGATGAGTATAATATAAAATACTGGCTTGTGTTAACTTTTGCGATTTTTAATCAAAAACAAAACAAAAACAGTGATAGACTAGAGATATGTCCAAAACAACAATTGGGATATTATCTATATTTTGATATATTGTTCACCTCTTGATATGAGCTTGTTTTATCATTGACCAACACTAAGATGAAACAAGATGGTTGTCTGGCTGTAATGATAACCAGTGTGCATGTACAGTATACTGTATATATACTGTATATATTATTGTTCCCTACAGGGACAATAAAGTGTACCAAACATGAACCTTTTTAATGAAACCATGGCAGAACCATAAACTTTGTATTCTGCAGATAAAATGAAACTGTACAAATGTCAGATGACGAGGAGACAAGATTCATTCGATGCATTTTACTGTATTTTAACTATATTATTAAATATTGCAAAACTTGGTAACTTTGTGCACATTCGGCTGCGTCCGAGCAGAGATACTTTGTTGGATTTGAAATCTTAGATATTGTTTGTAAAGAACATAAAGGTTTCAAATATAGGCCTGACAGAATAGACTGCTTCACTAAGAAGACATGCCAACACAAACCCAGCTTTCATCTTAACCATGCCCCATAATCCTTTGCTGCAGCAGGCCGGAGTATGCGGGGAGAAGGGAAGGTGTTGGTGAAAGTCTGCACAGGCCAGAGGACGGACACACCGGCGCCATGTCGATCCCCAAGACAACTTATCTCTCCGCTCACATTGATAGTGCCTGTCAAAATAACAGCCAGGATACATAGTGAGGCAGGAACTGGTTCACCAGCGCTGTCCAGTCTGGTCCATCTGGGAGGGTCATGTCAACAAAGCTCCTCAGAAAGAAATGCAGAAATATGTTGAATAGTAAATCATTTTGTAACTAAGCATTTTAATTTCACGTGTTGTATGTGATAGTATGAAATAACCCTGAAAGATGTATTTGACATAATGAAATCTGATTTAAACATTGAGCTGCTGAAAGATGTTCTCCACATTCTTCTCATTTCTCATTTAACTTAAGTTGCATTACAATGTCTCCATCTAGTGGTAGATCGAAGTCACAGTCTTTATCATGGTAGTGGATAATAAAGTGTTATTTTTCTTTTCTCACAGGTGCACTGTCTATGGAATCCACGTGAGCCAGTGCAGAACAGCTGTTTCCAGAGGACACCATATCTAACTACCATAGGATCTGACTAGGGGCAGTTCTATGGCAGGGATTCGAGTGAGTGTAAATTACAAGCTATAATAATATCACTTACATTGGTGCCTTCAATGTTTATTTTCTTATTCATATTTTCTATTCAACCACTGGCTTTGTGACAAGGAACACAGGCATGCCATCTTAAAATCTGCGCCACAGATTAAACTGGGTAACAATCTTTTTTACCATAAATAATGTCCTAAACAACATTTGCTCCCAGATTTGTGAATATGGTCTCATTATTGTTCAAGGCTGTGTGTGTGTGTGTGTGTGTGTGTGTTTTTGTTATATATATATATTTTTTTACACTTTTTGTCTTCTTAATGTACATTTCACACAGAAAAATAAGGCACATTTCAAAAACGATGCTTTGTTCAATTGTTTCAGTAATATCCTTGAGAACATCATGTGGCAATATGTTTTTCTCTAACCATACTAAAACATAAAATACAATATTTTATTCTATTTATATGTAGCTTTTTCCTCCAACATATGGACATATAGATACTATCTTTAGATCAGACAAAAAATTGAAAAGCTTATTTGGCACGCAGCCACATCAACTCGCGGCCCAGAGCGTCAAACAGCGACTCACAGGGCTCTTTCTACAAGTATGCAAAATATGTTCTAATAATTAGATGAAGAGAATATGTAGTGGTCTGATGCGCTCATAACACTGACTTTTACTAGACATTCTATGGGTACACACCATTTGCACAAAAGTTAAGTATCCCAGCTTTAAATTAAAATACGTTGGCATTTATTGACAGATAACAGCAAATATCTGAATGTATGTCCTGTTTTTTTTTTTGTCTTTTGTGTTTTTTATATATTAAACTTGAATTATATTTTAAGGCACCTGTTTAGCTTGTATCAGGGTTGGAATAAAAAAAATATATACATTGACATTTATTTTATTTTTTTGTCCGCGCGGTGTGTTGCATACTTATGGTCAGCAGAGGGCGCGCTAAGGGAGCGGCTTCACACTTGTATGTATTGTAGACTGGAGGATGGCATATGGGGTAAATACACACTCTTAGACGCCTTATTTACGTTCTTACTCATTCAATTATTTAGTGATGGATGTATTTTTCACCAGAGACAACTTGTGACACTATCTGAGCCGACAGCGGTAATATGCGTAAATCTCCACCAGGTGGCTATTGTCTTATAAACAGAGTGGCTAGCTCATGTGTGAAGCCTGACGTTAAATCAGCTGAAACCGTGGACCTTGATCCGTGTATATATATAAATTTCCGCGCAGCATAAGTGGTTATTCGTGTGTCTGTCTTTCTCTTTTTTCTAGCCCGGGCTGGTCTGGTCTGGACTGGGCTCCAAGCTGAACGAGGATTTGTGCTACTGTCTGCTACACGACTGAAGATGTATAGCACGTCGACTGGAAGGTAATCCCTCTTGGCTATTGGCTCTTCTTTATCTGATTTAAGTGCGTTTAGTGTCTTATGCAAACAAGTACATTTCTAATTCGAATATTGCAACGTGAACTCTTGATTGTCTGTAATGTGTGTAATGTTTTGGATGAGGTGGCTATGCATGCACATCCACACAACACAATACGCGTAATCCCAAAATATAAATTTACAGAGTGTGGTTTAGGAACATACCACATCTGTGAACTGGTGTCAAACATATGCCTTGCAGCAGTATTATTATCATTTCCAGCCTTAATTAGTTGTTTTCGCCATCACCAGGGCTCAGGATTTATAGCAAAATTATTGTACTTTGGAAATGTATTGGAAAATGCCATATTTGCTGCAAATTTGGCTGCTTTTCATACATTCACCAAATATAAAACAGCATTCAAGTTTTGTATTTTGCTTGTGGTAATCTCCTTGTTTACTGTTTCTTGTCAAATTCTGTACAGTGTGGTGTTAAATGCAATACAATACCAAGGACATTTTAATCATTTACAATTTTTTTAATACAGGACAAGGACATAAAGACTGAGACTAGACGCTGATTGCCCCACGGTCTTGTCTGCTGCTGCTGCTGGGCCTGGATGTGGATGTGTGTGTCAGCCCAAGTGCACTTTTAGCCCTCTGGCGCAGATGGAGAAGGTCGAGAGGAAGCCAGGCTACTTTGCAAGGTATCTCAGTCCACATGATCTAATAGTTTATTGAGGCTGGATTGTTACTCTTTTGAATTACACTGCCTTCAGTTACAATCCACTCTTCTTTATGTCTAAAATATTGATGTAGTTGATTATTGTCTTCAACAAAGCTTGGCTCTATTGATTTGCTAATTGCTTTGGGATCAAATTTCCTGTGACTGATAACGGGTCATGTCCACTACACTGATGTTTGATTTGACAGTGATACATTAAAAATATAGTTATAATTGTTCTTTGCATTTGTGCTGGAAAATACATGTTGTATGTTTATTACTTTAAAGGTTTAAGAGTGTCTTTTTTTTTTTAAATCAGGCCCATCTTGCCAGCTCTGGCCTTATACCTAGACAATCTCTGTTGATCCACAAGGGAAACTACTTGAATACAGGTCAAGTAAATACAAATTATTATATGGCAGAGAATTTGTGAGATAAAGCAAAATATGTAAATATAGATAATGGATATGCAGTATATTTGAAACGCTGCAAGTCGAGTTCTGATAAGAACCAGCGAGTATGATCACATTAGTCCAGTCTCAGGTCTCTGCACTGGCTTCCTTTGGCTAAGAGAATAGAATAGTACACAGCTCTGTTTGTTACATGTCTCTCCGGGCGGCACGGTGGCTGAGTGGATAGCACTCTCGCCTCTCAGCAAGAAGGTCCTGGGTTCGAATCCCGGCCGGACCAGGGCCTTTCTGAGTGGAGTTTGCATGTTCTCCCCGTGTCTGCGTAGGTTTCCTCCGGGTACTCCGGTTTCCCCTACCACTAAAAATATGTCCAATAGTTCTGGCATGCGCCTCCTGTACTGGCGACCCCGCTCCCATCTCTGTGTGGAGTGAGAGACAAATGCCCAATATTAACAATTGTAAACCGCTTTGAGACTCAGATCTGCAGTGAAAAGGCGGTGTATAAATACAAACTTACTTACTACTTACTTACTTACTCTCCATGGCCTCGCACCAAAGTACATCTGAGACATGTTAGTGCCATAGGAACCAACTCAGACTGGGACTGGACTCCTGCTGGTGCCCAGAGTCAGAACTAAACCTAGGGAGGCAGCATTTCAGATTCATGCTGCTAAAAACATTCATATCAATATAAGTCTTCCTGATAATCTTAGATGCCGAGTGCAACTGAAGGATTGTATTTTCACTATTTTTAATGTACTGTGATTAATTATGATTTTAATGTCTTGTTTGATTGTTTCTATCGTTTTTTTAACAAGTTTCCTTGTGTCTAGACTGTGCTAAATAAACGTGCCTTACCTTGTCTGTATACTCATCAGTGCTAGTGCAATTAGTGCAGTTTGGATCAAATGTTTAGCATAAAAGGAAAAATATGTACTCTAAACAAGAGAAAATCCATTACTTAAACACAACTGTAATTATAGAGAGTGCCATAAACAAGTTTTAGTTTCAGAGTCTCGTTGCAGATGCAGTGTTGTGGTTCAGGCACAAACTGGGACATGTCAGGAAGTGGTGTAGCTTATCTCTGGCCCCAGCTCCACATGAGCCCCGCTTGCTCTCTATCTCCATGTGTTCTGCTAACTGGACAATTAGAGCACAACATTTGCAGCTCATTACATAAGTCTGCGAGTGTTTTTATAAATGCAACGTGACAGAGAAAGAACATCATTTCAGACACGATGATGATAATGAGAGACAGTCTGAGGTTGTGTTTGATCAGGCCGCACGATTTTGGCTTTTGTGATTTTTCTGAGCAACTATGCGATGTGATTTTTGATATTCTGTATGTTTAAAAAGTATTTTTGTTCAAAGAAGAAAAAACTATTTCCAGAAAGTCCTATTTGAAAAAGCATACACAGTATGAAGCGATTGCCTCTTACACAATTCCCACACATTCCAAAAAAGTTCGACCAGCAATTTTTCTAGTAGAAATAAAACTTACTGCAAAAATGTGAAATACACTATATGCATTATACAGTATATTTAATATAGTATACTTAGTTTAAGGGTTTTCACTAAATTATTTGTCAGTTATTCACGTTTTTTTCAAAGAACTTGAATAGAGCGGCCCGAGAGCCGGGCCGAGCCGGGCCGAGAGCCGGGCCGAGAGCCGGGCCGAGAGCCGGGCCGAGAGCCGGGCCGAGAGCCGGGCCGAGAGCCGGGCCGAGAGCCGGGCCGAGAGCCGGGCCGAGAGCCGGGCCGAGAGCCGGGCCGAGAGCCGGGCCGAGAGCCGGGCCGAGAGCCGGGCCGAGAGCCGGGCCGAGAGCCGGGCCGAGAGCCGGGCGCCTTATATCTTTCCGAGCTGAAGCAAGACTTCTCAGACCTGTGCGTTTCTTTTTGAGAGCAGATTCTTGCAGATGCCCTGAAGGAGTACACTATGTCTCTGTGAATTCCTGAGCTGAACTCCAGATGTGTCCTGTGTTTGCTCGGGTCTGCAGTCTTATCGACCCGCTCCTACATTTCCATTAACCACTTCTCAACATTAAAGAAGACACACCATAGATTGTCTCTTGTCCTTATCTTTCAACAAACTCAAAGCTCCACTATAGACTTAATACAGCAGATCCATTATCCCTAAGTGCACCACTTTTGTAGAGCTGACTAGACAAGAGCTGCATTGCGGTAGTACCTCCCCTTGCACCCCCAGAATGATCTGTCCTGCAACTGCTATTACATAATGTCTTAAACTATCAATGATTAATGATGGACCAACAAGAAAAAAGCACAACAGACTTGTAGTTGACAGTAACATCAGTAATTTACACACAGCAAAAGCAATGGACTTTTAATGAGTTGGCAAAGTCAGACGGCTTACAGTGTATAACGAATGAGTTTTAGTTTAGCTCTTGTTAGTTCTAATCGGTTTAAAGTGACTAATTAGGTCAGGAGGTTAGACATTGCACATGCTTATCTGCAGGCATTGGTTTGGAAATGTAGTTGGATTTTGCTTAGAATAATCATTTTCTATTGATCTAAACTTTGTCAAGGAGTAAACTCAAACATGTCTTAATTTTAATCCAACACTGGGACGCACCAAAACAGGCCCCGCACATGCAAAGTAACAGAAATGACAATCTGCATTTCTCAATCTTTTTAATCTTGGACAAACCTCTGTTTCTTTGCATTTTTCAACAGGCTGAAGAGGCGGAAGCAGCTCAAACAGCAGGAGAAAACTGTAAGCGACCAAAACCCGTCAGTCATCTCTAGTGACAACATGACAAACGGCACAAACCAAAGCAAAAGGGAAGAACCACAGAAGATGGGAGAAAAGCCACTAGCATGCTCCAGTAAGTTTGTTATTTACTCTGATGATTTATGTAATGAAGATACAGACTTAAGGCCTGTCACCATAATTACTATCACGACATACTGATCAACTAATGGATAACATATATTTTGGGCTCAATATGTTTTTGCCTGTACATTTTCTTTACAAAAGTAGATTTTTGCTATTGTATTGATCTGTCTATGTATAACAATGAGGCTTTAGCTGTAGATGCTTCACTATGACTCTAGACCTCATGTAAAATGCACTCTTTGTGGTCCAACAATTACAGTCACACTCATGTTGTAATCATGTCCTAAGCACTGATTACTGTTGAAAACCACCTGCTGGAGTTTAGTTAGACATTGTACAAAGTATGCATTACATTTGACTACTACTTATTTTTAGGTCCGAGCCCCGAACGAGGAAAGGGCCTATTGTTTTTGCTTGAGAGATGTCAAATTCTGCACTTTGAGCCTTAATTTCACCCCCTGAACATGCATGAAAAGTTGTAAAATTTTGCCCAAACATCAGACCTGGTGAAAAATTTGATATTTTGTTGTTTATTTTTATGGGACTCAAAAAATGCCAGAACAGCTCCACCTACAACAGCCAAAGGGAGTTTCAGAGGTCAAGTTTGTTGTAGAGCCATGAAATTCGGAACACATGTTCCGCAAGTTAAGATACGACCGAAATGTTACCATGGCTCCGCCCTCTGACAAACAGGAGGCCCATAAATTTCACTGCAAAATGGAAAAATGATCTGCAATCATTTTCATACATGTCGGTTGGAAAGCGACTCCTCCTCGGCCGTTTCACCGATTGGCCTCCATATCACTCCACATTGTCTAAACACATGTACCATCAAAATGACCTCAAGGATTTTTGATCAGTGAAACGTTGTTTGAGCAGCGGAGCGGCAAAATGTGAGTGTTTATTGACCGTTTTTCACAACCTTCTATTTGCTCCCGTTTACACATACAAATTCCGATTTGCACAAAACTTGAATCCATGGTTCACCTCTAGGGTCTAGGTCATTTGAAAGTGAACTAATTGAACTTGGCTCATTAACACCCCCTACAGACTATTTCAGAGTTTTTAGTATGAAAAACTCTGAAAACTTTGACTCCATCTGTAGGGGCACTAATGAGCCAAGTTCTTTTATTTCACTTTCAATTGACCTAGACCCTAGAGTTAAACAATCGGTGCGGCGAGGGCCGTTCGACGCCGCTTGCAGCTTTAATTTTATCTGCTATCACTCACATAAAAGTGTGGAGGTATTTTTGTGGAGCCTAAATTGCTTAAATTTCACCCTAACAAACATGCAGCCCTAATGAGAGCCTCATCCTGCCGTCTGATTTTATTATCTGCTCAAAAACATAAATATTATGGGATCATGTTCTGCACACTGTTTTGGGTCTTGTGTTTTTGTCCAGTTAGTCTTGGGTTGTATGTTATTACTTTTTTCAAGTATGTTTTAAAAGACATATTTTTGGTGAAGCTTTGGGTTGTATACCATTTGTTTTTTTGATTAAGAATAACTCAGATTACACTTTTGTGTCCCCAAAGAATATTTTGCCTTTTATGAACAAAAGACGTAGATGTATTTTAAAATGAAATATTACTTTTCCTTTTAATTCGGCTGTTCATTTTCATTACGCATTCTTTTAAAATGGAATGGACCAATCAAGACTTTGTTTGTCGTCCTTTGTTTGTTATCAAAGAACTTTAATAACTCCAAAAAATCTGTTTACTTGTTTACTCCTAATTCACACATAATCATGATAATAAGACCCAATTATTAAAAGGAACCAAAATTGAAATTAAAATGCTTTGGTGTGATCTCCCTGCTCTATTGTACTACCATCAGTAGCATCAAGTAGTTTCAATATTATTGTTTTCATTTTCACAATCAAGTTATATTGCTAATTTAAGAGTAGTTTTTGTGTCAGGCCGAGCAGACCAAGTACAAAAATATACGTACTGCTAAGGAATAGGAACTCCCTTTTACAATGAATGATGTGTCTTTCTGTACATAGCAGTGGAATTAGCTCCTGTCACAGATTGAGCAAACAAACACTGTACAAACTGCGTGTTGTTCTTTCTCGTTGACTCTCGCTGCACTGGATGGATGCACACACAATATTAGAGCCCTTTTTATTTTGCTGAAATAAAGGCTTTATTATTTTTAAAACATTTCTGCTGGCTCTGGTATGAAATAATCGCCCTTCTATTTGTTTTTTAGACATGAAGGAAAAGTATAGATATTAATATAAAATCAACCCTGGTGAAAATATTGTCATGATTCCCCTGCTTAAGTAAAACGCAATTATATAAGTACAAAATATATAAATATGAGTTTTTGTATGTACCAAAAAATAATCTTAAAAACAATCTCGTTATATGGTTGTAGAAATAAGACAAGAAGAAACAAGACTTGTAGAACTGAAGCCAAATCGTCTGAACGTAGAAGCGTGGCTAACCACAGTGAATTGATTCAGTTAGAAGCACAGATAACCACTGTGCTTCTGTTGTGTTGCCACCTGTAACTAGTAACTACTCATTTTCAAATGTAAGAAGCAGAAAGTACAGATAAGTGGTAAAAGAAAAGTATAAATAAAAAAAAAAGAGTACCAATGATTAGAAATAATATTTTCCCATGTTTTTATAATGATTTAGAATTAGATTTTTCAGTTCAGTTTACCTAAATACCACAGGTCTTTCGTTATTAGAATAAAAATAATCATTGGTTTCTTTAATCGAGCATCCCTGAGTACAGTAACGGTACTTAGTTACTTGCCACCTCTGATTCTGTGCTGTTTGAACCAGTTTTTTAACAGCATTTCCTTCCATAGATGGAGGCAGCAAAAGCAATGAGTCAAAGTGGGAGAAGAGAAAGCCTCCCGGAACCGTGGAGTTCATTGTGAGTACGACCGATCGATGCAATAACCCTGTTCTGTCTGAAAAGGTGAACTTCTATTCTGCGTCCCTTTCTAGGTCGGACCAAACGATTCACTTAATAGTATTGCTCTGAATTTTAACATCACTCCAAACAAACTGGTCCAGCTGAATAAGCTTTTCTCCCGTAGTATTTATCCTGGCCAGGTAAGAATCTCGCTCACCCACATCCTGATTAAAGCTGGGGTACCTAACATTATGTCAACCGTAAATATTCCATGTTTGTTCCAACTGAGTTTTGTTGAAGTTAAATATTGTACATCCCGTCTTGATATTTGGGCGGCACGGTGGCTGAGTGGATAGCACTCTCGCCTCTCAGCAAGAAGGTCCTGGGTTCGAATCCCGGTCGGACCAGGGCCTTTCTGAGTGGAGTTTGCATGTTCTCCCCGTGTCTGCGTAGGTTTCCTCCGGGTACTCCGGTTTCCCCTACCACTAAAAATATGTACAATAGGTCTGGCATGCGCCTCCTGTTCGGCGACCCTGCTCCCATCTCTGTGTGGAGTGAGAGGACAAGCGCCCCAAAAATAATAACAATTGTAAACCGCTTTGTGACTCTGGTCTGTGAAAGGCGGTATATAAATAAAGATTACTTACTTACTTACTTATATTATTACAAAACATTTATCTTTGCATTGCTTGTAACTAAGAGCCATGATGTGAGTTACTTTTTGACGCTGACAGCTGATTGGCTGAGTGCGGGTGGTGCTCTCTTTGTCACTTTCTGTCTGATTAAAGCTGCTACAGAGACCAAACAACCATGCATGTGTAAACTAGTGATGGAACCAAACTGTTTTGAGGTAGAGTGATAGGAATCTGTTCACCACAAGAGGAAATGGTTAGATTGGATTTTACCTTACATAGTCCATTTTTTTTTTTTTTGGTGTGAAACTTGGGTTCCTCAGCTTTAAAAACACACATTTTTATTTTTTTACTATGTTACCAAAACAGAGACTATTTGTTCCTGATCTGAGCCTGTCGGACCAAACCCCCTCATCAACCAGTTTAACTGTGCCATCACAAGTAAGTGTAAGGTTACAGATTGTGTATTATAGTAGTAATGACATACTAAGAATACTGAGAATACTAAGAGTCATACGATGTGAGCTGAACAACACTGCTGTTTTAGGATGGCCTCCCAGACTGCAGGTCGGTCAAGACGATCCAACGTGAGCTCTCCCCTAATTCTGAAGACGACAGCCCAGCGACCGTCAAGTTTATCAAAATGAGCTGCAAATACTTCACAGACGGCATGGTACGACATCACTGTATGAATCTATGTACGAGACTATGTTGTTGCGCCATAAAAGGAAAAATAACAATTAACCTTGAAGATTTGGGTGTGTGTGTGTGTGTGTGTGTTCCAAAGGGCTGTTGTGGCTGCAGGTTTTCAATCCAACTAAGCAAGAGCACACCATACTCCACCCATTTCCTCAAGTGAGTCCAGTCTTACCCTGGAGACATGAACCAATGGGTGGAGTCTGGTGTGCTCCTGCTTAGTTGGATTGAAAACCTGCAGCCGCACATTTGTATTTTTGCTGTCAAATACGTATTTTCGACGTTACTGTGATCAAAAAAAAAAAAAAGTACAGACAGTTTAGTCTGTTCATGGATGGCACGTTTTTCTCTTGTGGTTTGGGGGATTGTTCCACAAAATGATTTTTTTTTTTTTTTTACTAGGGATCCACCAATACCACTTTTTTAATTTTATTATTATTTTTTTTTACCAATACGAGTACCTTAATTTAAGTACTTGCCGATACTGATTACCGATACGATTACATTGTGCTATCCCTGGGAATTCATAAAACTAATACAACTGAAATTTGAAATATTTCTTTCTCATTTCAACAATTTGAAACTTTTTTTGCGATTGTTTTAACAGTCACTAAGACTAAGCCACTGTCATATTCCACTCATACAAATGGCTCACAGAAATAGCTGCTTCTCCAAAGTTTGTTGTAGAGTTGGTTGTTTTTGTTCTCCGGTGCTAGCTCCGGTGTTTTCAGACGTCTGATCAAGTTTGTTCTGGACCAACCTCGTGACAGTTTTACACAACGTCGTACAGTCCGCTTTACTCTTCTCACTCTTGCCATACGCCGTCATCCTGTCCGTTTTTTTCTGTTATGAATCCAGGATGATGTTGTAAGTGCATATGGGGAATTTAAATGAGGAAGGAAGGAATACTGAAACTTGAAAAACATTTGAGGTTGTGTTTCTTTTATTGAACATAGAAAATATTGATCATTAATAATCCATCCATTAACAATGTCACTTTAAAACACGCAAACATTTTAATTCTCACTTTTATATCCTGGTGAGACTGGACTGAACTCAAATTACATGATGTATTTTTACAATTCCTGTGATCCTTGTATTTCTAATCTCTAAACACAGGGATAGCCAGATTTATAAAATAAGCAAGAAGACAATTTTTATTTTATAATAATTTAATATAGATAATTGCACTGAGTTGAGTTGAGTGGTTCAATGTACAACAAACATTCATTATCAAAGGTCACTACATAGAATTTTCTAGCAAATCATTCATTAACAATTACTTAATACAATATTGTACATTATTCAAACTCGAAACAGAGTGGGAGGATGAAAAACCTAATAAATGATATGATTGGCCAGATGTAGGTACTAAAATTGCAATTTCGATTGGATTTCTAGCATGTTTATTGATTTTTTTTTCGTCAGGGTGTGGTGGGAGGCGTGCTGATCGTGACCCCCAACAACATCATGTTCGACCCGCACAAGTCGGACCCGCTGGTGATTGAGCACGGCTGTGAGGAGTACGGCCTGATCTGCCCCATGGACGAGGTGCTCTCTGTCGCCCTCTACAGCGACGTGTCCCGCATGAGGCTCAAGGACGTCCTGCCATCGTAAGGACCAAGGCTTCTAACCATCCGCTGTATTGTCGTGTTTTCAGTTTTTTTCCAATTGAGTTGAAATATTTGGGTCATAGATCGTATTGGCTGTCTGTTGGAAATGTGCCTTCTAAAACGTGCTTGTATATTAAAGCTGGGGTACATAACTACTTCTCTCCATAGATAATGCATGTTTGTCCCAATTTCAAAAGTCTTGTTTAAGTATAATGTAGTGAACAAATCAGACAACAACATGTTCTCTTTTGCATACTTCCTTTCATTTTATTTTTTTCCGGTTCATACAGGTTTCAGGTTGACATAAATACATAGATATACATTGTCCTCTTCCCCCTCATAGAGACCCATGTAAAGCTCTATTCGGACGTCATTAGTATTACCTGGGGACCCCTGGTAATTTGTGATTATCACAGAGGACGTGTGAGATCTTAGTCCTGTGCAAATGGGTCATGTCTGTAATTTGTAAAGTAATAATTCCCCCTCAAATTACTTCCTGTATTTGTCCAAACACAGACGTCCTGTGATAATACTAATCCCGTGCAAATCTGCATGTCAGTGATTGTGTTGCTATTGCCGCTTTCTCTTTACTTTCTGCGTTGTTTTTGTCAATGAGCAGAGGAGTTGCATATCACGGCTGTGTACACAGATGCGGAGTCGCGGCTGCTGCTGTCTCTGTGAGGTCTATGGAGAAGTGTAGAGGACAGTGTAATGTGTTCACGGACACAAAATGATCAGACCGATGGGTTTTGTTTGTACATTTACTCTGCACTCTGTCCTAATACAGGACAGACATGTTACTGCTTGTACTGTAGGCTCGGACGTATTTTAGCAGAGCATCTAGTGCGTTTACTGGTACAAAAAACTATTGCAATGTTTTTAAACATTGGAGACAGTACGGGCCAGTACGGGGAGCAGTAAAATCCATATTTATGTTTGTCCTCATGGTCTCTGTGACTGCTGTGGTCAGACGCCAGTCTTTATGAACTGTGTGAAGCGGAGGGACTTGCGCACGTGCGGCCGTTAAGTGAGATGTCAGTGAAAATATTGTAATTTACAGACATTGCATATCCCGTGTGAATGCACTGCAAGATCTCGGACGTCCTCCGTGATTATCACTAATTACCAGGGGTCCACAGGTAATACTAATCCTGTGCAAATAGGGCTCTAGTCACTATATTTGACCCTTTGGCTGAGAGCTGATTGGCTGACAGTGAGGCTGGTCCTCTCGTTATCACTTTTCTGTCTCAAAGCTAATTTTTATTTGTGATGTGAAAACTAGTGATTTGAAAGCGAAGAACAAGTAAGATGTATTTCATTAAGTAGTCCCATTGTTTGTGGTTTGAAAGTGAAGTACCCCAGCTTTAATTTTTGTGCTGATGTGTTGAATTTGTTGCATTTATGTACTGCATTTACCTTCTATTTAACGCAAAAGCACCCATTAGTTTGAAATGTCTTTATCAAGAACAAAGGCCTTTTCCCAGGATTTTATTATGTGTACAGTATTTTGTGTCATCATAACAAGTCCTGTATGTTTCCAGTCGTTTTATTGTCCATCTTTCTTGTAGATTTTATATTACGTCTCCTTCATATTTGTTTGGTTCTTAAGTTGATTCATCGTTCTTATATTTCAGTTGATTTTCTGTTGTTTTTGTGTGTGTTTGTGTTCCTCATTCGTTTTGCCACCGTCTTGTGCGCTGTGTGCCATGTGACGCTGCATGAGCCAATAGGGAGCGAGCTGAGGATCTCTGTCCCGTGTACAGGCCTGGGGAGTGGGAGCAGCTTCCCTCCGAACGCGACTTGAACCCTTTTAGTCGTTACGAGGCTCAAAACCCAAAGAGAGCTATTGTTTTGGACGACATCGAATCAACCCTGTCTGAAACGGGTGTGTTACAAGCCACAAACAAACATCATTTATCAACTGTTTTGGTTATGTCCGGTTAACGTAATGCTTGATATATTTTTGTGTTAGTTAGTACAGTCGGAGATCTAACTGAGAAGTCTCCATCGGACGAAGGGTTCACTGAGCTAGAGCCAACGATAAACGGCAGCACGGAATGCAGCGAAGGGCCATCGATATCTTTAACTTCTGGTAAAGACCAAAATGAGCCCCCGGGACAGCTCTCTCCAGTCCAGGACAAACCAGCGCTTTGTGGGACCAGGGGGAAGCTGGATGAAGAGGAAGACGAGGGTGTTGCCCAGAACAGCACCATGGAAGACCGGTCAATGCAATCTTTATTAGACACTTTCAAACAGGGCGAGAAACCTGAACGCGAATATGTGGCCGAAGCCAAAGACGCTCAATTTGTGGACCACAAAAAGCTGGAGATTTTAAAAAAATTTGAAGGGAATAAGACGACGGATGAAAAAACTGTTACTGCTCAAGGGAAGCTGTCAAATCTCCCTGAAACCAGCGTCAAAACTGAGGCGGTTACATGCAGACCAGCAGAAGGAAATGAACTCAGTGAGGAGGAAAAACGGAAGAGAAACTATGAGGCAGAGGTGAAATCGTGGCTGCGGCAGAGGATGCAGGCCCCGATTGAAGGTGCAGATTATGTAACACCATCAGCACAATGCATGCAGGGAGGACCGTAGGAATACATGGTCACTGTTTTCATGTGTTTTTGTTCCAGGGATGCTTCTGACGTCCGAAGAAAAGAGCAAAAACCCTCCCATGTTTCTATGCTTTAAAGTGGGAAAGCCCATGAGGAAATCCTTTGCTAGCGGAATAACCTCCAGCCCTGTCCACACACGGGGAGGCTGGGGGAGACAGCCGGAGTATTGGTTTGCTGTGCCCCAAGAGAGGTACGTAAAACTATGGACGCGTTCCACACTCATGGAATCGGATCACTTCAGAAGCGAAAGTGACTGTTGTGAAATTCGACAGTCCTCAGAGCGTCACTTGACTGTTTCAAAATAAGGGAACTGAATAAAAAATACTCATAATGAACCAGAATCGGCCCAACTAAAGCTGGGTACCTAACTCTGTATAACAAATAATACATTTTGTTTGACCACAGAGTTTTGTAGAAGTCAAATCAGACCACAACATGCTGTTTTTATTTTCTGCATACTTGTAAGAAACTCTTTGGGCTGAGACCTAATTGGCTGAGTGAGGGTGGTCCTCTCTTCTTCACTTTTGGGTCTGTAAATGATCTAAAGGGGCGTGGATTGCACTCTCGCTTCTCGGTAAGAAGGGTTCGAATCCCGGACGGAACACGGCCTTTCTTGAGTGGAGTTTGCATGTTCTCCCCGTGTCTACGTTGGTTTCCCCTACCACTAAAAACGTGCATAATATTGACTCATAATGTAATGAATGGTTGGTGTTGGTCGGGGGTTTTGATGCCCCAGTGTGTTTGTGGTAAAAATGGAAAAAGATCTAAACCCTGAACATTGTAAAGTGCTTTGGGTGATCTTGGTCTGTATAAATGCGCTACATAAATAAAGATTACTTGACACGACCGAGGCCCAAACTACATGCATGTGAGTTAGATGGATTTTATGATACAATTCTATCGCAGTAATCCCAGGTTTCAACCCTAAAACTAGTTATGAGAACTATCCCTTCCTCTAAAAACATGCACACTAGGTTACAATCCTCCAGCTCCGGTAGTCCTGATCAAGCTGAGCATCAACAGCTGGAGATGGGCTCCCGGGCGCTGTACTACGGCGACCACTGCTCCTGACGTAAGCCTTAGCGGCATCAGTATGGCTCAAATGCAGAGGATGAATTGCCCTACGGGGATTAATAAAGTGAACTTTTACCTTTTTATATATTTTAAATTGTAATTATTGAAGAGGACTATTATAATATGAATTTCAGCTTTGATCAACCCTGCTCTACATTTCACCTTACTGTATTTTCTTTTCAGGGTGGACCATTTGTACTCATTCTTTGTGCAGTGGTCTGATGTGTACGGCAAAGAGGCCCGGGAGCAGGGCTTCGTTTTGGTGGAGAAGGACGAGCTGGACATGATCGACAACTTCTTTGGAGATCCTGCTTCTTGTAGCTGGGAGGTGAGTTCATGTTAAAAATCCGTTTCACATTATACCTGCAACGTATTTTACCATCTTAAAAAGCTGACCTAAAGATGTGACAGAGACCAAAAGTACATGCATGTGAAACGAGCTTTGAAAGCGAAGAACTAGTTACCAGTAGATGCATATTATTACTGATGTTAATTTTTTTTGGTGGTATGAAACTTTGGTACCCCAGCTTTAATCCCAGTACAGTAGTTTTAGAATACTTTGAAACATACCATACTACAATCTATTCTACTGCATTTCTTCACACTCCACTCATTGATTTAATCATGAAATATGCCATAATATGACATTTACCATTGTATTTAATTACTAATTTTAGTATTCGTAACAATTATTTTATAGATAATCACTATTAACGAGGCCAAGCGGAGGCAGAGTTTTGGGAGCTGCGAGGCTGACTTGGCTCTGGACATACTGCCTTTGCTCACCGACACCAGTGACCTATTGGAAGACACCCACATTGAGAAAGTATGTATCTGCTCAGACCCATGTGAGGCTTTATTGACAGACTCTTATTGACGGGAAGAGATAACCCGGGTCGTTTCTCTCCCCAGCTCGCCTGCCGGTTGCCTGCGCGGGTGCAAGGTTACCCCTGGAGACTGGTTTATAGCACCGAGAAACACGGGACAAGCCTGAAGACTCTCTACCGGAGCCTTTTGGACGTGGACAGCCCGGTCTTGCTTGTCATCAAAGACATGGATCACCAAGTAAGCAATGGGAAATAGCTCTATTTTCCTATTGTTTTCTGCTTGCAGAGAGTCAAAAAAAAATTGTTATTGCTATTATTTTTTTCAGATATTTGGAGCCTTTTCAACGCATCCATTTAGAGTCACAGAGCACTTCTATGGCACGGGAGAAACATTCCTCTACAGCTTTTGTCCAGAAATCAAGGTTTTTACTTGTTTCTTTCTACAGAAATTTATCCGGAACTGAAATTGATTGACTCCCCAGTCCTCCTACCACTGATCATTCAGCATGGGGGGGGGGGAACAAAAAACATGCATATAAAGATGGTTAGGGATACAAGACAGACGAGGGATGTCCTTTGGAACAGTATCACAAAGTATTTTTCAAAAACCATACACTTAATATTTTGCATATCTATCTCCAGTATATTTGCTGAAGGATAATAGTTAGACCAATGGGACAGGGCCTTTATTGTGTTCTGTCCAATCAGAAAGAAGTGGGGGTGCGAATGGGTGGGTCTAACACCTGTGCTGGCCTTGGAAATAAATGTTTCTTTCGCTCCACAATTCAAAAAGTAACTTTATTATTAGGGCTGTCAAACGATTAATTTTTTTAATCAAGTTAATTACAGCTTAAAAATTAATTAATCGTAATTAATCACATTTCAAACTATTGGCAAAATTATGCCATATTTTTCTGTAAATTGTTGTTTGAATGGAAAGATAAATGACAGCTTAGTGTACATATGTACTGTATTTGTTTGTTATAACAATAATCCATATAAAATGGCATTAACATTATTAACATTCTGTCTTTCTGTTTAGACTCGGACCAAAACCATTGTTTGTTACAGATGAGGGACATTTCAAAACAGTCTGAAGCAGAATGTCATTAAATCTGTTTGATTTGCTCACACCATTACTTTTTTTAGCACAACTAACATGAACTGATGGTCGAAAGGAAAATTAGGTACCTCAGCTTTAATTTAGCGAGTGCGCTTCGGGAGAAGACACGGAGGAGACTGAGGCTCCGCAGTCCAGCTTCAGCGCTGTACATATTGTGTGCATCGGTTACGCAAAGACACGTACGCACACTAGAGAATAGTTCTGTAATAGTTCTGTGCGTGGTCTTGGATATGATCCCATTACGCAGCGACGTTCGCCGTGATCACAGCCGCTGGAAGTGGGACCTGCTGTCCAGAGCGCTGTCGCGCCCGCAGTTCATCATGCAGAGTTCATACAAGAAACAACAAGTGCCCCGCGGTCAAGCGTGTATTCTTTCTAAACTTGAATTCCCAGAGGGTCTACCTGCTCTGTCCCCATCTTACACACGCATGTGTCCGCGGCATTCTGAGTGTTATCATGGGACGCATGGGCATGCGTCAAATGCGTTAATTTTTTTAATGCGATTAATGAAAAAAATTAATTAATTAATCATTTTGACAGCCCTATTTATTATATAACCAATGATTTTCATTTCTTTTTTCAGGTTTATCGCTGGACTGGGGAGAACTCTTACTTTGTCAAAGGGAATATTGACTCATTGCAAATGGGAGGAGGGAGGTATGTATCATTGTTATTTGCTTAGAACAGGGGTGCTCACACTTTTTCAGCATGCGAGGTACTTATAAAAGGATCAAGTCAAAATGATCTACCTACTACAAAAATGCAAAGCATATATTTAAAAAAATATTCTTTATATCTACAATGTATGTTTATGTACATGCAAAACCGCATGAGCCAATATAGCACAACACAACACAATTACCTATGTACATTTTTTGTCATTACCCGAGTTTACTCTGATGACTTGCACTGAATCGGCCAGGGATGCATAGTCCGGAAAATTGGTGGTAACTCGCTGACAAGTTTGTCGTGGTTTAGCTTTCCTGCACTGAGCGCGGTTGTTTGCGCATGTGCAGTCACCTAAGTGTCAGTAAAACTTTACTGAGTAAAACACAGATGTCATTTGACTGTGGTGCCATGTCCATGTGCCATGCCTGTTTTTTTTTTAATCCAAATATTTCCCCTCCTCCGTTTATAAAATAATTTGCATCCACACATCTGCGTTATCAATCACATTCGTAACATTCCAAACATGTGCGTCTCTTACGTCCTGTCCTGCGTTGGGGAAAAACACAGAAGTGGGCGGAGTTCTGATGCAGACGCCGGTAACGGCACTTTTACAGTCATAGAAGACACTCAGAGTAAAGACGTATGTTTACAAGCACTGACCTGTTTAGTCCTGGATTAGTCCTGGTTTAGTCCTGGTTTGGTTTGGTTGTTTTCGAGCGTGAGTCCCCGCGATCACTTTGCTGCTCTCTGATGTGGAGTGAGGATGTTCGCTGCTGCGAGCATCTCACAGCGAACAGTTTTTAAGGCAGTATGATCCATGCTTCAGTGATCAGAGGAATTTAGGGGGGTACTGTGGCGTGCGAGAACGCAAAACTCCGGTTATCTCTGTCTACACACAAATGCATTAACGGAGTTTTCAAAAATCTCCACTTTGCCCGGAGTTTTTTGTATATATTCGTTTAGAATGTGTAATTTATTTATTTAATGCGATCTACCAATACTACCTTTGCGATCGACTGGTAGATCGCGATCGACGTATTGAGCACCCCTGGCTTAGAATATGTGTCATTGTCTTTGAATTGAGGAGGATTTTCGTATAACAGGAGCTAAGATAGTTGTTAAGCAATGCTGCCAACTGTAGGCCAACCTGCGAATGGAAGGAATCTGATTGGTCAATCAGATTTATAATGACAATAAGAAAATATAAACCCGAGGATCAAAGAGAGAGCTGAGCCACCATATATTTTTTTTAAACCCAAAGTGGTGGATGTGACACAAACCGTTAGAGGAGTTCACTTTTCAATGCAAGTCGATTAGAGCCAGAGCAAGTTGAGGCAAAACTTCCCCTATGAGCACTTCCCTATTGGGCTTCATTGGGTGGGAGATTTAGCATTGTCCATCTGTATACAGTCTATGACCTATCCTAACGGAACATCGCTCCTCTCTCTCTCTCCCTCTCTCTTTGTCTCTCTGTCTCTGTCTGTAGCGGCCAACTGGGTCTGTGGCTGGATGCTGAACTCTACCGGGGAACTACCACTAAATGCGCAACCTTCAACAACCCGCCACTGTCCGCTCAGCAAGACTTCAACATCCACAGCCTGGAGGTCTGGACTTTTGAGTAGCACTGAGGCCCACACGATCTGAGTGAGAAGGTTCAGGGAGAGAGTGCTGTGATGTTTTAGAATGGGAAAGAAAGCATCCCTGTTCTTCACATTGTATCTGCTGCCTTAACTTTCACCACTAGTTGTCCCAGCATGCAGACCGCCTTATTATTTATCTATTTAAAGATGACTAATATTAAGAGCCAAAAGGGAAGCGTTTTGATGTCTGCTACTGTTGCTGATGATGGTAAAAAATAAAAACCACATTTTAAACGAACCGTCCAGCAAGCTGCATATCCATGTAAAGCCGGGGGTGTCAAACCGGATCCAGAAAGGGCCAGTGCGGCTGCAGGTTTTCATTCCAACCAAGCAGGAGCACACCAGACTCCTCCCACTTCCCAGGGTAAGAGTGGACTCACTTGAGGAAATGGGTGGAGTCTGGGCTAGTCCTATTTGGTTGGAATGAAAACCTGACCCCTGATGTGAAGGCATTATTGTTTTATATAATTTGTATGATAAAAATGTACAGAATTGATATTCAAACACAAGAAGTTGCATTGTTTTTTTTTTTTTCTACTCTATTAACATGAAACTGAGCATTCACAACCAATAATTTGATATTTTTGAAATGGTTTACATCCATGTATTTACTGTACTTTGTTTCTCAATATGTTCACCCAACGTATTAACACAGATGACCACTGGTAAATTTGTTCACGTTTTTATTTTTGGCTTTTATATTGCATTCCATTTTTTATGGTCTTTTATTCAAATGTGAAATCCATTTTTGTTGCCTCAACTTAAACAAGCACTACACTTAAATACACGTTTTGATTTTGCTGTTACTGTTTATAATAACTGTTTTAGATTGTGGCACTTTGCACTCGTTCATTGGTATTCAACTCGGTCCTCAAAGTGTCGCTGCAGGTTTTCATTCTAACCAAGCAGGAGCGCACCAGACTCCACCCATTTCCAGAAGTGAGCCCAGTCTGAACCTGAAGACTTGAACTGGGTGGATTCTGATGTTCTCCTGCTTTATTGGAATAAAAACCTGTAGCCACTCAGCCCTAATCCTCACCCTCCTTATGTGACAGGTGTACTGAATACCTTTTTAAAATTTCACTTTTACGCAAGGGAGACATTACAATCACACTGTTTTATTTGGTTAATAAACATTTGGTGAATTCAGGATCTTATTGTTATGTCATGCCACTACTGGAGAATTTATTCTAAAGGGATATTCACACAAACTTTGCGTGCATGGAAATACAATACGGCGGTTGTTCAGTACATATACATGCCATACTATTTACTCATTACTTCATGTTAAACTAAACTTTGTTGTTGTGGCTGTTCAGTATTGTGACTGTGAGTGCACTCAAAGTATTTCTTCAGAACTGGTGTAATTCATCACCGAGAACCTATTTATTGTGTGTTATTGCAATGCAACGACATTGAAGCCAAATAAATGGTAACTATACAGAAGTCTGTGTCGTTGATTACTTTTGTTTTCAGAGCGGAGTGGTTGTTCCTGCCGACAATAGAGGAGCTAACGTAGGAAGTAGCAAACAAGTTCTTTACGTCATATTCAGTAATAGGTATGTTTACTATCAGTTTTCCTCTTAGAGTCTATGCTTCTCCATCGTATGTATTTCGCGTTGCTGACCGGAGTCGCATTCAATGGCTGAGTGCTGTATTTTCTGCACAATATCGAGCGGCAACGATGAAGAAACTGAAATCCTTAAACAGGTTTGTGTGTGTTTTTTAATATATCCCACTAATCACATGTCGCAATTATACACTTATGACAAATTATAACATTACAAGCCTAAGTATTAACCAAATATTTCCCAGGTTTCACTTTTACCCATAGTTGACGTATCAAGGGATCAGTACAGTGAGGCGTTCAATTACCACCACTAAAATTGGACTTTCTTGCGGATCTCTTAAAGCGGGAGTACTTCCATTGTTTTTTGTTTGATTCATAAATACATGTTGTTTGTTCCAATATCGAGTCTTATTTAAGTAACATTTCGTGAACAAATCGGCCAAAAATATGTTGTAAAACATGTATTCTTGTACAAACTGATTGGCTGAGTGAGGGCTGGTCATCCACATTTCACTAAAAAAGTTTAAAAAAATATGACTGAGGCCAAAAAACATTATAAAATATTCCGCTTTATCCGTTGCCGGGTTACGGGGGAAGCAGTCCAAGCAGAGATGCTCAGACTTCTCTCTCCCCTTACACTTCCTCCAGCTCATCCAAAAGGAATCCCAAGGCATTCCCAGGCCAACTAAGAGACCCTCCAATGTGTCCTGGGAATAAATAAATAAATATACATGCATGTGAAAACTAGTGATTGCGTGATGTTATGTAGAGTTCCAAAGAAAGGTACTCCAGCTTTCATAAATGTTCCAATCATATATATTTTTCACAGAACAAGGAACTGGTCTGTTTCCGGGACATCTGCCCCGCCGCCCCCCATCACTACCTTGTTATCCCCAAAGAGCACATTGTCAGCTGTCTCTCTTTACATAAGAGTCAACACGGTCTTGGTAAGCTCTTATACTGTACCAATAGCTGTTGTACTTTGGCATGAAAATATTAAATTAGACTAATGTACCCATTTTTCTATATTTTAAATTCAGTTGAAAGAATGGCGGAAATGGGAAAAGCTGTTTTACAAGAACAAGGGGTTAGAGACATGACTCGCATTCAGTAAGTACCTTCATTTAGCCATGGACTTTATGATTTGACATAAAGGCAGAGCTCAAAGAGTATATTTGGTTTCTTGTTTCAGGTTGGGTTTTCATATTCCTCCATACACTTCTGTACATCACCTCCACCTTCATGTTCTCGCGCCTTCGTTTCAGATTTCAGAGGAGTTTCTTTATAAATTCACCAGTGGCCAACGATTCGTGGAGGTAATGTCACTTTTTTGTCTAATTTTATGCATGATCATGATCCAACTCGTCAATCGTCACTTTATTCTTCTGGCACCATACAATATACCACACTTCTGGACACTTATTGATAATCTGCATGGTAACGTGTCTACGGCAAGGCAAGTTTATTTGTATAGTTCATACACAAGGCAACTACTAAGTGCTAACAAAACAAGATCTTACAAGGCTTTAGTTGGTTCATATGTGGCAAGAGCTCTGGTGTGTGCCGTCTTCTCTGTCTGGTGCACACTGGGGAAGTCTTGCACAGTTTTTCCAATGTGGTTTTACTGCAAATGGCAAATAAATTCTTGAATAGTTTTTTTATGCATTCTTTTTTATATCTACTTTTGGCTATTTTACCACTCGTTTGCCAAATGTTTCTAAAGAGAATTCTGACTCTGATGAAAAAGTCCATTGCACTCCTGTGTGCACCAACCGTGTTCTCTTCTGAATATTTTAATTGCTCACCACACTCGTGTCTGGTGTGTTTTCTGTGTTCATAGGCCTACCACTTCCGGAACTTACTGGAGACATCTTGGAGACTCGAGCAGCGCCTTTCACATCCTGAAAAGCAGAACAATATGATTTATGATGGATGGACTTGACACAAATGTTGCTTACTTTTCCCCACTGTATATTTTTCAGCTAAATTGTTACTCTGTGTTTTTAATTGGATTTGAATAACCATATACTTTACTTATTTATACAACTGAATATAATGTCAACATCAATTATCCTTAATTTATATATTTTCTGGATGTTTTATTTATTATTCACCCTACTGTTTTCCAAAATCAAATGTCTACCTTGTAATAACTTATGTAAATTATTAACTTGCTGATCACAAATTAATAGTGTGTGAATGTATATATGTGTGTATATGTGTATGTATATATATATATATATATATGTGTATATATATATATATATATATATATATATATATATATATATATATATAATATATATAAATTAAAAATTCCTTAAAAATAAACTTAATATATATATTTAAAATACTGTGTCTTCCTTCTGCTATGACACACCTGAAAAGACTAAAGTGATGTAACAATGGTAACAACATTTATGGACATGGCTCCTTTCTGTGTGTTTTTTTTTTTTTTTTTCATTGTATTTCTTGAGTTTGAACTGTTTGATTCTCTGATCTGTGTTGGCGAATTCAACGGTTTTGTTAAGTCCTCAGAGATAACTACTGTTGTGATTTAGGGCTATAACAGAATAAATTGAATTGCAATGTAGCGACCATTGAACTTAAAATAGAAACGGTCATTTCGATTGGCAAAAGTCCGAGTACACTTGAATGCAGCATGATTCCCGTCGTTTCAGCCGCGCCTCTTTACGCTTCCCATAAATGGTAAAAGCTGGAACATAGTCTTATTCGTATAGGCATTCAAACACATGGAGCCTCAAGACTCGTGTGACTTTTGTGAAATGGCAAACAACCACACAGGTGCAGATATTTTACTGAGCGTAAGTAATTTCCAAATCCTGCTTTTCTACATCCAGTTGTTTTTGGGCATCTGTCTCACTTAACGATCTCTGCAGGACGGTGGGCTGCTGTGTATTCGGGACCAGAAGCCAGGGGCCGCTCATCACTACCTCATCATTCCAAAAGAACATATTAACAATTGTCTGAAACTACAACCTGAACACATACAGCTGGGTGAGACGCGAGTTTTAACTTTATTTTCCTGTTATTCAAATATAATGTCTCAATCCAATGTATTTTACAACCTCATAATATAATGTAATCTCAGTTCATACACAAGCCAACTTAAAGTGCGTAACAAAACAAAATGGAAACAATCGCACAAGGCATTACAATCATAAATAATCACAGTACATTATAAAGAGTGAGAATAAAATCCGTCATTAAAAGCCTGTCTCACATTTTCATGAAAACTTCCAGATTTTTGCTGCTTAAGTCTGAATGCTACCTCCCTATGTTTTAGTTCTGACTCTGGGCACCAGCAGGAGGCCAGTCCCTCTGCTCCTCAGATATTTGGTTCATATGACACAAGTCTTTCTCCGGAGTGTGTTCTTCGAATAAGCTCTAAAAAAAACACTTTAAAGGTATGTCCTCAGTTGTTCTGTGTGTTTACAGTGGAGCAGATGAGGGCGATGGGAATGAGGATACTACACATGAACAACGTGTCAGATTCAGATATTAAGTAGGAACATTTTTCTTTCTTTAATTCAGCAAGGTGCATTTTGAGCTGGTCCTGAATTGTTGTACGTTGTAGGATGGGGTTCCATGTCCCTCCATTCTCCTCAGTGGCTCACCTGCACCTTCATGTTTTGGCTCCGGTCAGTCAGATGTGTCACAGGTCAATGCTTTGCTACGGACCACAGTCTCACTGGTTTATCACCGTAAGCAATGCAAACTGTTTGATTCCCTGATCTGTGTTGGAGAATCAAGTCCTCTGAGATAATTACTGTTGTGATTTAGGGCTGTACAAGATTACATTGGATTGAATTTAGGGCTATAAATGTTAGTAAGTGAGTGAATATTACAATGCAGGAGTGTAAAATAGTCTTTGGGTGTTAAATAGTAGTCTGACACTTTGTTATTATCACTCTTTTAAGCATATGTGGTATTTGTGTAATCAATGATTTAACTTGTTTTTTATTCGTATAAAAACCTCTCCCTCTTACAACATAACACACACACACGCACAAAAACAAAAAAATTATATTGTAATTGTCATCAGGATTTGATTTGTTTTCCCTTTATGTATCTATTGTTTCCTTCCATAAAAAACACAATATTAAATGTCTTCCTGCAGAGTCTGTTTCATCTCACTTTATCTCACTCTTACTTTATGCCTGCTAAACATTGTTTATTCTCTTGCTCTAGGTGGATGATGTGCTTTCTCAGCTGAAGACACGAGGGAAAGTAAAATAAAGAGTCCATTTGGAATTGTTGTGGTAGACTTATTCTAGCAGTGAATTGTAAATTCTAAAGTTCATATGGACTAATGTATTTATTATTATGAACAAAAATTGCCATTGATGATACATTTATTTGTCTCTTTTGCATTTGTTTTGTAGCACAAAGATGATTAATAACATGTTGCACCACTTGATGTCACTCTCCGCCTGTATGTGGTGCTCTCAGAAACAGATCCCTGTGCTCCCCCTTCTCACTTTCTCTAACTGCTCCAGGTTCCTTCATGAAAAGCTCAGGGTAACACCCCCCTCACACAAACACAAGAGACACACCTCTCACACGACAGTCCTGTCATGTTACGTGTACAGTATAACATGTCTGAAGCTAAGCAACAGGATACAGAAGGGACTTTACCTTTTAAAACACTCACCCTTTATCACAAATACTTTGATGTCCAGTATGCAAGCTGGTCTACAAACTTGATTTATCCCAGACCCAGAGGTTTTGTGAGTAAAATACACATAACTGTGTATTTTATTATGGAAAAAGGGATAGGCAGTAGCATGTATAGTTAAATGTTTTTACTTGTTTCATTATGGTACTTCTGTATCAATTTGAAAAATGAACTATGAATGTAGTTGTATGCCAAGCATTATATGTTCTCTTAAGATAATTAAAAGAACATGAATTATTATTATTGATGTATTCGTTTAAATGTGTGCTCGATTAGGATTTTGTCTTGTAAAGAACTTTAGTTGCTCTCTATTTAATATGTAAACAAATAAACCCGCCTTGCCACATATTCCATTGATCTTAATTGAACTGAGTTATATCTAATGAAACTTGGTTGTATTACATTAAACTAATTTAAATGTGAATGTGTGTGCAGTGTGGATAGTGACGCCTGATTCTTGACTTTACGCTACGTGCTGAAGCCCCGCCCCTTTGACAGTCAACAACTGGAATCCAGCTATTTTAATTTCGTCAACTAGCTTTGCTCATTGCTTTGCTACACTGCTAACTATGGACATTTCATGTCACGGAATTAAAGGATATCGATTTTTGTGGCGATGTTTTCATGACGCGCGTTGATCGGAAAATAAACCATCGAAATTGGACCGATGAGCAACCAGTGCAAGTTAAAGGGCCATCGAGAGCGAGGATCTCTGCGCTGTGCAGACGGTGCGTTAGCCGCTAGCACACTTAGCACACTTAGCACACTTAGCACACTTAGCACACTTAGCACACTTAGCACACTTAGCACACTTAGCACACTTAGCACACTTAGCACACTTAGCACACTTAGCACACTTAGCACACTTAGCACACTTAGCACAGTTAGCTCAAGCAGCATTAGCCGCTAGCACAGAGCCGCAGTGGACAGCTGCTCGGATAACCCCGTGCCTTCAACTGGGACGCAGCTCATACACAGCCGAGGACGATGCTTCACCCCTGACACTGGTCAGTGTATTAACTTAGTAACTACTGATAATGACACAGGCTTATCTTGGCTTTCTGATGCACAAATGGAATAATCGCTACAGCGGTGCGATGAGAGCTCGCACTGACTCTCCATTGGCCCGGCTGTAGCAAGAGCAGCGCAGGGCCACGCCTGGATCACACATTCATACTAATATAGTCTTTGTAAAAAATAAATTATAATCTATCACTGTATTCTGAGTGTATCTTTTCTTTTTTCTCCCTGATTAGAGTCAGGCTCTGTTGGTTGTCACTTTGGGGAAACCACAGCCCATCAAAGGAGGTGTGGAGAGTGGCTCTGACATCCATCTCTGATGCAGCCCTGGTTTTGACCTACCACAGCTGCCAACATGATGCCAGTAAGTGTCCTGTGCACCCTGCTGCTGCTGCTGCTGCTGTAGGAAAGACATTGTGCAGTTTTGTCATGATTATATTCTACATACATTTCTAATGGTTTTATTTTAAATACTTTTGGGTTGTATTGCATAGACCAATAAAATAGCTGTACATAATTATGCAGCCTTATTAGTACGTTTCTTTGTACTGTCTGCCAGTCAGGAGTGTCCAAAGCTGTTTGTGGTACAGAGAATGGGTAGAACTCCTTGATGGTTTTGTTGGATTACTATTGTTGCTTCTTGTGCGCTGACTACATTGTCAGAATGTGGGAAAGGCCTTTTGGCCCTTCAGGGAGGAGAACATGAACTTGAAAGCAGGATATGTTTACACTGAAAAATAGGAGCCATTATAAAGATGGGTGGTGTTCAGTTCTGGTCCACTTCTCTCTCTTCATCTCTGTGTGCTGTTTATCATATTGAATCTTAATGACGTGATACAACTTCACAAACTCCGTTGTCTTTGAAATCAAATTAATGTTTGTCACTTGTAGAGCGTTTCATGTCTATGTTCACATGGACTGCAATTGTAAGTTATGCGTTAGAATCCCATATCTCTTCTATAGCAATGATCACAAGACACAATTATAATTAATACATCATTTTTTTGTATTAATGTTTTAATTTGCCATTATAAACTTAGTTTTGAAAAAACATGAAAAGGCCAAAAAACATTACTACTTTGTGCAGTCGCAACTTGTGTCTCTGTGGGATACTATCACTAAATATGGCTTAGATAAGTTAAAAGGTTAACTGTTTGAGAATCCTGGTGGCAATGGCTTCTAAGGCATCATTGTCAAATAATCAATTAGCTTTGGTCAAGATTAAGAGATCCTACTTAACAGTAGGAATGCAATAAAACCACATTGGAAAAGCTGTGCAAGACTACCCCAGTGTATAGTATACATCTAAACTTGAATACAAAAAACAATAATAAAGAAGTTTGTTATACAACTTCTTGTTAATAACAATATAAACATATTCTGACCCTACTGTAAAACACAAAATGTACTAAAAAAATATTGCCACAACTTTTTCCTTATTGAGCGGTATGTTACACATCTTTCTCTGCTGTGGACATTTGCATCCAGTGCCCTCGATTGGCCACTTCTGGGCGGTCAGGGAGAGAAAGCCAGTGAAGCAGAGAGCTCCCTTGATCTCGTGTGACTGTGGCGTCCAATGAGGCCTCTGCAAATGTGGGTCTGTGTGGCTGCGTTTGACTAATGCTGTTGTTAAGAGGAACTTTTGAGCTGAGGACAGTTGTCAAGCAGCATTAACCTCAGGCGGCAGCGGAGATGGGCTCAGGGAGGTGAACATGGGATTTGTTGTTGTGGCTTTTTTCAGTCAATGATGGTGGCGTGCTGCATAAAAATAGAATTAGTTGAGTCACCACAACGTCGTACATATAAATAGCATCTAGGTTATTTTTTGCAATGGAGGTTTCCCCACTTGCACATTTATAATTTAGAACTGAATAAAATGTGCTTATTATTATTTTAAAACCAATCTGCAATGTCAACTGTATTTTCATAACAGTTATCAATCTTATTACAAAATAAAAGCATTTTAAGACACAAATCTGTATGCAGCAGATTGTTTTTTTATTAAAAAAGTAAATATATGTATTTTTATTAGTCAATTTAGTCGCCCTTCTGTCGTCAAAGCTTGGGGCTGAATTGACTCCTGTGACTCAAATCCATGTAATGATCCAATATTGATGATTCCATTGAACATTATTATTTACATAATCTATTAACCATAGATCTGAGAAGATAAATAACGTATGCAAAGCATTGACAAAATATTTATTTGGTGTGAGTTCTCAGTTTGAGTTTTCAGTTAGATTATTTTGTTGGAACCAGAACCTTTTTGGGTTTCCTTAGTGCTACCAAGCTGGAGCAGGTCCTACTTACCCCTAATAGAAAAGAGTGGGGACAACGCTGTACTCTTTAACTGTTATAAACAAGAGTGACTGCTGTTTAAAATACCTTTTTTAAAATAAAAAGCAAATATCAGAGTTTACTATTGTCTCAATTTATATTGTTTTTAGTTTTTAGTTTCAATTAAAGCTAACTTTTTTGTCAAATACAGTCTTTGTCCCAACAGAAAGAGTTTTGTTTAAACAACATTATGTGAACAAATCAGACCACAAACAAGCTGATTGGCTGACTGAGGGCTAGTACTCCTGAGGCTGAGTTTACACGGAGACAATGTGGCAGTAAAACGGTATAGTTGGATGTCGGTTTCTACCAAGCAATCATACGAAGACTGTGTTCCAGGGGGGTGAAAACGTAAGTGTTCAGATCGAGTGTGAGTGTTGTAAAGTTTCTCTGCCCACTACTGGCCGGGCGCTAGAACTACATAGTTTTTCAACCTCATGTGAACGCAGAGAAATTTGCATTAGGAGCCAGGTCGTTAGCCTGGAAATGTCTACGCAGCGTCTCAGTATAAACAGGGTAATGCATTTGAAAACTAGTGATTGAGAAGGAGGAACCAATTATATGGATGCTTAATGTTAGGTACTCCATCTTTAAGTTATTGGTTGTTGTGTACTTGTTTTATGTCTACTGCCCTTTTCACCCTATTATTGTAAAACAAGTTTTCTTTTTTGCTGGAGTTGAGGCATATATGCTTCCTCTTTGGACAGCTCAGAGGCATCTTCTTGGGGACACTCTCCATTAGACCTGGGCTGGCTAAGTTCACCTCCTCCATCCAGCAGTCAGCCTGTCCTCTCAGGCTGTTTATCTATCTCTCTCCCTCTCGCTCTGAATTACACATAGACCAAAGTGTTTTTTTCCTCCCAACCTCCTCTGCAGCACTTTTCAAATCCACGGACCGCTGCTCCGTGCATCAGGATGGCATAACAATTAAGTCTTTTTTACGGCCGATCCTAAAGCCGCAATGATGAAGCGTTTTGTGACTATCGTGTTGCGTAGCCTGGTTAGCCTGTCCAAGGAGAATCGCATTTGGGCAAAGGAGCATTCGCCGGCACCAAAGGAGATCATGAGGAAACGGAGGGCAGCCAAGAGAGCCGCCAACATGGGCAGACACAACTTAGTGAGAGCGGTTGGTCATTCTCATCTGTAATAAACTGTATTTGCTGTGATGAGGTCCAGTAACAAGCTGTTGATCTGTTATTTGGTTGAAGGTTTTTGTTAAATACTATTGCAAAGTCCTACTCTAAGCAAATATCAGTTGTAGCTTGTAAATCTTTGATCATCCTGCTATGTCACCAAAGTTATGTCAATGTGATAATCATCCAACTAATATAAGCACTTCTTGGGTGAAATTTTGCTGTAGAATATGGATTTGTTGTAACATTTGTAAAGTACAGCTGCAATGCCTATTCTTTTTTTCCCTCGTGAATCATCAGATTGTTTTTAGTATACTATTTGCAGTCCTTTTTTACCTTTTTTTTTATATCTGTAACATTCAATTCACTTTGTTTGTATTTTTTGTATAATTATCTTATTTGACAGTTGACTTGTTGCAGCCCAGTGTCATGTGAGGATTTGTCTAGAAAGAAATTCTGCCTCTGACTTTAAATGAACCAAACCATATGTCTTTCACTGCTGTGATTATAATGTGCACATACTGCGAGTTGGTGCAAGGCCACAACTAAATTATTGGATTTCTTGTAAAGCGACAGCGGGACCCTGAGTCCCCGAGCTCCAGCAAGTTTCAAATTGGGCTGAAATATAAACAATTCTGCTGCCGACTGCAGAAGAACGGGTCTCAAGGAAATGTCCATGAAACCCGGTCCTCATTAAAAAAAAAAGATGTCCTTTTTTGTCGTGTTTGTAAAATGATGTGTCGGCTTCATGGCTAATCCCAGCAAATATTTTTAACACAATCTCAGAGCAGTTTGTGTGTATTCGAAAGATACTTTATTTTAATCACATCGTTGATCTGACTTATTTTGGTACATCATTGAATCACGGGAAACACGGTGGATCAGCAGACTCTTGGGCAGCGCTGGGCTTTTCTGCGTAGACGTTGCATGTTCTCCCCGTGACTGCGTAGCTTTCCTCCACTTACTCCGGTTTTTTTCCTACCACTAAACCCCCATGTACAATAAGTATGAAGGTGTACGTGAGTGAGTGGATGCAGCAGTCCCAATTCTGTCACCTTCTCGTAATATGGCACATAAATACCACATTACTTACTTAACAAAAATACTCCTAACTTAGATTTGCTGTAGAGTTTTTCAAGTAAATAAACAACATAAAACACTGAAGTTTTGAAATGTATAAGCTGTCAATTACATACAAATCTGAAGTTTGTGATTAATGCATGATTATTCTTGAAGGACACAGTTTCTCTTAACAATGTGTGACTGCTGACTGGTCAGACCGTGTCCCTGCATGACACTTTTGGGACGAGGTGGTTCCCTTTTGTCTAAAGAAGCTCTTCTGTGTGAGTGGTGATACAACCGTAAATATAGCAATGAGCCAAAGCGATTGTCATCGATGGCTCCTTTTTGTTGAAACTATCCCCACGTTTTATCACTTTTTTGTTATTTTGTTTTTTGTGTAGAAAATAAAATTCATATTTATTCTCCCCCAAGGAGCAGTTAAGAAGCACAGTGTAGAGCAGTATAGACATAATCACAAAGGGATCCATTTTTGTTACTATTATTTATTTTTGTAATTTATGATTCATAATTCTGTTCTCTCTGGTATCAGTGCATTGTTGTATTATTGCATTCACGACTCTCCAACCACTCATACTAGAGTAAATGTTTGTACTTTATCTTTTCCTTTTGAACATAATTTGACAAGTCTGATAAGGCCACTTATAGCATCATTCACTGTACAAAGTCACGCAGCCGATCCGTAATAGTCGGACCCAAAGGTCACATTGCCGCAACTGTGCTGTGTCACCTTCTTCAGTTTGACAATGTTGAGATCTGTGTTGTAATTCCAGCGCACGTACAACCTCTTTGAAAGGCGTCCAAAAGTTTAACTATTTTCCTGAACACGAGGCGGGTGTAAAAGAGGATTTCACTTCTGCATTTCTGTACATGTAAGGGCTTGTGCTGCTGTGTGCAAACTCGCCGTCTGATCCTGGAGCTCTAATCACAGCTAACAACAGGGTCCAGACCAGAGGCCATCCCCGAAATGTGGTGTCAGCAACAGTGTCTTTGTCCCGCACTGGAGAGGGTTATTCCAGAGCTCCAAAAACAAGTGACATGCAGCGAGTAGTGAGGCCGATATGAGAAACAAGAGGTCTGACCAGGGGACGCATTCCTCTGATCTGTAACTGAGGTAGAATCACACCAACGAAAGTACAAAAATAAAAAAGGCATTTATTTAACGTATAAAGGTGTAATCTACATAATCATTTGTAAAGTCACTCAGACTTCAATCATGTATTTAGCACATCAACATTGTTATTCGGTCGGTTGGTAATCATTTTAATTATTTAATGATTACCATTCGCTGCTTCGTTGACAATGAAATTTGACATTTGTTGACATTATCTGAGCTGTCCACAGCCAGAGTACACCGTGCAAAAGATTGTATTATTAGAAATGTTAAATGCTATATTTAATTGTTACATTCTCTGACCGGATTTATTGCTTTGCAGACATAATTGGAAATGCACTGTGTAGCTATTTTGGCTGAGGGTTTGTCCCCTGCATTTACAGTGCATTGTTTAAACTTTTTCCTTTAATAATTATTATTCGTCCCAGCACATCTTAAGTAAAATGTTGTGAGCAAATCCGAGAGACATCTAAGAAAGATCCCAGTGAGTCCCTATTTGCCTCTTTTGGGCTGAGAGCTGATCCTCTTGGTCCTGGCTGGTCCTCTTTTCTTTTTTTCTTTTTTCTGAAGTGAAAAGAACGGGTCTAAAGATGTAACAGAGGCCAAAATACATGCATGTGAAAACTAGTGATAGAACCAAACTGATTTGAGAGCAAGAAACTAATCAGATATATTGTTATTATAGTTCCATTCTCTTGTGTTTTGAAAGTAAGGTGCTCGAGCTTTAATCTTCTGTTGTGCCATTTGCCTCTCGGTGATCTCTGCTGTGTGAATGTGTAGCTCCAACAATTATGTAATGTGGGAGCTTGACTAAAACATTCCCCTCTTTCTTTCTTTCTTTCTTTCGCTCAGATGATTTTGACCGTTTACCTCAGTGACGGGGACCAGGCCGCGACCGAGGTTCCCATCACCCCGGAAACGACATGTCGCGACGTGGTGGAGTTTTGCAAAGAGCCGGGCGAGAGCGGCTGTCACCTGGCCGAAGTGTGGAGGGGCAACGGTGAGAGACCCTCCTGCCTCACCTCACCAAGAAATGCAAACAGCGCCAGAAGCTTATTTGATTTTTGGTCGGTTAGCACCTAATCTCTGGTTTAGGCAGAGATTAGTTTGGATTTGCGCTGGCACCGGCCCCAGAAGCGACAACAGATTTCACTGGTTTTCATCCTTGTCCTCAACAACACACCCATGTCATCAGCATTTTTTTCTATTTTTTTTTTTTTTTGCACACACAGCCACACCCCTGCTGAGAACGACATCCTAGCTTGGGAGGCTTTATAAGCAAATGTTATGTAATAGATTTGGCTGGATCTAGGTTTAATACAGCTGTCGGGGACCAAAACCTGCTCACTGCTCGCACTTACTTTCAGACACAACTCAAATAAATTGTACTTGGCCTCACACAATGTTCTCCCTCACTGTGGTTCTGCAGAGCGAGCCATCCCCTTTGAGCACATGATGTACGAGCATCTACAGAAATGGGGACCTCGGAAACAGGAAGTCAAGTTTTATCTCCGGCACGAAGATTCGCCGACGGAGGGCAGTGACGGTACAGCAAACTAAAATCATTTCTAGCTCAATGATCTGTTCTTTTAGCTGACTTTGAACACAACACTATTTCACTTAAATTATTACAATCACATTTATCATATTTCCAAGGTCAGCGTTTTTTTTTTTGCTAGTTCACACTTGTTTTTTATATTTTTAAACAGGGAGTCAACAGTCTCAGGACCAAACCACTCGCAGAGGAAACACTGGAGAGAAGCACAACGAGAATGGGGTAAGATCCGGAGCATGTTTTGAAGTTGTCTCATGTTTGAGCAGAGAAAGCTGAGATTACTGTGAAGAATTCGCTCCTGGCTGAGTGCTGCTGCTGGCATCTGTCTGTCCCAGATTGTGCGGCGGGCATGTGTCGCGGTCGGCTTTAATTCTACCTCAAGGGTCTGACTTTACGACCAAGGAAGAATTTTTTACCACATGGAGCAGCTGGGAAATATTTGAATATTTCCCACTGGAGAGTTGTGGTAATTCTTGACAGTTATCCTAATGGACTTTATCGACACATGGACATTGGTCATCCGCCCCTTATGAACTAATGGCTCTTTGTGTTTTTTATGCATTTGTGACTGTTTTATTCTCTGATCTGTGTTGGCAATTTGACAGTTTTGTAAAGTCCTCTGAAATAACTACTGTTGTGATTTAGGGCTATCCAAAAATAAATTAAATCGAATTGAATCTTGTTAAGCAAACTATTGATCTGCACATGTCTTAATCATATATCATCCCTCTTTGTTTTTGTTTTTCTGTGTGAGAATCTTTTTTTATTAATATTGGAGGATTATATTGGTGGTGCAGCCGGGTGATATAACAGCCCTAAGAGGATCATTGCATTGGTGTTTTGTATGGGCCAGTGCCCAAACCCCAGGGGCTTTGTGTCCAGTGAGCAGAGCTGATTGTCCTCTTGAGAGGCCACTGCATCTTAAAGAGCACAGGGGCCTCAGGGCAGTGGCAAGAACCAGACGGCTTTAAAATAGATGCTGCGGACGTGGAGGAATCTCAGGTTTGGGAATTCAAATGTTTGAGATGTGAAGATGGTGATTATGAAACTGGTGGTTTTAGCTTGTGAGGGCGACTGTCACACACACATGCACACACACACAAGCCACATATCTGCCGCACCTCAGTCACCACTTCCTCTGGGTAATCTTTTTGTTTTTTTTCTTTCCTTTTGTATGTTGATATGTTGTCACTCCACATATTTTTTTCTTTTTTTCCTGCAGTATTAATTGATCCTCACTTTAATTACTAGATAATTACCATTGACTGTGGCAACTCATCATTAGTCTGCAAATATATTCAAATATTGTTTTCTCCATGTCCTATATTGACATCCGGAACTTGGTCCATCTTTTTTCGATTCCAACAACTTAAATAATGTTGTCTTGTTGTCTTGTGTTCTGCAGGTGGGAGGCCAGCGTGTGGAGCTCACGCTGTCAGAGCTGCAGGAGATGGCCACTCGGCAGCAGCAGCAGATCGAAGCCCAGCAGCAAATGCTTGTGGCAAAGGTAGCTCAGATGAATTCAAGTTAATTTCTTTCATAAAATTATCGTATTAATGCTTTCAGTGCAAATCCATACGAGGACTGATGACTGGTAAATCACTGAACTTGACATTACACATTACCTCACATGCGTTTGTAAAGTCTGATTATACTTTGATCTATCTCTGTAATACATAGTTTTCCTTTTTCCCATGTAGTGAGCTGGTCTAAACTAATCAGCCGTGTAAAGCTCATGAATCAAAAGGCAGTTGCATGGCTTTTGTGTTAGCAGAGCAAAAGTAGGCCCCCCTCAATGCCCTGCAGTCATTTAGAAACCTGGGACTGTCGTTTTCTATTTTGTGACAAACTGGAGCAGTTCTCGGTGGGATGGAAAGTCATTTGACCCTTTGCTAATCCGCAGACAGTCTTGACACAGCATCAGTCTGACTCTTGAGTCTAGATCACGAGTGTCTTTGAGAAATACAGAGCTTTTTGTTGTTGCACTTTTGCAGTCACGGTAATGTTTTTATCAAATTTTTAGGAGCAGCGGCTGCGTTATCTGAAGCAGCAGGAGCGGCGGCAGCAGCAGACCGTTTCAGAGAGCGAGAAACTGCAGCGGCTGAAGGAGCGCGTGGAGAGTCAAGAGGCCAAGTTAAAAAAGATCAGAGCCATGAGGGGACAAGTGGACTACAGCAAGGTCATCAATGGAAACCTGTGTAAGTGTAATCAGCAATATGAGAAACGCATACTCGTCCGTTTGTTTTGTTTTTATCTTATTGAAGGTGTAGTAAGAGTAGCATGATGTAGAATGTAGGAACTGTCTGCTCAAAACAAAGACTATTCAAAGAGCCTACTCAAAACAGTAAATATAAAATGAAAGAATAAACATGTAATTTTTAATGTGCTTTTCACTGGTTCTATGTAAAGCTCACAGATTATACTTAAAAAATTGTCTCTCTTTCTTTACTGATGCTAATTGGTTGGTTGTTTTCCAGCCGCAGAGATTGAGCAGGTGACCAATTTGTTCCAAGAGAAGCAGTCGGAGCTGCAAACGGCGGTGATGAGAGTGGAGCAGCTGAGTCTGCAGCTGGAGGAGCTGCGCAGAGGGAAGCTCAATGGAGTCCAGAACACCTTAGGGGGAGCGGTGACCGGTACCGCCGCCTTAGAGCTCAAGAAACTCTATCAGGAGCTTCAGGTAAACGGAAACTGAAAATATGTTATGAGTCCATTTGTGTCATCAAAGAAAGAATTGCATGTAATGTTGTATTTTCTAGTAAGATTGTCAGTAATTGGAAGAGAATGAAAGTTTTTTAGTTTTGTTTAGAAATTTACATCGGCCATAATCTCTTCTTTTTACATTTGGTCCATTAGCATTAGCACCAATCTCTATCTGTTTACTAGCGGAATCTGAACCTCCTAGTTTTCGTTTAATTTTTTTTATTGGCCAAAAAATCACATGAACCCTGTATAGTAACAACGCTGAACGCTTGTCTTCCGTTTTTAGATTCGCAACAAATTGAACCAAGAGCAAAACAGTAAACTCCAGCAGCAGAAGGAGCTGCTCAACAAACGGAACATGGAGGTGACGCTGATGGACAAGCGCATCAGTGAGCTTCGAGAGCGCCTCTACAAGAAAAAAACTGAGGCACGTCAAAAAGAGAACCTCCCTGTAAGACTAGAAGTGCACAACACAGAGTGACGGCAATATTGGTCAATCGGGCTGATATTTTTATTACTACAGGTCCGACAGAACTTTACAATGACTCTAAAATGTGTGTTTTTACAGCTCAACAGAGCCAATGGGCCTCCGTCTCCGCAGCCCGCTCCTGGGACACTGGGGAGGGTAGCTGCTGTCGGCCCGTACATTCAAGTCCCTTCGCCTGGACGTCAGGAAGGATACACGCTACCACCAGAACCACTGAAGCCACAGAGTCTCGGAGTCAACAACCAAACCAACCAGGGTCGCCCCAAGTCAGGTGAGCTCTATAATAAAAAGCTATAGCATGACCGATGCTTTAGAGGTTACTACGGAGGGGACTTGTCAAAAAATGTGTGAACTATCTTTTTATGTTTACATTTGATTGCTGGTTAGTTACAAGACTTGAAAAGCTAAATAGATTATAACAGAAAGCAAAAAAAAAGACAAAATCTCGTCTCGTCTTGTTTTCATGGACCCCAAATTTCGCTTCTCGTCAAGCTTGCACAAATGATGCACTGTGTGAATACTTTCTACGCCCTGCACGCTTCTCTTTCCCCTTTGGTGCCTTGTCAGTTTCCCTCCTCAATAGTTTCTCTGTAGCTCCTGCTCCTGTCTAACTCTTGCCTCTCTGCTCTTCATGTGTCGTGTTCACTGTTGTTCCCTCTCCCTTCTCTCATGTCACTGCTGTCTTGTCTCTGTTGTCTCCGCTCGCTTGGGTGGGTGGGGCGGCTTCTTCTGGGGCAGATGGTGTGCGAAAGCCCCCCGGCCCGTGGAAGGTGTCTGATTTAGACATCGTAGTGGATCCGGTGCCCGCGTCCCATGAGACAACAGGCCCCGTGGCCACGTCTGACTGCTCGTCCTGTGAGTGCACAAAGATGGCCCCGGCTGAACCTTCTCTGTAGACGCATCAGCAGTACGCCACCTGCATTTGTTTAGTCACCTGTTTATGTTTACCGACAGTATTACGGTATTATTTAGTGAGAGAAAAACACACTCACTAATCCAATGTTGCTGAATTGGAACAAAAGGCCTATTGTTAGTATGTGCTGCCCTCTACAGACTTGAGTTTCAAAGTGCTGCTGATGAATGAGAGGGTTCACTGAGCCGAGAGCCAGCGTTCAACATGTTCATTAACTCCAGTCCTGACATATTCTACAATAAACTCTTAACTTGTATCCTCGCCTATCACTCTCACCATCACTAATTTAAACATTACCAAGATTTCCCTCCTAAATCAATTGGATTTTATATTTTAAAAAACTCACAACAGTTTATTGTGGATTTCTTTTGTTTTGCTTTTTACCCAAATGTGTAACTGGGTTACACCAATTGCTTTTTTTTTTTTTTTTTTTAAACCAATTGCTTTTCTCAAACGGTTCCAAAACGATAAACTTTTCAATTGCAGTTTATCCTGAGATGATTTTATTCTATTGATCTCAAAACAAAGTTCTATTACTCATAGCTCTGTTGGGTTTGAGACAATTGGTGTCTGATTAATGATGTTGGATCAATAGAATGAGTAGCCAAGCCGTTCCAAACATTCCATTTAATCCAATTTAGGTCAAACGGGTACATTTCAAATTAATTACATACAATCTACTTGTGATTGTTGTAATTTGGCAACAAAGCCTGTTTGGTCTAATCTATGGTTCATTCCGTCCAGTGGTCATCTGGTCCGTCTCGTACCATCTCAGAAACGGCACTGATTCTTTTTCACCCCTTTCTTTTGTCATTAGCAAACGATGCTGGTTGGCCGACTATAGGCAAGACGAACACTCTGAAGCCACCGGAAAGAAGAGACTCAGGAAGTGACACTCAGGGCAAGAGCTCCCCCTCAGGCTCCCCCGTGGCTCCAGGGGCAGATAAGGTAAGCGTCCTCATTACGGCAGTGACAGGGGACTTTCATTTCAGTCTTTCTAAACAATTTGATACGATTCAGTAAAAAAATACTTTAGCCCCTCACCTAATGCACCACCATGTTTTTACACAAATTTCTGGTGCATTTACTGAAGATTGACAGTTGGAAAATCTTCAGTCTCTTCTGTTTGCAATGTGTGGATCTCTGATTATCACAAAATATGTATACATATATTTTATACATAAAAATACAAAAAATTAAACCTAAAACAAAAAATCTAAATATGAAATAATATATATTATTATTATTATTAGTTTATTTGATGTATGTATACTTATCATCTACACTACAGACCAAAACTTTAGACACACCTTCTCATTCAAAGTTTTTTTATTTTTATGATTATGAAAATTGTAGATTCACACTGAAGGCATCAAAACTATGAGTTAACTAATTTTGGGGTTTTATGTATGTACTAAAGCCCCAAAACCAGCTGGATTGGGTTCAGGTCTGGTGACTGGAGGCCGGGTTATCTGGCCCAGCACCCAGCACTCTCCTTATTGGTCAAACAGCCCTTACACAGCCTGGGTGTGGATCTACAGTCATGAAAAGAAAGGACACTCATTGAATGAGAAAGTGTGTCTAAACATTCGGTCTGTACTGTGTGTTCAATTGAACATGATAATTTAATAATTTTTGTGCTGTTATATATTTATATATATACATTTGTCTTTGAGTATCTTGTTTTGGTTACGTTTTGTTACTCGTCATGTACAAGTTGAAGGAATGAATTGTTGTTGTTTGTCACAGCCGCTGCCTCCGTCAAAGCCACAGCCCCCTCCTTATGGCTCTCACCTCAGCTCCTTGGACAGACGAAAGGACGTCCCGCCGCCACTCTCTCGACCGTTACCCAACCCCCCTCCCCCCGCCTGGCCCCGCGTCCCGCCGTCCTCAGGATCGTCCTCTCAGCAGATCCAGCACCGCATCTCGGTCCCACCCAGTCCGACCTTCCAGCCCAACGTGCCCATGTTCCCCCCCAGTCTGAGCGAGCGCCTGGACCCTCCCCCCGCTGTAGCAGTGCGGCCCTTCATCGCAGACCGGGGCTCGCGGCCACAGTCTCCCCGAAAAGGCCCCGCCACCATGAACTCCAGCTCCATCTATCACATGTACCTCCAGCCAGCAGCGCCAAAGGGTCAGCCACCCAAGACCGCTCTGAAAGCAGGTACCAGAGGTTTTCTGTATGTACTGTTGGAATTAGGGCTGCACAGTTTTGGAAAAGTATCGAGATGCGATATTTCTGACCAACATTCCGATTGCGATGCCATTTTCTTTTTATGTATCTTGTATGTTTTACTGGCTGAGTAGAGAGAACAACAAGAAAGTTTCAAATAAAAGAGCAAACATGTGAAGCGATTATTTCCTACTCAATTCATTCACATTTAAAAAGTATTTTATAGAGCTCTAAGCTATAGTACAATAACAATAAGTTCCTGTAGATTCAGTGCAAAAATATGTCAATATTACTCTATTTATGTTTCATTTGGATCGAGAAAGTCATGTTTTTGCCGATATCAATACGAATGATTCTTGTTCCATTGACAAATAAACTTAAATCAAGAGACAAGTTCCCAAATTCAAGTGATTTTTTTGGTTTTTCTTTTAAATTATATATAAAAAAATAAAACACTTCCAAAACCCTTAAATAACTGAAAAGGAAATTTGAGATTTCTATTTGATTTCAATTCATTGTTCAGCCCTGGAATCTTTTTTGCTTTGAAATTCTAATGACTTAATGACGTTTGTGTCTCCAGTGTATGGAAAGCCTGTCCTCTCCAGTTCCACTCCTCCCTCGCCTCTCCCCTTCGTCCAGACCGGAGGGACTTTTGTTTTGCCTGGAGGTGATGACACTTTGGAGGGAGAGTTTGATGAATTAGACGGTTTACAGCACCTGGAGCCCTCAGCGCCTCCTCCCAGCGTGGAGAACATCCCCCGGCCCCTCAGTCCAACAAAGCTAACGCCCATGGTCCACTCACCACTGCGCTACCAAAGCGACGCCGACCTCGAGGTGCTGCGGAAAAAACTGGCCAACGCCCCAAGACCGTTGAAGAAGAGGAGCTCCATCACAGAGCCAGAGGGGCCCAGTGGTCCCAACATCCAGAAGCTGCTCTACCAGAGGTTTAATACTCTGGCTGGTGGCATAGAGGGCAGCGGAGTCAGTGCAGCCCCAGGTGGGAATGGTGCAGGGACTGGAACCCCCTTTTATCAGCCTAGTCCCCCTGCTTATCAGGGAGGAGAAGCTGGTGCTGACACAGACAATGGCAACCTCCCTTCAGACTCCCAGCTCCCGCCTCCACCAGGGCCAGAAGAGGCCGGCTCTGATCCAAACACATCCACTGACGATAATGACAACGAGCCGATGCCCCTGCCGCCTGAAGGACTGTGCGACCCGAGCGAGACCGAGGAAGCGGACGAGGACAACAACAACATGGACACAGAGGTGCTGCTGCCCAGTCCTGTGCCAGAGGTCCTCACGCCAGAAGAGAACGGAGACTCTTCCTGTCAGGCGCTGGTGAGGGCTCCTCCGTATAATTAAAAAATTGTCACTATTGTACATCTTTGATTTGAACCTTTTTTTTCTACGTAGGAAAAGCGCACCAACTTGAAGAAGCCAGACTCCGAGCGCATCGGCCACGGTTACCGGGTCAAGTTCAACCCACTGGCTCTTCTGCTGGACGCCTCGCTGGAGGGAGAGTTTGACCTTGTTCAGAGGATCATTTATGAGGTACAGGGCTGTGTGTGCGAGAAGCATTCATTAATTCACTTCTCCTCACAGTGTGGTTAACCTCTTTACTAACACCGGCGCGCCGGCGGCTGTTTTTATGTTTTTAAATGTTCTGCTGGCAATAGCAGATGTATTTTGAACACCAAACCCCAAAAGCTGTATATCATTTTAAAGCTTATTTTCTTATCTACATTTATATACAAGTGTAAACCACATCATTCAAAAGATATAACACATAATGTGGGCACAAAATAAATCAATTCCGAAATAGTTTTTTACCTTTGGGCTTGTGCTGTACAAATAAATCAGCTCTCCTCCCAGCTTGCAATACATCATTCTCTCTGGAACAGTCCAAAGGAAAATTATATCCACTTGTATTTCCCAAAGTAAAATCCATTCTGCAGAAATAATCCAAAAATGTGCATTTATCTTTAGCGAAAAAACAAAAAAAAAGAGCACAGATGTTACTCTTTCACTTTTAACGGACTTTTAGCTTTGTTTTTCACCCAAACATCTGGTATCCACGTGTTCCTTAGCTCCTTATCTTTCAAATGAGACTACTCCCGAAAAGCTAGATCAATTTTTGGGTCTGCAAGAGCTCCCGTAAGTACAGCTTGCGCTGCTGTTTGCGCATTGAACACTGATCTTTTGTGGGGTCCCAACTTGTTTGCTTTTACTTCCGGGATTTACGATTGACATGTCCTTGTAGCCAATGAGGAACGCTTTCGAACAAGGGGTGGGACAATGGTGTCCTGTCTTATGTTGGGCCTGGACAATTGTGCGTAATGGAAGCCAAAAGACGCTCTCGAAGCTGCAATGAATTTACACTCATAAAAAAATAACTTTGACATTTAAAAAAGAAAAACACACATAGATTAGTAACTTATAAGTACCAATAATAAAAAATATCGTTTTTATGATGATTAAATGTAAGTAAAGATATTTGGCACAATTTGGCACACTTGTGCCAAATTGTGCCAAATGTGCACTACTTGATGAAAAGGAGAAACTGCATAAAAACTATAAAACTTAGAAGTCTGAAACTTTAGACAGTTGTTGTCAACAACACAATGAACAGAGGGTTTGAATATTGTGAACTTACAATGAAGTATGCCTTTTTTAGGGCCTTTAGAAATTGAAAATGTTAGGCGAGGCTAAAAAAATTGGGTTTTTTTCCCTAACTTCAAAGGATGCAGAGGAAAATAGGGATGACAAACATTATTTTAGTGTTTTTTTACATAAACTAGAAGGCTCTAGCTTTAAAATGATGCATCACACAAGCATGTGAGATGTAAGATGTGTTTTTAAATAAGCAAAGACATTTGGGTATGCCCAACCATTGTGCACGAGCCAAAATGAGGCGGATGTTAAGAGGTTAAATAACAGTGCACTCTAGAGCCACTTGGCACAAATCAATAGTTGGTGACAGAGTAACACACATCAGTTTAATAGTTTTACTACTAAAAGGAGCTCTGGGAAATCTCATATAACAAACTTCACATAGACACGATTACGTTAATTGGATATTGTTTAATATTGTTTGAACAATAATAAAAAGCACAAATGGGAGGCACGGTGGCGCAGTGGCTCACAGCAAGAAGGTCCTAGGTTCGATACCACCTTTGCATGTTGTCCCCATGTCTGCATAGGTTTCCTACGGGTGCTCCTGGGGTTTTCCTAACAACTAAAAACGCACAATAGTCCCCCATAACTTCCTCCCCAAACCCACTCCGATTCCCTCTCTCTCCCTCCCAGGACTCGGTCAGGACTCCCCCGGTCAGGACTCCCCTGAAAAACGTTTGTGGTTAAATAAAGCTCAGTGAGTAGATAAAATAAATGTTTGTTTATCTTTTAGGTGGAGAATCCAAGCACTCCCAATGACGAGGGCATCACTCCCCTGCACAACGCTGTGTGTGCGGGTCACCATCACATAGTCAAGTTTTTGTTGGACTTTGGAGTGAATGTCAATGCGGCCGACAGTGACGGATGGTGAGCTCCCGTACATCAAGTATAAATCCTAGTGTCTGAGAATATTACTAACGGTATATTTCCCGCTGTGTCTCTCCCAGGACTCCTCTTCACTGCGCTGCGTCCTGCAACAGCGTCCATCTCTGCAAGTTGTTGGTAGAATCCGGTGCAGCCATATTCGCCAGCACGATCAGCGATGTGGAAACGGCTGCAGATAAATGCGAGGAAATGGAGGAGGGCTACATTCAGTGCTCGCAGTTTCTTTACGGTCAGTGGGATATTTAACGATAAAACACAAGAACAACACACAGATGGTTCAAAATAACGACTCCTGGACGTTTGCAGGTGTCCAAGAGAAGATGGGTGTAATGAACAAAGGAACGGTGTATGCTCTGTGGGTCTATGAGGCCCAGAACCAGGACGAGCTGTCGTTCAAAGAGGGAGACCCCATCACCATCCTGAGGCGGCAGGACGACAGCGAGACCGACTGGTGGTGGGCGCGGCTCGACGACAACGAGGGCTACGTGCCCCGCAACCTGCTCGGGGTAAACACACGACTGAGAGCCATCACTGAGGCTGCAGAGCGGGAATGCCCCCCCCCCCCCCCCCCCCCCCCCCCCCCCCCCCCCCCTTCTGATGAGGAGAAGTCTCCATGACGAGGATGAAGTATCCTGATGAGGATGAAGTATCCTGACGAGGATGAAGTATCCTGACGAGGATGAAGTATCCTGACGAGGATGAAGTATCCTGATGAGGATGAAGTATCCTGACGAGGATGAAGTATCCTGATGAGGATGAAGTATCCTGATGAGGATGAAGTATCCTGATGAGGATGAAGTATCCTGATGAGGATGAAGTATCCTGATGAGGATGAAGTATCCTGATGAGGATGAAGTATCTTTTCACTGTCTAATCACAGATTGACTTGACAGTGTGTGATTACACAACAAATTCTGGGGGAGAAACTCTGGACCCCGTGTCAATGGGTGTAGACTCAGGTCGTAGTGAATGTCCCCACCAAGATTGGAACCAAACCTACACCATTGCAATAATGACAATGAAAAAGCAGTAGCAGCTACATGACAGCCCTGCTGCTGCTGCTGCTACTCCTCGTCTCCAGATTGGTTGAAGCCCGGCGTCAAGCTCCAAAAGCTTTTCTCAACTTCGGCGTTAAGGGACTTTTTTACGTCAAAAGAGACGCAAGCATTACGCGTGTCAAAAGCTTCAAGTGACGCGCATAATGCTCGCATCTTTTGAAGCGCTTCAAGTGACGCCGGGCCTCTCAGCGTCACCTGACGCGCTTCACCATTCATTTTCAGTGCAAAACTGACGCTTTTCAAGTCTAAGTTGAGTCCTGGGTGAAAACACCTTAAGGGAGTGCCCAACCACTCTTTCCCACCGCTTGTATCTACAATCTCGTTCTTTCGGTCATTATCCAAAGCTCATGACCAGAGGTGATGGAGGGAACAAGAATTGACCGGTAAATCGAAAGTGGCCGCATCACTGCGCACGCTGCACCAATCCACCTGTCAATCTCACGCTCCATCCTTCCGTCACTCGTGAACAAGACTCCGAGATACTTGAACTCCTCCACGTGAGGAAGGACCTCTCCACTTTGGCGGCACGGTGGCTGAGTGGATAGCACTCTCGCTTCTCAGCAAGGGGTTCCTGGGTTCGAATCCCAGTCGGAACAGTGCCTTACTGAGTGGAGTTTGCATGTTCCCCGTGTCTGCATAGGTTTCCTCCGGGTGCTCCGGTTTCCCCTACCACTAAAAACATGCTCAATAGGTATTAATGGATAGTGAAGATTGGGGGCGGGTCCCGGCTTGAAAGTGGCCAAAATGATGCGCTGACATGCTTGCAATACCACCCCGGGCCGATGGGGGTGGACCCAGAATACGAATTAGCAAATGCTAACGTATAGCATTGGCAGACCTCTCGAAAAGAATGGTCCAAAAGTTGGCTCTTGGCCCAAAGCTCCGTTCCACATGTGTGTCAATGCTGAGGGGGGTGAATTTTTTTGGACCACTCTACTTTACTCGCTGTGAATTTTTTAAGTCTCTCGTTCAAATGAATGGAGCATGCGCCGGCTGATGCATGCGCAGATGCTTTTTTTCCCGCTATATATATAAATGCGCTATTACCCTAATCGGTAACGCTTTATATTAAGGTGTGCTTGTTAAGTATCAATAAGGTATTAATAGACATTAGCATCATGCTTATAAATTGCTTATATGTACTTATAAACATATTAATAAGCTGCTCATTTCACTATTCTCTAAATGATGTTGTTCTAGTTATATGCTTTTAAGCATTTAATAAGTAATTAGTAAGATACTTATTAAAGGAGGAATATGTTTATAAATATATGAATAAGCTGCTTATTAAACTATTATCGATACCATGTTAATAGGCCACTAACAATATGCCTATAAAGATATTAATAAGCTGCTTATTAATAGGTAATAGTGGTAATAGGCCACTAAAATATGCGTTAATAAACTGCTTATTGCACTATTTTGCAGTACCCTAATCTAAAGCGAGGAGCATTTTTGTTAATGCAGAATAAAACACAACAATGATCTAAGATGTTTTTATTTATTCAAACAGCAACAATTACAGTCTAAATGAAAAAATATATCAAAATTAAGTTTGTGCCAAAAGTTTGTTAGTAACTTCAAGGAGCCATGATGAACCCACTCATGCTCCGATCTGCTCTGTTAATGAATTTGGCTTTGGCAAAACAGTGAATCAACTGACTTCACGAGCCTGAGAGATTAGCAGAACTCGCCTATTTTTGGGCATCGTCTGGTCCTCCCGGTTCTGCGCAGTTGACGAGCTCCCATGATGCTTTGCGCCAAATACGCGTGTGTGGCTGTCATGCACGTGCACATAGGGGCCGCGCTCTGACCAATCAGAGCTGCTGATCAGAGTGGGAGTTAGAGCGGGAGTAAGAGCCAGACGAGTAGAGTTTGTGGCAGTAAAATGTGGATTTATAGAAAACTGAAGGATTTAAGAAGAAAAAAAGTTCAGGATGACAAGGGACACTAAAATCCCAACAAAATCCGACCTTTATGAAAGCTGTAGGTTCTCTGTCAGGTTCTCTGTCAGCTGAGGTTGAGCTGTTTTAGTTTACATTGAGTTCTATGGAACAATTTATGGATAGCCCACGTGAATTTAGTCTGCAGTACCACGAGAATCCCCCGAGCTACAAGCTAGTAATACCCTATCCAGTTATTATAATAGATCCATGTATACAACGCACCTGTGGCACAACCATGGAACTATAATAATAACTGGATAGTGTTTTCCTAGCTTATAGCTGTCCCACCCATGGGCACAGGGGGCGCTGTGGTACTGCAGACTAAATTCACGAGGGCTACCCAGAAAAAGTCCCATAGAACTCAATGTAAATTAAAACAGCTCGACCTCAGCTGACAGAGAACCTGACAGAGAACCCACAGCTTTCATAAATTTCGGATTTTAGTGTCCCTTGTCATCCTGAACTTTTTTTCTTCTTAAATCCTTCAGTTTTCTTTAAAGTGGTTCTCACCCCCGCTCCTCGGAGCTTAAGTCACTCACATTTCCTGTTCAAATCTTCCTCTAAATGGGCGTAGCCTGGAGGACTAAAGGGGGCGTGAACGAGACTGGGCCGTTTATATAGCTCTGGGCGGGGGGTTGCTGACGTCAGGTCTTGCTTCAGACGTCAGGTCTTGCTGCTGACGTCAGGTCTCAGGCGCCAGATTCAAAATTCAAATGTAGTAATGCCAGCAGATGGCGCCTCACAGACGGTTTTAGGCAGAAAGTTTAACTTTCAACTAATTTGCACCAAAGTGACAAAATTATGACCAGGATATGTAGACAACACTATTGGACACTCATTTATACCAGTGTTACCAAATAAGGATTATTATCATTATTATCATTAATCATTTCTCATTACTCGAGAGGGCAAAGGCACCTTTTTCCGGTCAGGCATCATGGCCTCGGATTTGGAGGTGCTGATTCTCATCCCAGCCGCTTCACACTCGTCTGCAACCGTCACAGTGCATGTTGCAGGTCCTGGTTCCTTGGAGCCAACAGGACAACATCGTCGGCAAACAGCAGAGATGAAATCCTGTGGTCTCCGAACCGGACCCCCTCCGGTCCCTGGCTGCACCTACAAATTCTGTCCATTATGACAGTAAACAGAAGCGGTGAAAAAGGGAAGCCTGCACCTGCCGGCAATGCAAATACAGCTCTGGTAGAGGACAATAATGAAGTCATGAATCCAGTGAAATTAGTCGCACACCTTTTTACCGTAAAAAGTTACAGTAGATCAAATGTGACATGTTTTGACCATTTTTAGGCAATTTTGGACCAAAATGGCTACTTTAAATCAATATTTCTCAATATTTCTACAGTAAAAGTTTCTGGTCTTTGGTACAGTGGTAGAGGGCAATCATGAGGTCATGAATCCAGTGAAATTATTCGCACACCTTTTTACAGTAAAAAGTTACAGTAGATCAAAAGTGACATGTTTTGACCATTTTTAGGCTATTTTGGACCAAAATGGCTACTTTAAATCAATATTTCTACAGTAAATGTTTCTGGTCTTTGGTACAGTGGTAGAGGGCAATCATGAGGTCATGAGTCAAGTGAAATTAGTCGCACACCTTTTTACAGTAAAAAGTTACAGTAGATCAAAAGTGACATGTTTTGACCATTTTTAGGCTATTTTGGACCCACATGGCTACTTTAAATAAATATTTCTACAGTAAAAGTTTCTGGTCTTTGGTACAGTGGTAGAGGGCAATCATGAGGTCATGAATCCAGTGAAATTAGTCGCATACCTTTTTACAGTAAAAAGTTACAGTAGATCAAAAGTAACATGTTTTGACTATTTTGGAGGTATTTTGGACCAAAATGGCTACTTTAAATCAATATTTCTCAATATTTCTACAGTAAATGTTTCTTGTCTTTGGTACAGTGGGAGAGGGCAATCATGAGGTCATGAATCCAGTGAAATTAGTCGCACACCTTTTTACAGTAAAAAGTTACAGTAGATCAAAAGCGGGAATGTTTTTACAGTTTTGTGTATTTTGCACTAAAGTGTACTTTGTCTCAATTTTACCCAACATTTCCACAGTAAAGGTTTGTGGTTGTAGGCACAGCGTTGAAGGCAGCTATATCGAGGTCATGAACCCAGTGGAATAAGCCACACAAGTCTTTACTGTAAAAATAGACAGCTGCTGAAAATTTCACTTTTTGACCAAATTAAATGCTTTCCAAATATGGGTTTATTCACAAAAACGAGTCTCCTCAGCGCGCTTTCTGTTCGAGGAGAAAAGGTGACTCCGAAAGGCTGTTCTGCTATTACCGTAAGTAGTCAACAAAACGCGCACTGTTTTTCTCTCGATGCGGGCCGTTTTACTTCGGAGGTGAAAGATGCGGCCCACTTTACCGCGGTCGTCTGAGGAGGGGACTGCGAGCTGTATGTGTATGGAGACAGAGACCATGAGGATTTGTGTTTTCTTTTATTTTGTGCAGTCTGCGCCTCGCGTCTGAGGAGAACTGCAGATAAAGTCAGCCAGTAATCCTACATGTGTCGTCGTGGTCCTTTATCAGCCAGCGCAGATCAAGAACAGAACACAACTCAAATCTATCAAAAGGGTGAACGGGTGTGCACCGAGAGTGTATTCAAACTCACACGCACCCGTTACATGTACTTGGATCAGATTCAGTCATGAAGACGCTCGGAGCAGTTGAACTCCAAGAGGCGGAAGAAGTCCTTAGGAAACAACTGCCGAAGAGTTTCAAGGTAAACGTTTTCAAAATGCATTCAGAGTGTAAACATTTCTGAGGGCGAGGAGAAACTATACACTGTTCTGTTCATGGTGAAACATGGGGGAAACTCATGTAACAGCTGCTGTGTGGTGGTGGGTTGCCTACAGCTTGAACCCCAGAAAAAATACCTTAACCCTTTGTATATATAAAAGATACAGGTCAATTATGTGTGAAGCTTGTAAATAAAGCAGTATAGCAATATGTTTGTATCTAGTTTGGCAGCATTCTAAGTAGAAATAATATTTAAAAAAATAAAAAAGATAGCCTACTGCTCTACTATGTTTTTTGTAATAATACTCATATTTTGTTTGATAGGTGTATGGCTTCTTGCACAGCATTAACAGGGGCAAACCCACAACACTGGAGGTTGTTGTGGATTCTTGGCCAGATTTTAAAGTAATCATTTGCAGACCTGACCTCACAGTAAGTTCACAATCTGCAGATCAATACAAAGCTGTGATATAAGCAGAGACAGATCACTTCATGATTCACATTTCACAGAATAAGCGTGTGATGGATTACACATTAAAGGTGACAATCTTCAGCACGGATGAGCAGATCTTCAGGACAATGTTGATGCAGGGACAAGCTGTTGACTGGAGCCTTAACTTCTTATTTGCAGGTAATATATATATTGAGAAGCAATTAAGTATGGGTGGGGCAAAGAACTTAAAAAATGCCACCTACAGCTGTGTAACAGATAATTCAAATATATAAACTCATATTAACATACAAACCAATGTTTATGGATGAGGGTCATAAACATTTTTTTTCCTTAATGATTCATTTTAATTTCAATAAATTTTGGCATAGCCCTAAATCACAACAGTGGCTTTCTCGGTGGACTTTACTCGTTGAATCTGCCAACACAGATCAGAGAATCAAAAAATTCAAACACAAGAAGTGCAATGATAGAAACACATAAAAAGCCACAACTGTATGGCAAATAATTTGTCCATTGATAGTATTCCAAGATTAATATTCTGTTAAAATATTTTGTTTCCATGGAGGTGCAGGTTATTTGCCACCTCGAGGAACTTACATCGGTATCAGAGCTATCCAAACCTTTTTTTCAATATATATAAATAAGAGAACCACTTTAGTTCCAAAGACGAGACAATTGTTAAATATTTTTGGACTGGATTATGTCTACGGCTTTTTAGGTTCTTCTAATAAGACAATTAAAGCAAAAAAAGCTAGTACTGCTTAAATACCGGATTATGTCTATTCCGGGTTTTAAAATGAGGCACGACATGTTGATTCACATTTGGATGGAGCTGAAGTTGACTGGATGAATGTTGACGGGATTGACTTTGGACATACCTTTTTATACCTATTCAATTCAAAATGATGATGCAGTTATAATTTAGGATAATGCTGTTTGTTTGTTTTATTTCGATCCCCATTACCTACTGAAATACATACAAAATGCTAAATATTTTGTAACAGAGTGCACTAAGAAGTAAACACAAGAAGGAATCATTACCAATATAAACCAAATACAGTTTACTCTCATATCAATGAGGTCTATCATATTCTACCTGGTCAAAAGTTTTGTGGCCATGACTGAAACAAAAGTAATTGTTTTTTAGGCGGTACGTGTTATAAAAGGGAACAACTATCACAATTCCATTGTTTGTAGAGCAGAAACAATAATTCACTGCACTGGCTCTGAGAAGCAGCTGGAGCTTTGGTTAAAGTAGAATTATATCAAAGAGAGACACTTAAGGTTTAAACAACAGGATTCCCCCCAAAAAATATGCTTCATGTGCAACACTTGTGTAATTAACAACAATAAGCATTAGAATTAATACTAAACTATGTGTATGGAATCTGCAGTATACTCACAGTTTGTAATCCTGAACCTCTGCTGCCGTCTCCTGCAGGCCTCGATGTTTCCAATCTACAGATGATCAGAGACGTTTCTGCCAGTAAAGGCGTGAACCTGAAAACCTTCACAAACATAGCAGTTCATTTGTTGTTTTTGTCCGACATCAGTGATCTGAACTCACCGTCGATCGCTGGGTGAGACTTTCCTCCATCATTTTATCATTATTGATTCTCTGCTGTACATTATGTGATAATTAATGTGCACTGTTTCTATGCAAAAGATTTACATAAGATAAGGACAGCCTGATATTTTTACAAGGCCATTTTTCTGTTGACACAAACAACACATGTTATTTATGAAAAGATTAGGTCCTCCAGCTTTAATGAAGAATCAATATAGCTCTATAATGCTTGTGTTTTAACATTGAAAACACTAAACTTACTAAATAGAGAGTGCCCAAATAAAATCTAGAAAGAATGCTTTTTCTTGAGGAGAAGGACCTTCAGTGGCTTGTTTTGTCCATTATAAACATCTACTGTATCTCCATCAGATAGGGAGTGACATATTGTTAATTTTCTGTCTATCTTCTTCAAAACATTACTGGGTTAATTGATTGTATTTCCACAGAGCACTAGAGTCAAGGATCGCATCTCTCGACATGTCACATATCGATTTGGTGAACAACACGTGGAAGTTTGGCAGAAATGATCGAGGCTACAGAAATATTAAAAACCTCATCACGAACTTCCCTTCTTTCTGCATTAAGGATGACCAGGGCCAGCCGGTGTCATGGATCCTGGTGTACGACTACTTGTCCATAGGGATACTCCACACTCTGCCTGAACACAGAAGGAAAGGTTACGCTAAAGTCCTGGTGAGTGTTTTGGCAAAGAGACTCCATGCTGAAGGCTATCCCCTCTACTGCTTCGTTGAGGAAGACAATACAGTGTCATATGAACTCTTCAAAGGCCTGGGCTTCACTGAAGACTCCTCTTACCGAGCGGTGTGGCTTGAGGTTAACTAAAGCAATAAGATAACAGATCCTTTATTTGTCCCACAGATGGGGAAATTTCAATGTTGCGGCGCACATACAGCAGGACAGTAGTAAGAGCACACCAAATATACAATACAAGTAGCTGAAATGCTTCATTATCAATATCTCTCTCTATACAGTGCAAAGTTATATTAAGGCAGGATAAGTAGATAAAGTGACATTCAAATGCAGGAAGAAACAATATGATGAAAGCATTTGATGTGGATCTTCTTGTTCTAGGGTCTAGTCTAAGCACACTTTGAGTTAGGGGTCTCCAACTGGTCAGTTGCCTCCCCCTAGCTCCCCAAAGGATTTTGAAAATAGCTAATCAAATAATCTATTGAATTTGTCTGAATGTAACTGTTGTAAATGTCAACTGATTTTGTGCGGTAGCAAATACATGATAATGACTTGATAGTGACAGAACCCAATCTCAGGTTCGCTCTCACCAATATTCTGTATTGTACTGTAAATTTTTCCCATGAACACTAATAGGAGTAGTTCTGCCATTGTCGCCTTGAAAAAGTAGCTCTCCAGGTGAAAAAGGTTGGAGACCTCGGCTTAAGCATAACATCTATAGCCATACTAAACCATTTTCCTCCTAGGATTGCTGACTATAGAAACTGTCTGATCACACACACATTCATCCACATTCACAGCTTTACCCCCTTAGGCAATGAGACTTCTGTCATTTCATTTAAAACTAAGTCTGGTGTGCGAGGGTGCTGGTGGTCGGAGGGACCGATGGAATAGTCAGTCAGTGTGCCCAAGGGCAACTGTGGCCTTTGTTTATCACCACCTTGAATGAATTTGTCAAGCACTATACAAGAACAATGCGTTATGACTCTATCAAGGAACATTTATCAACATTGATGGACACTGGTCAAACTCCCTATGGACCAATAATTACGGGTTTTATATTTTTGTGTTTGAACTGTTATGGCAATTTCAAAGTTTTTTTTTTTTACGCCCTCTGAGATAACTACTCTTGTGATTTAGGTCTATACAAGAGTAAATTGAAATGAATTGAAAGAACTTATCAAATTATAAAAGAGGCTTTGTTTTAGGAATCTAGATCAGAACCAATTTCAATAGTTCCTTACAACATCATGAGACAAAACAAAAAAGGGGAAACCAAACAGATTCATGCCAGAGCTTGTTTTATTGTTCACCATTTACAGAATGTTGTGAGTACAGTACTTTTTACAGAAAGTCCAGTTGTCCGCACGGCAAACAGGCCCAACACATCCCTCACAGTATGTACAGGTCTATGCAGCGGTGGACTGAGGCCATGCTGCATATGATTCATTCACTCACGTTGGACTCAAATAGTTCAAAAATGATGAAGATAAATGAATGTGTTTAGTGTTAATGGAGGAGTGTGAACCTGAACACGAGGGCAGACAGCCAACTGGGATAATTACAGGACATGTCCAGATTGTCTGAAGCTAGCCCTACTCTTTCTGATGCGAACCGTAGCTTGTGTGGAGTGATTTCTGTCTGTAGTGATGCAACTACGATCACAGGTTTTGTGGTGAAACAGGGTCGGCAGCACCTTGTTGGTCCTGAGTGTTTTTCAAGTGCGCTCTGCCAAAAAAACAAGTCGATTATATTTGATCTCTTTGTAAAAGGAGAACTGGGATGCAACACGAGGGTTTAAAAGCAAAGAATATTCAGTAATTCTTATCGCTATGGCATTTATGACTCATGTGGAGATACAGCTTTTGTGTTTCCCCAATCGGCAAACTTAATCGTTGCTTTATAAACTGCAACAAACCCATTGTTCTTTGCTTTCTTTTGTCTTTAGGTCCAAAACAAACTAACTTTAAGACACTTTAAGAACAAGTGAACTCATTAAATATACACAGAATGTAATATATCTGACATTTTTGGTAAAATATCTTGAAAAATTGTTTTTACCCATTCTGAGGGTGATCAGATCTCCGAAAACAGAGGCCCATGTAACCCTTCTATCGCAGGACAAAGAATAAAACACTACAATAAAGTATTTGAACTAATAATAACTGTACAAAACTAACAATGATAAAATATCTGTATTATAAGTTATTTTATAGACATGTTTTAGCACATTCTAGTAATGTGACATTAAGAATTCTTCTGAAATATTCAAACTCAAATACATTTACAAGCTGTAATTGCAGATCGATCCGGGGTTTGGAGATTAAACATAGTTCTGACCAGCAGTTATGACCAGTCCAGATTACAACTACACTAAAGTCATCTTTACATAAAATCTCCATGTTTTTTTTTTTCAGATGTGCTTCAATAGTGCGTTCATGTGACATTACAGCATTCCATAGAGCCTATAGTTTAACATTGTGGTAGAGGGCAGTAACTATGGAAGTGTCCTGGTTTAGAGCCTATTTCTCTGCCATTCCTGGGCCAAACTCACAAAGTTACACATCATTAACTATGGTCTAATTATTATGATGGTCAGCAGAAAGGACTGGTCAGGGTCACCATCAAATGATACTCTTGGCATTTTAATTAAATTTTGTGTTCTCATTTTGCCCTCTATTGACCCCTGCTCTTCAACTGAAATTTGAAAACATGAAGGCAACCTATGCAGTAGTTTATTCAACGTACTGAAGGGACACACTTATAAATAAGAGCAATAGGGCATAAAAGAAAATCAAAACCATGACAGACCCAAACTGGGACACTGAGAATACGAGGAGTGTTGGTTTCTGTGCGTCAGTGGCGTTTAGCGGTTTGTGTGCGTCTGTGTGTGTAGTGTGGAGAGAGGAAGCCGATGGCTGCTGGGACAGAGCACCAGGCTCCTTTGTTCTCTGCTCTTGGGTTGATGAAGATTTCTGCGGTTTGCCAGAGGTCAGCGAAGGGGGGGGACTATGCCAGGGAGCGCTGCCGGGGTTTAATCCGAGGATAAAGCTGAAAAGAGACGTGCCATGAAAGACAAATGTCAGTAAAAGAAAAAAATATCTAAGTAAGTAAGCTTTATTTATATACCGCGTTTCACAGACCAGAGTCACAAAGCAGTTTTACAATTGTTATTTTTGGGCATTTGTCTCTTACTCCACACAGAGATGGGAGCAGGGTCGCCGAACAGGAGGCGCATGCCAGACCTATTGTGCATATTTTTAGTGGTAGGGGAAACCGGAGTACCCGGAGTAAACCTACGCAGACACGGGGAGAACATGCAAACTCCACTCAGAAAGGCCCTTGTCCGTCCGGGATTCGAACCAAGGACCTTCTTGCTGAGAGGCGAGAGTGCTATCCACTCAGCCACCGTGCCGCCCAAACATACTTACATCTAATACTTAATGCTATACAATGCTCCATTACTACTATGGGTCAGGGTTTGGGGTACAACATAGAATCAGTTGTACCCCTAGTTTTAAACATGGTCAGAGTAAAGGCCTGTCTCACAACCTCAGGAAGACGTTCCATATCCTAGCTGCGCTAAAGAGAACTCCATGAACCAACACTAATGACAGCATCAAGAAAATGTTTGTAATTTTAATTTCTGTACGAACTATTTATTAAATGGACTTAACATGGGTAGCCAGAGTTTCAGATTTATACTGTAAATATTCACTGTTTTTAATGTGCTGTGATTCTTCATGATTTGAATCATGCCTTGTATGATTGTTTCTATCTGGTTTTGATCAACATTTTGAGATGCCTCCTGTATGAACTTTGCTATACAAATAAACTTGGCCTGCTTTAATCGTTTCCTTTGAGGCCCTGGAAAGAGGGTGAGAGAGAGCGAGCAAGAAAGCATGAGAGAGTGCGAGAATGAGAGAGAGCATTAGTGAGAGAATGAGAGAAAGAGTGAGAGTGAGTGAGAGGCAGCATGAAAGAGTGAGAGTGAGTGAGAATGAGAGAAAAATAGTGAGAATGAGAGAGCATGAGAGAGAGCGTTTTGACATCGGTTTGAGTAATAATCTTGATTTGGATTTTCCTGGGTTTGTGTTTTGCATACATTTCTGTAACTTTCTGTATTTTCTCGCCCAATCCTACGCAAGCTTGGGTATGGGGTGATAATCTCTCCATAGCCCTGTCTCTTCTGCTTATATAAATGAATAAGGTCACCACTGATCCATGGTAATGAGAGTGCCTTTTACTTTTATTGTGATCCAGGGAGCATGTTTATCAATGATACGTCTTAGAGTTCATAGTAAAGACGAATTCCAGGCATCTTCTGCATAAGGATTAAGTAAAATCTTTTCCATTTAACTGCTGTAAATCATGAGATAAAACAGTTCACTATTGTAGGTTCTTGTTTGACGTAATTTTAAATGATTTTAGGTGAATACGAGGTTTTGAAATTTCCAAAATACAGTATATCATGGAGGTGTTCCACTAAAGCTGTCCTGGGAGAAATTCCAGACTGGCTGAACCTGTTGGGATGAGAGACGAGAGCCCAATCCAAGAGGGATTTTGATTTAGGAGTCCACTCTTGAAGGTTCTGTAATAAGTTGGGTGAGATTTACAGAGTCAAACATATTCCTTTCAGTAAAATGTGGATGATTCAAGCCAGTTGATATTGAATTCACCCATTAATATTAGCTCATTATTATATTAACTATTTAAGAGAGGAAAGAGTGGAGACTATAATTTTTAAGTGATTCCGATTTTGTGGAATTTTTGGGTCTATAAATAGTTCCAACAGTTAAATTGGTTTGTGTTTCATGTAAAGTAACAGTTATAAATGAGACCTTCATAAAGTGTTGGTGGATTCAGATGGGACAGTGAGTTGAGATTTAAGGTGAGAAGAAACATAAGTTGCAATTAACTCCACCTCCCTCTTGAACGCCTATCGGCTTCTATACAGTGTGTAATTGTCAACCCTAATATCATTATCAGTAACACTTTTGAGAGCCACGTTTCAGACAAAGTTAATAATAGCATGGATTATATTGTAAGCAATCCTAAGCTCCTTAAATGATCAATTTTAGGAGATAAGCTTTCGGATTTTCAGGTGAACAATCTGGAGACCTTTACCCATACTGGTTTAAAGTAGGAGTAATAATAACATCAATGCACGAACAAGATGAGGAGAGCGAGAAAGTGTTTGGTCGGATGAGAGATACACATGAAGAGTCCACACACACAAACATAAACGGATCTCACGTTCACGTCAACAGCTAGCAAAAGGTAATACAAAACATTTAGAAAAAATAAAACGAAGTTGGCGATCTCAGGTCTGCATGTTTTAGTTAAACATACTGGTTCAGTCTTTCTGTGGTGCTCTTTGGTTTTTGTGGTGGATGGAATGAAACTCTGCTTGCGATGATGATTAAATGATTATTCTCTCTTTTCAGGGTATGAATTCATTCCATTTGAAATCTTGAACTTGTGCTTCTTGATTTCAATATATTTAGTTTGCTCACTTTTTTCTGCAATCTCAGTCCAAGCTGCAACTTCTCCTTCCTTTTACGCAGTTGTTCCTCCTCGTCCTCTAATTCGTGCCTTTCCTCCAATAAGTGTTGCCGTGTATTCAGCGCGCTGCCAACACTGCTTGCCCGTTCAAATCATGCAGAGGAGTGACGGAGCGCCGTGAGCGCGCAGAAGTGGTCGAGCGCTGAGAGCGCGCGCCTCCGCGGGAGCCCTGCATTGAAGCGCTGTCTGCAGGCATTACGTCAAATTCCAGAAGATCATAGTTTGGAAATTGTTCCCCTCTCGTCTCCCAATAATCACATTTTCAGGAACATCATCTGGCTCACCTTGTTCAATATCATTGATCCATTTTTCCGTGTAATCTTTAATGATTCGCTGTATTGCTTAATTCCTAGAACCATTTCCTTTTGTTTCACTGTTTCATCCCTGGGAGTAATGGTAATACAGCGTTGGGGCAGCAGATGCATTATTCACACATTTTATTGAGTGCTCCTTGAGAGACTCCTTTATTTGAGACACGTTTTGTTTCCGTTTCATGAGTTCCTTCATTTCTGGTATCATACCTTTCATTTATTGAGCAAACACTTTACGTTCGCGTTGAAGCTTTTCAACTTTATTTAACAAAGCCTTTTCCGTGAGTCTGCGTTTCCCTCTTTTCACACTCGTTTCAGGGCAAGAAGGGCGCACCATTTGTTTTGCTCATTATTCCTTTGATTTAAAATGCCTCCTCAGTGTAAACATACACAGCATTTTCCATTCAACACAATGCATTTTTTTATTGAAATTCCCATCACAACATCGCTCCTTCTTAAAATGTGCATTGCATACATGATACATTACACTAAGCTTCAATACTGCGGAGTCAACTTTACGCAGGATATTCCATCCATCCATGCCACCATTTTCGTTCCGCTTCATCCCGTTGCCCCCGGTCTCGGGGCAGCATTCTAAGCGATACGCCCGCAGACTTCCCTATCCAACACACACACTCTTCCAGCTCGTCCGGGGGACCCCAAGGCTGTCCCCATGCCAGCTGAGAGACATAGCCTTCCAGCGTGTACTGGTCTTCCCCTTGGCCTCCTCCCGGTTGGTACGTGCCCGTGAACACCTCCCCAAGGGAGGCGTCCATTAGGCAGTTCCGGAAACATATCCCAGCACCCTCAACTTGTTTCCTCGCGACGTGGGAGTAGCAGCGCTCCTACTCCGAGCTCGCTCCCGTGTGACGGACCCTCACCAATCTCTAAGGTAGCGCCCAGCTCACTCTGGGCTGAGGAGCTCATTTCGACCGCTTTTATCGCCTCGATTCTTGTTCTTTCGGTCATTAACCCCAAAGCCATGACCCATAGGTGAGGGAGGAACAAAGATGACCGGTAAATTGAGAAGCTTTTGCCTTTCGGCTCAGCTCCCTCCTTCACACGAACGTTCCTATACGCGACCGCATCACTAGCGCACGGCTGCATTATCCGATTCCCGCCTGTCAATAACACGATTCCAGTCCTTCCCTTCACTCTGAACAAGACCCCACCGATATACATTGAACTCCTCCACTTGAAGGAATAGGGCCTCTCCAACACACCTGGAAGGTCAAAGGCACCTTTTTCCTTCGAGCGCCATTTCCTCAATTTGTGAGGTGCTGTATTCTCATCCCAGCCTGCTCCGCACTCGCTGCAAACCTTCCCAGTGCATGCTGCAGGTCCTGAGTCTTTTGAGCCAGACAGACAACATCGTCTGACAAACATGCAGAGATTAAATCCTGTTGTACCCCGAACCGACACCCCTCCGACCCTTGGCTGCGCCTAGAAATTCTGTCCATGAATACAGTGGAACAGAACCGGTGACAAAGGGCAGCCCTGGCGGAGGCCAACGTGCAAAGGGAACAGGTCTGACTTACTGCCGGCAATGCGCACAGTGCAGCTCTGGCTCCGGTCATACAGGGACCGTACGGCCCTCAGCAGAGGACCCCGGACCCCGTACTCACGCGGGGGGGCAGGACCCCCCAAAGGACAACCCCGGGGAACACGGCTGTCGACAGTCTACGCCTTCTCCAAATCCACAAAGCACATGTGGACAGTTTGGGCGAACTCCCATGAACCCTCTAGTATCCGATGGAGAGTGTAGAGCTGGTCCAGTGTTTCCGCGACCGGGACGAAAACCACACTGCTCCTCCTGGATCCGAGATTCGACCATACGCCGCAGGTATATGCCCATTCCATTAATTCATCCTTATGTTCCTTTATTCCCACACACATTGAATTAGGGATTCCGAATCCACGTCCAATTGCCACGGTGCTTACCTTTGCCTCCTGTGTCCTGTGCAGTGATTGATGGCCATTGGTAACGCCCCTGCTGCGCTGCACTTACTTGCGTCTTTCCTGATTCCGCGTGCAGTATTGCGATTGATGGATTTCAAACATGCCTTTCGTTGTTACTAATTTAACGACTGTTATCCTGTGTCGCTGAGAACTAGGGAACGTGTCCTGTACCTTTATGACTCGTCATGCTAAATGTGGATGAAGAACGCTAACT